TGGGCCTGAAGCCAGACTGAAACGGATCCAGCAGCTCAGTCTCCTCCAAGCATTAATTCGTAAGCAGGAATACGGATTTGTTAGGCAGGCGAACCATCATTACCTATTAATTTCCTTGCTTTAGCCTACTTTGATGGGATGCAAGAGAAATGACTCGTCTTCGTATCCAGAAACATTATTTAAGATTTATTAATTGGCATGCCTGCGTTTGGAGTGGCTCTTCTCCATGCCCCTTCGGGGGGTGATGGGCACTCAGAGCATCTCGGGGCAACAGCTAAACCATGTAATAGCGAAACATTACTGGGCCGTGAATTAAACTGCATCTGCGATTGCTGGCCTCAATTTTAGCAATGATCCAACTTTCACATAATTCAAAGAAAAGATCCTGTATTTCAATATATAACATGGCTGCTAAAGCCGGTGTCCTAGTTGAATGGCTTCTCCTTGTTTTAGGAACCTGTCCTTTAAATCAGTCGGTCTCAAGTGGTGTTGTGGGTCCTGCCCCATATGCTTAGCCAAGCTTCATGTTGGGGGTGGGGCAGAACCTCAGTTAAGTATTTATTGATTTACTTGATAGCCCCCCCCCTTGGCTACGCCCATGTCCCGCCCCTTGGTTCCCTAATCCCAGGGCCCCCTTCTCTACCTCATAAAAAGCATTATTCAGAACAGCCGTTTGCATGACCCATTAAGGAAGTTAATAACGCAATAAAATTCAAAGCACCAAAAATTAATTGCACATTTATTCAAAATCTAACTGAAACCTTCCGGCAACTCTCAACTTACTCTGGGGTTATGTTCAAGGGACGGTGCATAGAGCCAAAATTGTGAAGTCGAAACACATTGGGTTCAGTAGTGGATGGGATTGCCAAAGCCTTCCCCCCAGACGCCTGACCCCCTTTTAACGTTTTGATTATTATTTCTATTAGCCAAGCATGTAAAGCTGAATGCACATGAGTTAAATGTGTGCCGGTTGCTAGTTACCTGTATTTATTTATTTATTTATTTTTCAATAATTTTTTATTAAATTTTTAAACAAACAAAAAAAGAAAAACAACACACACAAAAAACAATACAAAACTTAACAATAAAAACACAAAACATAACAATTAAAAACAAACTCTCTTTTCCATTTCCAATTTTAAATTACTTATTTTCTGGACTTCCTCATACCTCCCTCTTTTGTATTCCAATCTACATTGTTTGTCCAGCAGTTTCTTTTCCACTTTTTTAATCCCAATCTTTAATTTAATAAAACGTTAAGATATATAACTTCAACTTTTTTAAACCTAATCCTTGATCTTAATGTCATACAACTTTAAATTTTTCCCTTTTATTATCAAATTTCCATTTCTTTAAACATCTTTAATCTTGATCTTTAATCTTAATCTATCCTTAACTTTAACCTGTACAGCTGGAAACCACTTGTTTTCAGTCCAACATCACTCTAACATTCCTTAATTTTACAGTGTTTCTGAAGATAGTCTTTGAATTTCTTCCAGTCTTCCTCCATCGACTCTTCTCCCTGGTCACGGATTCTACCAGTCATTTCCGCCAATTCCATATAGTCCATATACCTGTATTTAATTAATTCAACTAAATGGATGAACTGAGGGCTAGCTCGGCCGTTGGAGCACGAGACTCTTAATCTCAGGATGGTGGGTTTGAGCCCCACATGGAGCCAAAGATGCCTGCATTGCAGGGGGTTGGACTAGATGACCCTTGCTGCCTCTTCCAACTCTACAGTTCTCCGATTCTGTGAATTTGATCCAGGGCGTCTGGTGCTCAGCTACCCCTCCAGTGCCCCCTACTTGCCTCTCAGGGCTCACCCAGACGCTACTTGCCCCTCTGAGGCACCACCAGTAGATGGTTCCCCAGGCTGGATGGCTAGGAGGTCACCTGCTCTGGTTGGGGTTACGCTTCCTCTGAAGGAGCAGGGGCGCAGCTTGGGGTTCCTCCTGGATCCTTTGCTGTCGCTCGAGGCTCAGGTGGCCTCAGTGGCCCTGAGTGCCTTCCATCAGCTTTGGCTGGTGGCCCAGCTGTGCCCCTATCTGGACAGGGAGAGCCTAACTACTGCTGTCTATGCTCTGGTATCCTCAAGGTTAGATTACTGCAGTATGTTATACATAGGGCTGCCTCTGAAGACGGTTTGGAAACTTCAGCTGGTGCAGAATTCAGCGGCCAGGTTGCTCACCGGAGCAAGACGGTTTGAGCATATTATGTACACCGATCCTGGTCCGACTGCACTGGCTGCCAATTAACTTCCAGGCCCAATTCAAAGCTCTGGTTTTGACCTATAAAGCCTTTAATGGCTCAGGACCTCAAGGACCTCCTTTCGCCAGATGAACTGCCCTGGACCCCGAGATCATTCTCTGAGGCCCTCCTTCGGGTGCCTTGACTGCAAGAGGCCTGGACAAGAAGGGGCCTTTTCTGCGGTGGCTCCCTCTTTTGTGGGACGCTCTCCCCAGGGCGGCTCACCTGGCCAGTGTTCAAAACTCCCGCTGTTCTAGGTGCATTTTACGACAGGGAATTTCATGAGCACCAGCCGTTTCTGAGCTCTGGGTGCAAATACTGTGCCTAAGATTTCAGATTAAAACTGCAAAGTGGAAGGAAAGGAGGACCTTTTTCTGCCTCCCCACTTCCAGCCACACTCTGAAGACTGGAGAAGAGACCCTCTTAAGAATATTAGAGGGGTGGGCAGGGGAAGGACATAAGATTTTAGTTGCAGTTCATTCATTTTCAGCTTTGTAGTCTTGTTATAAAAAAGGCATGCCTAAACATTCTGCTGCTGTTCCAGTAACCTCCGTTTAAGGTGCCATTTAGCTCATAGCTTTCCCCTCTCAGTTTCTTCTTTTCTTTTCTTTTTCTTTTCTTTTTCTTTTCTTTTCTTTTCTTTTCTTTTCTTTTCTTTTCTTTTCTTTTCTTTTCTTTTCTTTTCTTTTCCTCAGTTTCTCAGTTTTTCACACTGCTCCTGGCTCCTTCCCTATATGTCCTTAGGCACCAGGCAGAAACATTCCTCTTCTCCCAGGCCTTTGGCTAATTGTACAATCTACAACCTTTAAATATTAAAAACATGATAAAGCATCAAACATTAAATACCTCCTGATACAGGGCTGCTTTCAGATGTCTTCTAAAAGTCAGATAGTTCTTTATTTCCTTGACATCTAATGGGAGGGCGTTCCACAGGGCGGGCGCCACCACTGAGAAGGCCCTCTGCCTGGTTTTTGTTTGGTAAAATGTTATCTTTTTGTTGTTGTTGTTGTTTTTGCAAACCACCCTGTGATCCACGGATGAAGGGCAGTATGGAAATTTAATAAGTAAATAAATATCTAAAATAAATTGGGGACTCCAGTTGGCGTGAAGCTGGTTTGAGAAGCAATGCGCTAGCAGGGCTATTTTGAAAGGTGTGCCTTTTGGATTCAGTCCAGTGGAGACGGACCAGAAACCCGGCCTTGGAAGCCCAGCAAGGGGCCTGGGGAGGGGGCTTCCTCTCTGCGCCTTATCTGGGTGCGCTCTGGGCCCAGCGCCAGTCCAAAGATCTGCCTCCATAGACCTGTAGGGTCATTTGATTTGCATCGGGCTGCATGCCAGGCGTGTCGTCAGTCCTTGGTCTCCTTTTGAGGCCCCACCCCTTCACGAAATAGCAACTGACCACCCTTTCGGAATTGTAGAAATAATGAAGATACGCAGGCAAAAATGGCTGCATGCAATTCACTGAATCCCACTTCATAATAATTTAAAAATCGGATCCCACCTCTGTACCAGTGTCTAGATATTGCAAGTCTTCTGTCTGGTCCAAGGCAGGCTCAGGCTGATGCTCTAGGGAGCCTCCAGGGGGAGGGGACCCCTAAGCCCAGATTTTTTTGGGGGGAGGAGGGCAAAGCAACCAGAAAGTGGGTGTTCTATCTGCCAAGCGGGCTGAGTTGACTTGCATCATTGGCAAAAATCCAGCCCCTTGCCAGCCGCAGTCGGTAGGCTCAACAGGAAAACTGGCCCTGCTTCATTGAGGGGGGTTGAGGAATCCCCAGGCAGGTGGTCCATCAGCCTGGATCTGGCGGGGGGGGGGGGAGTTGGGATGTGGGGACTCTCGTAACTGGGGAGAGACTAGGCTGCCCAGGGGCAGTGCCAGGGGAGGGGATATGATGGCACCCCCTTGGCACTTCCAAGCAGCTCTGCCTTCCTCATCCAGTAGGCTCCCCCCCCCCCCAATTTCAATGCCTGGGGGGTTCCCCTCCCTCCTTCCTTCCCTGCATGTTGCCTCCAGCGCTCCATATAGGGCTCCTCCCAAGACTGAGGAAGGAAATGGAAGCAGAAAGCAAAGGTGTGGCTTCCTGTCTCCAACACTCTGGGAGAACAACAGGCGGCTTGATGTGGCCAGGCCAAGGGCAGTGGGGCTGGGGAGGGGGCTTCCAAGATGCAGACACGCCCCCCCCCCCAGTATCCTGCAAGCCCCACGCTCTGGCCCCGAGCTCTGATGGTTGCTTGAGGCAAACACCATCTCTCCCTTGGGCTTTTTTGGATCCGAGAACAGTGGAGCTGGAAGGAACCAAGCGGTCATCTGGCCCAACCCCTGCAATGCAGGGATCGCAGCTGGAGAAAATGAAGCGAGTTGTCCAGGGGGACATGAAGGATGGGCAAATAATCATGCCTGGCACAGAGAAAGTGGGCAAGGAGAAGTTTTTCTCCCCGTCTCCTGATGGCAGAGCTTGTGAACTTGCCATGAAGCTGAAGGTCAGGTGACTCAGGACAGACAAAAGCCCATAGTTGGAACTGCGGAACTCCCTCCCGCAGGAAGCAGGGAAGGCTCTCTTCCTGGAAGCCCCCTCCCTTCTCAGAGGTGCTGGTCCAGGAATTGGGGGCTGACTCAGAGGCACCCGGCTGCAGGATGTGCCCTCCCAGCCCTTGCATCACCACAATCTTCATCTTGATCATTCAAGATTCCCTCTCGCTGAACCTTTTCAGTAAAAATGCAGAGGAAATAGATGGTGGTGAGGCTGCCCTGGATGGAAGAGGAGTGAGGCCCAGGACTTGCAGGGGCTGGACTGGATGGCCCTTGGGGTCCCTTCCAACCCGACCATCCTACGGTTCCTCCTTGCTGAGGTCCAGAGGCCTCCCCTGGGCAAGGTCAGGGCATGGACAGAGGCTGCCTGGCGCCCCCTGGATGCTTCTCTGGGCTTCAGGAGGAGGCATGCCAGGGTGGGGCTCAGATTTCCCATCGGGAAACGAAAGGCAGGGCCCCTCTTCAGGGCCCAGGGGTTCCCTTTGCAGGTCACAACCTGCCTTTATTCCTGAACGGCCCTGAACGGAGTTGTGTTCGGATCAGAGAGTTGTAGGTAACCCAGAGGTCATCTAGCCCAACCCCATAGCCCCTCTTCAGGGCAGCCCTACCACAAAGCAGTCACGTTTGGGGGTGAAATCCAGAGGAGGCCTTTGACCTCCCGTCTTCATCTGCATTTTTACCAAAAATTGCACCTCCAGAATCCCTGACAGGTGGCCATTCTGAGCTCCAGTTTGGGGTGGGGGGCTGAGAGGGTGAGACCCCCTCCGCTCCCGTCCCCCAGTCTGCCACCTGTTTTCTTCTCTCTCCCTCCAACTGGCCTCGCAGCTTGGCATCCTGGCTATTTGGGGAGCGGGGGTGCTAAATGTGTGTCATTCTCTCCCCACTTTTGGAGGGAGCTCGGCCCCACAGCCAACACCCCAAGCCCCCCCCCTTGTCCCGGCTTCATCCGTCTGGGCGGATGGGGAAGGCGAGGCCATAATCCCCCCCCCACTGTTCCCTTTCTCAGCAGGCAGGAAGAAAAGGGAGTTCCTGGCACCAGCGACACATTGCTCCAGAGAGAGCCACTCTCTGCCAGGACCTGGTCCGCAGTGCCATGGGGAACTTGCCGGGGGCCCTTTCCCCCTCCCAGACCCACTTCTGGAGTCTTGACCTCTGCTCCAGGCACCGGGCATCCATCGCGGAAGAAAGCGTCCCCACCAAGAAGTGCAGGTGATAGCAGAAGGGGCCTCAGCCGAGAGCCCAGAGGGCTGGGGGGGGGGGAGAGACGTTGGGAGCCACGTTTGCGGGTGGGAGAGGAGATGACCTGCAGGGAGTCCAGAAGGACTGTTGGGGGTTGAGGAAGTTGGGGACGTCCAGCCTGGACAGGAGAAGGTGGGTGGGTGATTTCAGAGCTGTGTTTAAATATCTGGAGACCAAGCCTTGCAAGGAACGGTTGTGGGAGTTGGGTTTGTTTAGCTGGCAGCAGAAAAGATTGAGGGATGACCAGGAATCATAGGATCATCAGGTGGCTGAGTTGGAAGGGACCCTGAGAGTCATCTCATCCAACCCCCTGAGATGCAGGAATCTCAGCCAAAGCCATCAATATCCAGAGCTGTTTGACAGCGGAACAGACTCCCTCCGAAGGTGGTGGCCTCTCCTTCCTGGGAGGTTTTTAAGCAGAGCTTGGCTGGCCATCCGTCAGGGATGCTTGAGCTGAGATTCCTGCATTGCAGGGGGTTGGACTGGATGACCCCTGGGGTCCCTTCTCTGATTCTATGAACCTCTGCTTAAAAGCCCCACCACCTTCTTACTGTCAGAATGCTCTTCCTGATGTTGAGTCGGAATCTCTTTGCTTGTGACTTGGAGTCATGGGTTTGGGTCCTTCTCTCCAGAAGAGCAAGCTTGCTCCCTCTTCCATGTCAAGGCCCTTGAGATATTTGAAGACGGCTCTCGTATCTCCTCTCGGTCTTCAGATATGTGAAGGGCTCTCATGCAGAAGATGCAGCAAGCTTTCTTTCTCCTGCTCCAGAAGAGAGGAGCCAAACGGATGGATTGAAGCAGCAAGGAAGGAAATTCTGAGTCAACGTTCGTGTTGCCGGACAATTAAGAAGGGTTTTCTGAGGGTTTGGGTTGTCTGACAGTGACATGGACGCCCTTGAATGATGGTTGGCTCTTCTTCACTGGAGGCTTTTAAAGAGAGGTTGGCTGGCCATCGATCGGCCTGGGATTCTTTCACTGGGAATCCTGCATTGCAGGGGGCTGGGTCCCCTTCCAAACACACAATTCCACAATTCTGTGGACTTTGCTGGGGTCAAGCCAGATGGGATCCCTTGGAGGAAGAGGAGGTGTCCTCAGTTCCTCTGCTGGCATCGGAAGGACTCCCTGGGTGGGCTTTCCTTCCATGCCAGGGGTCCCCAGGGTTGCCTCCTGGCCCTCTGCAGCTTGGCTTCATCACTTGTTCAACTCTGAGACCAGTAGTGTTGGGAGGGACCCCAAGGGTCATCCAGTCTGCCCCTCCTGCAATGCCAAAATTGCAGCTGGGGCGTCCCTGGTAGGTGCCCCCCAACCTCTGCTTAAAACCTTCCCCTGGTCCCGGATCCCCCCTTTTTTAAGCACTCTGGCCTTCTCTTTGGGCCTCCCTTTGGATCTGCTCTTCCAGGGAGGACTTGTCCCATCCAATCCTCACCCCGGCCTTGTGGGAATCGGTTGGGCCAAGCGACAGGCCCAGAGGCCCCTTCCCGTTTTCTGCATGGCAGGCGCTGAGCTGCTCTGGGGGGCACAAGGTTTTCCTCTGGAGGGGGCCTGGCCTAGGTGTCCTTTGTGATCCCCCCCTCCTTTCCCTGCCATTGCTCTGGGCCCCCAAGTCAACCATTCTCCCCACCCCCAGATCGGACTGCCTTGCCTTCCCCTGTCCCAGCATTGGGGTCCCTCCCTGACTCTCCCTTTTTTCTGGGGACCTGGGTTTGGGGGCATCATCTCAGGGTTGGCTTGCAGATTGTCAGGGGGGGTCATGTCTTCCCCTGCTTTTGAGGTTGACCTGCCTCGAACGCTTTAGTTGGGGTTCCCTCCTTGCAGGGGGTTGGGCTAGATGACCCCTGGGGATCCCTCCCAGCTCTTCAGTTCTGTGATTCTCTGGTTCCAGCTGCCCAGTTGCCCACCCAGCTGAGCGCCCCGCCGAACCCCCCAAGTACACCCGGCTGAAGAACTGGCAGACGGGCTCCATCCTGTATGACACTCTCAATGCCCAGACCTTGCAGGTGAGGCCTCTGAGGTGGGGGGGGCTCCCCTCCCTTGGGTATCTCAGCCAGCCAGCCAGAAGGCTGCTTGGGCAGCTGCTGCTGCTCACCTCTCTGCCCCTGGGGCAAATCCCACCCCCCAGCCAGAATCCCGAGGAAGTGAGTCAGCACGTTGTCACCTTCTGTGTGTTCTCCACCCTCTTCCAAATATACGTAAGAACAGGGCTGGCCCAAGACATCAGCGGGGGGGGGGGGGGAGAGAGAGAGAGAGAAGGAGGAAACCGATCAGGCCTCCTCAGCCACAGTGGGTGATGCAGTCTGTCCAGGCCGGATCAGCTGCCCCCCAGGATCCTGCCCCTTCACCTTGCCTTGTGGATGGGCCAGCCCTGCCTAAGAGCAGAAGGAGAGCCTGCCGGATCAGGCCCAAGGGAGCCCCTCTAGCCCAGCTTCCCCTTCACACAGGTGAACCAGATGCCCCCATGCGGGATCCCAGCCCCAGAGCCTCTCTCTCCCCTCTGGGGTTTCCAGCACCAGGGATGCAGAATCATGGCCGCCTCCGACAGAGCCCACCCCTGGGGGCTCCTTGCCATTGGTAGCCCCCCCTCCATGCATTTCTCTGATCCTCTTTTAAAGTTGGCGGCCATCCTGCCTCCTGGGGAAGTGAGTTCCATAGTTTAACTTGGCGCTGCCTAAAGAAGGACTTTCTTGGGTCTGTCCTGAACCTTCCAGCCCTGGGCTTCCTTGCATGTCCACAGGTTCCAGTCTTTTGAGAGAGGAGGAAAGCTCTTTTCATCCCACTTTCTCTATGCCAGGCATAATTTTACAAACTTCTTCCTAGGGGAATCACTCCATCCCCCTGACCATCTGGACTGCTTTTCCCCCACATTGTTTCCAACTCTTCCGTGTCCTTTTGGCACAGAAGGTGACCAGATGTTCTGGAGCTCCCAGGCCCCATATAATCCCAGACCAACTGGGCTGATGAAAGCCCCGCCCCCACATTTGGGGCTCCAGGGGTTCCCCTGCCTGGCTTCAGGGGCCAACCAGTCCTGTGTCAGCAGGGAGGGGAGCAGCTGGCCAGGAGATGGATGTTGCGGCTGGGAAGGGGAGCCTCCTGATGGGGCTGGGGAGTGAAGAGCCTTCGCCGCTGCAGCCCCTTCCCCTCTTTCTCTGCAGAATGTGCCGTGCAATGAGAGGCGCTGCCTGGGCTCCGTCATGTTCCCCAAGCAGATGTGTGCTGCTTCGGAGGGCCCCCGCCCCACGGAAGAGCTCCTGCCCCTGGCGCGGGACTTCATTAACCTCTACTACCACTCCATGAAACGGTGAGTCTCTGGGAGCCTTGCTCAGCCCCATCTCTGGTGGGTGCCATGGCGAAGCTGCACCCAGACCAGGCTCTTGAGGCTCCCTTCAGTCAATGCGGGGCCTGGCCCACATCCTGGCCTCCGCCTGGGGGGCTCCTGCCTCCCCCAAGCCACCTTGCCTGGAATGGCAATCTGCTGGCCACTTACAGAATCCAGACATTGTTCTCCAAGCCTGGCATTTCTGTGTTCTGTTATCCCTTTTCCTACTTCGGACCTGACTTGGGGTGAGTTTTGTACGTTCCTGTGAAATACAATTGCAGCATTGCCTGATTTGGAGCTTGCAGGGTGCGGTTAAGGCTTTTCAGGACTCGTGCCCCATTAGTTAGCAGCGTCCTGTTTTTTCAGCCACAAAGGAGATTTGTTTTTTTAGTTAGTAGATTCCTGTTTGCAGCTTTCATTGCTTCCCGTTTAGCATGGTAAAAGGGGCAGGAGTTGCAAGGTGGAAGCTTTTAACGAACATTGCCGGAGATTTTTGCTGAACAGGACTTAGTTCTGCATGTAGGAGGGTCTTGGCCGTCGGCAGGGTGCCGCTGGATTATATCAAGTGCAATATGGCCTCATGGTTCTGATTCCACTTACAGCCAATTGTGGAGAAGAGTCGTAAACAAAATCTGCCCTTTTTCCCTTATGGGGTATCCAAGAGCCCATATAGAGGCCTTACATAGGTTCCCTATTGGTAGGAGAAAATAACAGAGGCCAACCAGAGAATATTGAGAAGCAAAGCAGCTCGTAAGCCTGATCTTTATTGATCTGTTGCAACAGGGTGCTCCCCTCACTCGCAGGAAAGGAGGAGGAACCCCGAACCAAGGTGTGCCTGCCCTTATATAGACATTTTAAATCTCCTGCCCTGGAGCTCAAGACCACCCCCCACAAACATCATACCTACATCACAGAAAAGGTGGTCTACAACAGAAATCTGAGTGACTTGTTTATATCGTCTGACAGGTTACCTGTTTAATGGTCACTTGATTGGATACCCTGGGGAGCCTGGCCAGTCTCTTGTAATGATAAATACTTATTTCTTGAGCCAGGTCACAGGCTCACCCTATTCAAACACAGACATACCCTTAAGACAGGATTTGTGAAGGAAAAGACAATGGGGTGGCTTTTCCATTTTCCTTTGACCTTGCAGAGAAAACATTTGCTCAGTTTGGGACAGTTTGGGAATCAAAATGGTTCCAGGTCAGTCTTCTTGTGCTGATCTATGTACACGTTTGGCTGGTACACTTAAGAACATTTAACATATATCTAAGAGCTCAAAATTCCTATCACAGAAGCAATCTAAGGGACGTGATGTGGGAGCAGCCCAGATTCCCTTGCAGAGTCCACTCCTGTTGATGCACCCCCAGCCATAAGCCTCCTCTGCCATGGCTTCCCCCAGGTGGTTCAACCCCCCCCCCCAGCTCTCACGAAGGCTGATCTGTGGGAACATGGAGTTCCCCAATTCCTGCGCCCCACACTCTTCCCCTCCCACATGCTTCTAAATGCCACAGTCTAGTCAGAGATTTCCACCCGTCCTAAGATAACAACTGTGCATGATGGCTTATCTATGGCGAAAGAGGTGTGAGTCAATAGTCCCTGAGCCTGGGCGAAGTGCTGCGTCCCAAGGTTGGCACCCCTTGGATTTCTTACGGGGGGGGGGATCCCTGCAGCTCCTTGCTCCCCAGTTGGAATGGGCAGAAGGCAGGGCTCTCTTGCCATCTCCTAAGAAGGCTTCCTCCCCCCAGCAGCTTTCCTCCCCTTACTCCTGAGTAGCCCCCTTTGTGAGGCAGGGAGACAAGCCTGGGAGGGGGCGGGGGCACCCCTTCTGGGCCCCAGGGAGCTGCTCTTTGCCTTCACTCCTTTGTTCTCTGCAGGACTCCTGACTTGGGTGGATGTTATCTGAGGGCTTTTCCTCTCTCAGCTGTTTCTTCCTGTCCCCCCCAGAAGCCTCTGATGTCAGGAGCAGACTTTTCTCTAGCCTGCTGCCCCCCCCTTGCAAAAACATTCAGATGACTCCTAAAACCTTTATCTTGCCTGCAGAATGGAAAGCTGTGCGCTTGTCTTTTGCAGCAGAGCAAACCCTGTTCCCACTTGTCTGGCAGCAGAATCTGTCCCACCCCCACCCCGCTTCGACCTTGTCCGCCTGGTTCGGCTGCTTGGGAATTTCCACCCTCAAAAAGAAATCCAGCTTTTGGAGGATGGAAGAAAATGAGCGTCAGGAGAGCCTGGTGCCTAATGGGGGGGGGGGCAGGGGCAGCCCAGATTGTGCTTCAACTGGTTCCCAGCCAGATGCCCCCCCCCAGGTCAAGAGCGCCATATCCCCCTTTGGGTCCCCCAGCAATTTGCCTCTCCAGGTGGGGCTGATCCTGGAGGCCATAAATAGCCCCCACGGGGAGGGGCCGTGATGCTCAGAGACAGGGATGCTTCCGGGTACCAGCTGCTGGAAAGTGCAGGAGGGGAAGAATCCTGGCTGCGAGCTTCCTGGGTGGCCTCTGTGCAAGGAGGATGCTGGACTAGGTGGGCTCTGTTAAGGGGAAATAGAACTCAGGGTTCCCCAAGGGTTTCCCAACTTTGCCAGGACCTGGTCCTGCGGGTTCAAATCGGTCCGGTTCAAGCAAGAGACGCCCGCCAAGTTAGCAAAGCCAAAGAGCAGCAATTTAGCCTGATGGTTGCAACAAGGTTCCAACTCCCAAGCAGGCAAAGAAGAAGAACCGAAAACAAAAGCTTACACCCACTTTCAAAAGTTTCCAGAGTTTCCCATCATACATGTCACGAAGCATCGTAGAAATGTCAGAGGAGGAGGTTTGGGGACAGGCAGAAATCTGTGTCCCAGCCGTGTCCCCTGTCCCTCAAGGCAGCGATTAGAACTCCGTCTCTCACCTTCCAGAGAAAGTGTTTCCGTTCCCTTTGCTCTCTGGATTCAGTTGCCCCCTCTATTCCTGCTGCACCTGGTGAACCCCCGCCTGGGATGGAGGTCCCTGCATGTAGTGTGAGGGGGATATTGCCCAGTCTGCTAGCCAGGAGGGAGGTCCTGAGGACGGGCTCTTCTTCCCCAGGTCTTCTTCCCTGTGCAATCTCTTAATCGCCTTTGGAACCAAAGAAAGCCATTTGTTTGGCTATTTTGGTGAATTTCTGTTTTTCAGGTAATGGGGTTTACTTGCCTTGTTCTGGTAAGATGGCTGTAGGCATTAGTTCCTGGGGGGTTGAATGGGTGGAGTGTGTGTGTGTGTGTGTGTATGTGCACGCGCACACCCACACCCACACTTTGTTTCAAGTCTCTGTAATGCTTCTGATGTGCTGGTTGGGGACACCCCCTGTGCCCGTAAGAGGCCCCCTTTGGCCTGATCCAGGGTGTTCTCTGGATGTTTTCAGGCTCTAGCACCACGGCAGAGCCCCTGCCCTGCATGCAGAAGGACCCGGGTTCAACTCCTGCTGGCGGAGTCTCCAGGCAGGGCTGAGGGAGACTCCTTGCTTGAAACCCAGGGAGAGCCATTCTGCCCCCCCCTCCATCATTTGGGTGGCCCTTTTCTGAACCTTTTCCAACTCTCCAATAACCTTTTTGAGATGAGGTGACCAGAACCAGACCCAGTGCTCCAGGTGCGGTGGCACCATAGATTTTATTATTTATTTATTTATTTATTTATGTGTGCATTGGTGGCATTGGCCTGATGCAGGGAGTTCCAAAGGGTATGGGTGACGCTCCCCTAGAAGATGGTCCCCCGTCCTGCCACTCATCCCCTGGCCTGGGGCGGGGCCTGGGGGGCTCTATAAAGGGCTGGTGCTGGGCAGAGAGGGCTCCGTTTTGTTTTGTTTTTGTTTTGTTGTTTAAAGTGCTGCTATTTTTTACCTATGTCATTTTAAACTGTGATATTAATGCTATGATTTATGTGGAAATTGTTTTCCATTTGGTTGTGTATTTTTTTGATGTGGTTTATTTATTGTTTATGACTTTTGTAATTATGTAAATCTTGTCATGTTGTAAGCCGCCTTGAGCATTGTTTTTACCTGTGGAAAGGTGGCACACAAATAAAGGTGGGCATCACAAGCTGCTGGTAGTGGTGCCAGTTCTGCCCCTCGAAGTGGGGGGGGTGCATGTGGGGCAGGATGATTTCGGTTCTCGCCTGAGTTGGGGGGCCGTGGGAAGAGCAGGCTGTGGGGCAGGCGGGGAGGCAGAAGGAGTCCCTGGAGCTGCCCTGCCTGCTGCCCCACCTGAGCCCCTCCCCCACTCCATTTCTCCGCAGCTCCGAGTCCCAGGCCCACCTGCAGCGCCTCCAGGAGGTGGAGCAGCAGATTGCGGAGACAGGGACCTACCAGCTGCTGCAGGCAGAGCTGATCTTTGGGGCCAAGCACGCCTGGCGCAACGCCTCCCGCTGCCTGGGCCGGATCCAGTGGAACAAGCTGCAGGTGCGTCTGGGGGGGGGGCAGCGGAAGCAGCAGGGAGCCCTGAGCTAGGCTGCCCCTTCCCGGGGGGGGGGGCTTCTCTTGCATAGACTTCACCCTTCTGCCCCCCAGCCCTGGTCATTTTGGGTGCTTGGGGAGTCAGGTCCCATCAGCATCTTCTGTGCTCCTTTCCGGGATCCAGATGTGCTGCTCTCTCGGCCCCATGCAGATGTTTGGGCCTTTGGTATCTTGGCAGGAGGAGGCAAGATTGTGACCCTTGCCCGCCCCCCCCCCAGCAGCCGGCCTTTGCTGCCCATCCTGGCACCTGACCCTTTGACCTTCCTTGTTCTCTTCCCCTCCAGGTGTTTGATGCCCGAGATTGTGCCAGCGCCCAGGAGATGTTCACCTCCCTCTGCACCCACATCAACTATGCCACCAACCGCGGAAACCTCCGGTGAGGGACCCCTTTTGCTTCCCTCCACGCTGCCCGGTGCCCAGGGGACTCAGCCTTTGCTGGGAGGGGCTGCTGCCATTTCCCCTCCCTGGCAGGTGGTGGTGGCACGGCTGATGCTACCAGTTTGAGCTGAGCACTCTGCTTTTCTCCCACAGCTCAGCCATCACCATCTTCCCAAACCGGATAGCCGGCCGGGGCGACTTCCGCGTCTGGAACCAGCAGCTGATCCGCTATGCAGGCTACGCGCAGCCGGACGGCACCATCCTGGGAGACCCGGCCAACGTGGATTTCACGGAGGTGAGAAGTGGCTCTCCTCTTCCACCCCCAACCAGGACCATTCATGGCTCCTAGCATTTGAGCCTCCATTCACAATAGTGAAGAGAGCCAGTGTGGTGTAGTGGTTAAGAGCGGTAGTCTCGTAATCTGGGGAACCGGGTTCGCGTCTCCGCTCCTCCACATGCAGCTGCTGGGTGACCTTGGGCCAGTCACACTTCTCTGAAGTCTCTCAGCCCCACTCACCTCACAGAGTGTTTGTTGTGGGGGAGGAAGGGAATGGAGAATGTTAGCCGCTTTGAGACTCCTTAAAGGGAGTGAAAGGCAGGATATCAAATCCAAACTCTTCTTCTTCTTCTTCTAGTCATCTGTTTGTTTTGTAATAATATATATTGCCTGATCCAGAGGCTGCAGTCAGTGCAGGATGCTGCAGCGCGATTGCTGACGGGAGCGAGGCCTCGGTGCCACATCGCCCCTTTGCTGCTCAGAGATCTGTGCCAGTTGCCCCTTTGCAGGCTGAGTCCAAGGCATTGCTAAGCGTCTATCTAAAGCAGAGCTTTCCAAACTCTGTTGCGACACATTTGTGCGTTGGCTGCAGTGTGTAACTGTGCTGCGCAATATGTGTCCTCTTATAGGGGTTAGAATCATAGAATCATAGAATCATAGAGTTGGAAGAGATCACAAGGGCCATCGAGTCCAACCCCCTGCCAAGCAGGAAACACCATCAGAGCACTCCTGACATATGGTTGTCAAGCCTCTGCTTAAAGACCTCCAAAGAAGGAGACTCCACCACACTCCTTGGCAGCAAATTCCACTGTCGAACAGCTCTTACTGTCAGGAAGTTCTTCCTAATGTTTAGGTGGAATCTTCTCTCTTGTAGTTTGGATCCATTGCTCCGTGTCCGCTTCTCTGGAGCAGCAGAAAACAACCTTTCTCTCTCCTCTATGTGACATCCTTTTATATATTTGAACATGGCTATCATATCACCCCTTAACCTCCTCTTCTCCAGGCTAAACATGCCCATCTCCCGTAGCCGTTCCTCATAAGGCATCGTTTCCAGGCCTCTGACCATTTTGGTTGCCCTCCTCTGGACACGTTCCAGTTTGTCAGTGTCCTTCTTGAACTGTGGTGCCCAGAACTGGACACAGTACTCCAGGTGAGGTCTGACCAGAGCAGAATACAGTGGCACTATTACTTCCCTTGATCTAGATGCTATACTCCGATTGATGCAGCCCAGAATTGCATTGGCTTTTTAGCTGCCGCGTCACACTGTTGGCTCATGTCAAGTTTGTGGTCAACCAAGACTCCTAGATCCTTTTCACATGTACTGCTCTCAAGCCAGGTGTCACCCATCTTGTATTTGTGCCTCTCATTTTTTTGCCCAAGTGCAATACTTTACATTTCTCCCTGTTAAAATTCATCTTGTTTGTTTTGGCCCAGTTCTCTAATCTGTCAAGGTCGTTTTGAAGTGTGATCCTGTCCTCTGGGGTGTTAGCCACCCCTCCCAGTTTGGTGTCATCTGCAAATTTGATCAGGATGCCCTTGAGTCCATCATCCAAGTTGTTGATAAAGATGTTGAATAAGACCAGGCCCAAGACAGAACCCTGTGGCACCCCACTAGTCACTCTTCTCCAGGATGAAGAGGAACCATTGATGAGCACCCTTTGGGTTCGGTCAGTCAGCCAGTTACAAATCCACTGAGTGGTAGCATAGTCAAGACCGCATTTTACCAGCTTCTTTACAAGAATATCATGGGGCACCTTGTCAAATGCCTTGCTGAAATCAAGGTAGGCTACATCCACTGCATTCCCTTCATCTACCAGGCTTGTAATTCTGTCAAAAAACGAGATCAGGTTAGTCTGACATGAGTTATTTTTCAGAAATCCATGCTGACTATTGGTGATCACAGCATTCCTTTCTAGGTGCTCACAGACTGTTTGCTTAATGATCTGCTCCAGAATCTTCCCTGGTATTGATGTCAGACTGACTGGGCGGTAATTATTTGGGTCCTCTCTTTTCCCCTTTTTGAAAATAGGGTCAACATTTGCCCTCCTCCAGTCTGCCGGGACTTCGCCTGTTCTCCAGGAATTCTCAAAGATGACTGCCAGTGGTTCTGAGATCACATCTGCCAGTTCTTTTAATACTCTTGGATGCAGTTCATCTGGCCCTGGAGACTTGAATACATCTAAACTAGTCAAGTATTCTTGTACTATCTCCTTAGTTATTCTGGGCTGTGTTTCCTTTGCTGAATCATTTGCTCAGGTTTGCTAGTAAAACTGAATTACTGTCGCGAAATGATGCATGTCTCAAAAGTGCGTCACCAACATGAAAAGTTTGGAAAGCTCTGATCTAGAGCCTGTAACAACTTGGAACCAGTTTACCTGTGAGATGCCTGAGCCTGTATGTGCCACTTGATTGGCAAACTGCCACTGTTACCTGTTCCGCAGTTGTAAGAACTCAGTATTTTATTGTGGCAGCAGCTGCACTTTGGAACTCCCTGCCTCTTGATACCAAGCAGACGCCTTCCCAGTACGCTTTTTGCACCTGCCAAAAACATTTTTGTTTTGACAAGTCTGTGTAATGGTGCAGCAATAAAATCGCTAGCACATCTACAAAGCTAATCCGGGTCCGGTCTGGTTTCAACTTGCATGGGGGACCACATGCTGAGATTCCTGCCTTGCAGGGGGTGGAGCTAGATGACCCTCAGGGTCCCTTCCAGCTTTATGATTATGTCATTTAGAAAATTGATGTGAATTTTAATCTGCCTTGTGCGTTTTCTTTTAACTTTTTGATTGCCTTAAATGATCATTGCTGATTTTTCTTAGTGACAATTTTAATGTTTTATCTTTTGTGCAAATCGCTTTGAGGTTTTCTCTTTACAATCTTTACAATCAAGCAGCGCATAAATTTTATGCAATAAAGCAACAGAATTATTAAAGTATGTTGCCCAACCGCCCGTCTGGGTTCTTTCTGCACCTCTCCAAAAGCCAACCTGCCCTTCCCTCTGACTCTGAGTGGATGCTGGATATGGGGAGCAGCCCCCCAAGGAGGCTCTGTGACCCCCAACCTTCAGGAAAAGCAAAAGGGGGTCCTGGAGGTGCCTCTGAGGTTTCCCACAGCCTCCCCCTCCTGCTTCTCCAGCTGCCCTGTGTTTGCCGCGGCCCATTGAGGACCCGGCCACACAAAACCCTTGCTTGGCTTTGCTGCAGCAGTGGCCGAAGGCTGCCCCTCTCCCCTGGGATTTCCTGCCCACCATGGACGGCTCTCTCTGTCGGTTTCCAGGTGGGCTCAGGGGTCTCTTGCCTACCAGTCTCTCCCCCCCCCCCCAGGTCTGCGTTCAGTATGGCTGGCGGCCCCCCAGGGGGCGCTTTGACATCCTCCCCCTGCTGCTTCAGGCACCCGATGAGGACCCCGAAATCTTTCCCCTGCCAGGGGAGCTGGTCCTGGAGGTCCCCATCTGCCACCCCACGTGAGTGCCAGGAAAGGGGGTGGCACTGGGTGTGGGGAGGGGGGGACGTGGGGGGGAGTGATGGCAGCGCTCTTGCCGATTGCAACGGTCGTCCCCAAAGGCTGCCAAGGACTTTCATGGAATCATGTAGAGTTGGGAAAAAACCCCAGGGGTCATCTAGTCCAACCCCGGCAAGGCAGGAATCGCAGCTCCCCCTTCTGACACCTGCCTTCCTCTTCCAGGCTCAAGTGGTTCAAGGATCTGGGCCTCCGCTGGTACGCCCTCCCTGCGGTGGCGAACATGCTCCTGGAGATCGGGGGCCTGGAGTTCCCGGCGGCCCCCTTCAGCGGCTGGTATGTCGGCTGTGAGATCGGCATGAGGAACTTCTGTGACTCCCAGCGCTACAACCTCCTGCAGGTAGGGGTCGTCTGGGGGAAGCCCCCCCCCGCCCTGGCCCCCTTCCTCCCCTCTGCTCCCCCGATCATGACTGATACAGAACAGAAGAAGAGTCAACTGGCCCATCTGTCCCCCCCCCAATTTTTTTTATTGATTTTCAAATTTATAAACAAACATAAATCCTAACTATAATTATTCCACTATTATTAACATTGTTAGGTGACTTCCTCGAGTCCCCTTGGCTGAGTTTCAATGTACCGGTATATCAGTGTAACAGTTTTCCAAAACTAATTTCTCATAAAATTTACTTAGTCAATTAACATCTTTCTTTCTTACCATATTAACTTTAAACGTATTATTCTATAAAATCACATATTTAAATCCTAAGCCAATCTGGTATTTGCAAGTATTTCTATTTAAGTTATCTTAACATATTTAGCTAAATAGTCTTTGAATTTCATCCATTCCTCCTGGTACTCCTCCTCCTTCTGGTCACGGACTCTTCCGGTCACGTTGGCCAGCTCCCAAAAGTCCATCATCTTCATCATTCTCCACTGTTGGCACTTCTTGTGCTTTCCAATTTTTGGCTAACAAAATCCTAGCACCAGCTGTGGCATACAAAAACAATCTAATGTCTTTCTTGGGCAATTCCAAACCTATTATTCCAACAAGAAAGGCCTATGGATTCTTAATAAATGTATATTTCAACATTTTTTCCAATTCATTATAAATCTTCTCCCAGAAGTCTTTCACCTTGGGGCATGTCCACCACATATGATAAAAGGTACCTTCTTTTTCTTTACATTTCCAACATAAATTATCACTATTGTGATAAATCTTTGCTAATTTTACAGGAGTTAAGTACCATCTATACATCATTTTCATAATATTTTCCTTTAACACCGTACATCTGGCCCAGCATGCTGTTCTCACAGGGGCCAAATACCCATAGGAACCTAGGAATCTAGATAAAAAGGTAAAGGGACCCCTGACCATTAGGTCCAGTAGTGACTGACTCTGGAGTTTCGGCGCTCATCTCGCTTTATTGGCCGAGGGAGCCAGTGTACAGCCTCCGGGTCATGTGGCCAGCAGGACTAAGCCGCTTCTGGCAAACCAGAGCAGTACGGAAACGCCGTTTACCTTCCCGCCGGAGTAGATACTTGCACTTTGACGTGCTTTTGAACTGCTAGGTGGGCAGGAGCAGGGACCGAGCAACAGGAGCTCACCCCGTTGCGGGGATTCGAACCACTGACCTTCTGATTGGCGAGTCCTAGGCTCTGTGGTTTAACCCACAGTGCCACCTGTGTCCCTAGGAATCTAGATAGACTGCCCCTGGTGCTGGAGGTTTCACTCATAGCAAGAGACCTGACTGGAGCAGGCCGATGGCTCATCTGGTGCAGCAAGTAGCCAACCTGATGCCTCAGCGGGAAACGCGCAGGCCGGATCCGAGCCCAATTCTCCTCCCCTGCAGTTCCAGAAGCATTGCTGTCTCCGACTGTGGAGGGCAGGGCAGGGCCCCCATTGCCAGGAGCCCCTGGTATTGGAGCAGGCTGGTAGGTCTTATTAGGCAGGTGAGGGAATATGCTGACTGTATTTTATCCCTCTGGAGTCCCGCAGGTGTGGGTGGAGACAAGGAGACAAGGTGGCTGCAAATACAGAGCTTTTGGAGACTCTCCCACGAGAGAAAGGCCTCTCAGCAGAGTGTAAATCCCATCTTAAGCACAGGAAATAAGCCTTAGGCTGATCTCCCCCTTTAGTTTTCCTGTTTATCAAAGAAACAGGCTACAGACTGAGAAATAACTTTAAAACATATAGTTTAATCCAGCATTTGTGCGGCAACAGCAGTAAAAAGTAATGCAGGTAGAATACTTGACTTTGCAGCAAAAAGAAAGCGAGTAGAAGAGGAACTACTTCTTCCCTCCCAGGAGAGGAGGGGAAGTGACATCGCACAGAGCCTTCTCTACCAATTACGTTTCTATGGTCTGAGCCAGCCTATCAGCAATTCAGCTCTATGGTCTTAACCCTTTCAGCTGCTAACTAGGAAGAATGTGCCTTGTGAGATTGGATGGTGCGTCTTCCACGCAGGCGGCGTAAAGGTCCTGCCCCCCCAACCGAAATGTGTCTTTGCAGGAGGTGGCTGAGCAGATGGGGCTGGACACCCAGACAACCTCCTCCCTCTGGAAGGACAAGGCGGCCGTGGAGATGAATGTGGCCATTTTGCACAGTTTCCAGGTGATGGATTGGATGGGGAGACAAGGGAGTGAGGCACAGGTGGGGAGGGGGGGAGGAAGAGGAGGAAGAGAGCTTGCTGGGAATTCACCCCCCGCCAGCCCCCTTTCCTGGGTAAGAGCATAAGACTAGATGACTCTTGGGGTCTCTTGCAGCTCTATAAATTCTGTGATTTTATGATTCTGCGATCAGCTTCACGGAATCCCTGCAAGTTCTGGTGCCGGGGGAGAAAACCTTTCCTCTCTCCACTTTTTTCATGACAGGCATCCTTTTACAAGCATCTACTTTGTCGCCTATTTCTCCCTTCTCTATACAAAAATATCCCAAACGCTGCCCCCTTAGAGGATTCCCTCCAGAGACGCAGGATTCTCTGGGCTTTGGGCCTTTTTGGAGGGGGAGGGCGGACCTTTCTGAGAGTGGCGGCTGCCTCTTGAACTAGCGTGGATTGAGCTCCCCTCTGTGGTGGGTCCCCAGGTCCCCACAGCCAGGAGGTGGAGAAACACGGAGGAAGGAAGCCGCCTTCAGCTACTCTTCCCTCCAGGGCGCCAGGCAGTGGGGGTGCAGAATGGGAGAGTTGGAAGGGGACCCCCAAGGGCCATCTAGTCCAACCCCTGCAATGCAGGAATCGCAAGCCCCCCGCAGCCCTACCAGGAGATGCTGGTGCTGCCCCCACCAGGGACTGGACCCGGGACCCTTTCTCGTAAGGCTTCTGGGTGACAGGGGGCTGGGGTAGGGCTTCCCCGCCTTGCCCTGACCTTGCCTCTTCCTGCAGCTGGCCAAGGTGACCATCGTGGACCACCACGCCATCGCCGACTCCTTCATGAAGCACCTGGAGAACGAGCAGCGCCTGCGCGGGGGCTGCCCCTCCGACTGGGTCTGGCTGGTGCCCCCCATCTCCGGCAGCCTCTCCCCTGTCTTCCACCAAGAGCTGGTCAACTACCAGCTCTCTCCTCTCTTCCGGTACCAGGTGAGACCCCCCAAGGGGCTCCAGAAGAGGCTGCCCAGTGGGGAGGTGCTGCCTGCCCTCTGCGTGGCAAAGGGGTGCAGAGAGGAGGTGTTTGTGCCCAGGAGCGCCTCCTACAGGCATCTCCATGATGTCATGGGCACAGAAATGCCAGCTCACATCTCTCCCGCCCCCCATTTAACCAGGATCCTTGCCCTTTTTAGGGGGGAGATCTGTTGTTGGTAACCATTAATGTCTAACTGAACCATCCCTTTTGCAATATATACATTTTTGCATAAAGTTCTTTAGCATTTCATTTTAGTTTTTATGTAAAATAGAGAGAATATTTATAACAACAGTTAGAAATTGAAAGATGGAAAACAAAATGATAAAGGAGAATAGCAAGGTCCAAGTAAAGGATGTCAGCGTGATCCAAATATCGAGTCGAGTTCCAGATTCACCAGGCTGGCGACGAGGTTGCCTTTATATGCCCTAAAAGGAATGCCAAATCCTATAAAATCAAGAAAAAAATCACAATAGATGCTAGGAGAGGATATATTTATTAGATATATCCTTCCTTCCCCACATTTGAGTTCAGCAAAGTGCATCCCTTTGCAACTTAAACGGAAGGTTATTGTGGGTTTTCTGTACAGACACACAAATAGATATAGATGCGCTAAGCCCACAACTCATGCACATTTTACTTGTTCACATTCAACTTTATGCACGTGGCAAAATAAAACAAAACGGGGTCCAGGCATCCAGGAAAAAATACTTTGGCAATTCTGCCTGCCGTTGCACCCAATGTGTTTTCACCAAATGCAATTTTGGCTTTAGACACAATCCCCAGAACAGAACCTGCATAAGTTGCGAGCATACTGTACGGTTAGGAAGGCATTATATATACAAAGAATGCAAGGCTGTTGTCACCCTGCAGTTTGCTTGGCTGCCACTGGGGGCGCTGCTAGCTGCAGTGTTACAATGGACTCCTGAGAGCTGCTTTGCGAAATAACCTTTTTTTCTGGGGTGGGGGGAGGCGTTTCAAGGCTTGTGACCCCGTCCCCTGTCCTGCTTCCTCATTCCCATGCTGTTCCCACAGAGCGACCCCTGGAAAACCTACATCCCCAAAGGCACCACTGTCACCCGAAAGAAGACCTTCAAGGAGATTGCCAAGTAGGTCCTTGCGGGGGGAGGAAGTGGGTCGCGTCTTGGAGGGGGGGAGTGCAGGGAGTGGGTCATTCCATCAGCACAAAGGGCTCTCAGCCGTGCCAAGGAATAAGAATTGTAGAGTGGCAAGGGAGCCCCAAGGGTCATCTAGCCCAACCCCCTGCAATGTGGGAAGCACTGTTTCTTGAGAGCTCTGAGGCAGGACTAGGGTGGGGGTGGGCAGCAGCTTGGGGGGGCACACAATTCCAAGCCCTCCTCTGAAGAAACAGGGGCAGGAACTTGCTTCTAGCACCTCCTCAGAAATCTTCCTGGATGCTTTGAATGTCCAGAGCATGTGCAGAGTGCATTATGGCTCCGGAAGAGGCCATCCCTGGCCCAGATGCCTTGGGACATGTTCAGGGGCAAGATACCTCTCAGCAGCAGCACAGGGAGCTTTTGCGACTGGGCCCTCAGACGAATAGTGCAAATAAGTACAAGCCAGGAGGGCGATGAGCCATTGAGGGCTGTGGCTTAGGGGGCAGGACATCTGCTTGGCATGCAGAAGCTCCCCGGCTTGAGCCCTGCTGGCATCTCCAGGTCACTGGGAAAGGCTCCCCTGCTCAAATCCTGGAGAGCCTCTGCAGGCAGTCACTGCAGGCAATCTGGTCTTGTATTTTCATACCGTGAACCCCCTGAGATCTGTGGATGAAGCGTGGGACACAAACTTAATAGAATAATCCAATCAATCAATCAATCAATCAATCAATCAATCAATCGTGCTGTTCTGCTTGGCTCTGCATCCCCAGCAGCCTGTCCAGGCCTGGGCAGAGTTGGCCTTGGGGAAGTTGCCCCCTTCCTTCCGCACGCCATCCTGCCTGGGGAAAGTGGGCTGGGCTGAGTCCTCCTGTCCTGCTCTCTCCCCCCCTCCTGCAGAGCGGTCAAGATCTCAGCCAAGTTGATGGGCCACGTGATGGCCAAGCGGGTCAAGGCCACGATCCTGTACGCCTCCGAGACGGGGAAGTCGCAGGCCTACGCCCTGAAGCTGAAGCAGCTCTTCAAGGGCTCCTTTGCCCCCCAGGTGGGCCCAGCGCACGGCGGGGGGGGGGGCGTCAGCAGCTGGGGTGGGTGCTCACTGCTCCTTTGCCTCCTGATGCCCACAGAGCACATGAAGCGAGGCGACACTCCCCCCCCAGGTGGCAAGGAGTTCCCCAGGCGAAGTGTGCCAGCAGTGGCGTGTTTCTTGCCCCGTGATTGGCAAGGCTCATGGTGGAACTGGAGTGTGTAATAGCAAAAAAGAAATTAGATATAATTTGTCTCCAAGAGACACATATTGCAAAAAAGCACTTCCATTGAAGGCAATAATTCACTTTGGGTGGGTGGGGGTCAAGGTCAACCTTAAGAACATAAGAAGCGTCTTGCTGGATCAGGCAGTGGCCCCCCTGGTCCAGCCTCCTGGTCTCACAGTGACCAAATCCCCCGAGAACCTAGGAATCAAGATAGACTGCCTCTGGTCTGGAGGTTTCACCCTGGAGGGTCCATAAGAAGAGAAGAGCCCGGCCAAAGGGTCCCCACCTGGTGCAGCATCCTGTTCTCACAGGGGCCCCAAAGTGAAACCCAAAGCAGGATCAAGCCCAGGAATACGACTTAACATTATTACTTACTATTATTTTGCACCGTGTGTGCAGGAGCCCCCGCCCCAATCCAGCCCTGTTCCCAGCAGTTGATGCTTGGCGCATCGCTGTCTCCAGATGCAGCCGGCAGAGCAGAGCCCTCCTGGCTCCAGGTCTCCAGCGAGCTCACAAGCTGCCCCTTGGGGGGCAACAGAGGGTGGAAGCATTTGAGGGCCCCCCTCACCCTCCTGACCCCCCTGGCGCTTCCCGGCAGGTGGTCTGCATGGACGAATACGACGTCGTTTCCCTGGAGCACGAGACCCTCGTCCTGGTGGTGACCAGCACCTTTGGCAACGGAGACCCCCCCGAGAATGGCGAGGTGACGCTGGCTTCTCCCCCTTTTCCCCGAGACTCCCAAGTGGGGCTGAGAGTCCAAAGCTCTGCCGGGGGGGGCAGCCTCCCTCAACCTGGCACCCTTGGCATGTACTGGAACCTAAATCCAGATCCGTTGGGTGGTGGGTTGGGCTGTCACCTATCAGGGATTCTCTCACTGCAATTCCTGCATTGGGGGGGCGCTGGGAGTGTAAACGATCATCAGACTTCGAAAAGCTGGTGTCTCCGGATAAAATGCCTTTGTTCTGTTGAATAAATAAAACTAAGTGGTTTTAATTGGATTTTGAATAGATGTGCAATTAATTGTGCCTCTTCTGAATTTTATCATGCTGTTCTGCAAACCGCTGCTCTGATTAAGTCTTTTTTGTAGGGCGGGGGGGGGGCGCACTGGGGATGAGCTGAGGACCTGGGATAGCTCCATCTGTAGAGCAGCAGACTCTTCATCTCAGGGTCACGCGTTTGAGTCCCCCATTGAAGCAAAAGACTCCTGCATTGCAGGGGGTTGGACTGGATGACCTTCAGGGTCCCTTCCAACTCTAGGGATGGGTGTGGCCTCCCAAAAATTGGGGTCCCACTCAGTGCTGGGCTGACTTAGGTCTGGTCTGCTCCCCCTGAAGTGATTTGACATTAAAGGCATGTATACAAAAGCAATTTCAAATGCAGAACATACAGGCTGAGATAAAAATCTCCATTTAGAATCATAGAGTTGGCCGGGATCCCCAAAGGTCCTCTAGTCCAACGCGCTGTGATGCAGGAAGCAGAGCTTGAAAAATCCCTGATCGATGGGCACTCAGCCTCCGCTGAAAACCCCCCCATGAGGTTTTGAAAAGGCAGTGGAAATGGTGCCTTCATGGCCCACTTCAGGCCTGGGGCTGATGGACGCCCTTTTCAGTGGGGTGTGGGAGGGGGGAATTGGGTTTGTGGTTGTTTTTACTACGTAGTTTGTGGTCATTTATGGTGTGAACTGCCCTGGGAGCTATACAAATGTAGTAGTAGTAGTAGTAGCAACAACAACAGCAACAACAACGATAATAATAGATGAGCTGGTCCTTCTCAGATTGGCTCTCTCATGAGCAGAGACTGGAATTTGTGCACAATTATTGTACTTCTGAACATCTGCTCAACTGTTCTCCTTTTCACCACCATTGCACCTCCCCTATCTGAGCAGAATTGAGCCCTGGCCCCTCTTCTGAACCACCTTGAGACCTTCGAGTTTGGGCGGTATATAAATTCAGTCAATGATAAAGACCATCTGCTTGGCTTGGTCCTCACTTGGTTGCCTCCCTGCCTTTCTCTCTCCCCGCAGAGATTTGCCCGCGCCTTGATGGAGATGTCCTGCCCTTACCTTGCAGACGCGGAGCCTGAGCTACAAAAGTAAGTCCTACCCAGAGGAAGCTCCGCTTTCCTCCTTTGCCTCTTCCTCTCCTGCGGATCCAGACCCTCCTCCCCACAATCTCGCTCTGCCTGTTTCCTATCTTGCAGTTTATTTAGAGGAAGCAACTTGGAGGCGGTTGTGACTTTGCAGGCGCACTCCGAGTCTCGGAGGTTACAGTGGCAGGTTGGCAAAGGGTGCCTCTGCCCGTCTTGTCTTGTGGATCTGCCAGGATTTGGCTGCCCTCTCTGCCCGGCAAGAGAGTCGAAGGGTCTTCCAGACCTTCAGGCTTTGCTCCCGGCCTCTGGATGTCTCTTTTCTTTAAGCTGAAAGCTGCCTCTTTGACCTCCCTCCTCCCCACCCACGACCTCGACTTGGTCTCTTTCTGCCTGGAGGAAAGGGCACCCCTTCCTTTGATGCCTGCCCTCATTAGTGTCATAATCTACGGAGCTAATTAACTTTGCTGCCCACGGGGGAAGCGGCTCTGATTGGCGCCTGGACCCGGGTACGGGATGAGGCCGGTGCATCAAGCTGCCAGGGAACATCGCAGATGAAAGGCACTTTGGCCTCACCCTGCCTCTCTCTGCTGCCCCCCCCCAAGACAGAGCATCCTCTGTGCAGCTGGTCCCAGGTCCTGACTTGCCACCAGCTGAAAGCGCCTCTTGGCCCCAAGGGAGGGCTGGGGGGCCCCTGAAGCCAGAGTGATCTCTGTCCCTGGATGCGTAAGAAAAGCCTGCAGGATCAGGCCAGAGGAGGCCCATCTAGTCCAGCATCCTCTTCTACCAGTGATGAGGAGGCAAGAATGATGCCTCTCAGCTTTGACACCTCCCTGGAAAGAAAAGGAGAGAGCAGTGCTTAGGGGGCCCATTGTCGTGCCCAATGCAAGGTGGTTCTTTTAAAATTAGATTCAGAAGCAATACAAACACAAGTGAGTGAGAAGATTAAAGATTTTATTCTAAACAGCAAGCATTATATACATTACTAAGCAGCACTTTGATCTGCCACTGGGAAGCCCTCAAGAAGTGGCAAAGTGACCTCCAGGCAGTCTCCAGTTTTTTGCACGACCCCCCGGCCATGGGTTCACGCAGGGGTTTCTCAGAACTATGCCCCCAGACCATCTGATTTATAGATAGCTAACTTGTTATCTTTTAACTTATAGATAACTTATAGATAGCTAACTAGGGACGCGGGTGGCGCTGTGGTCTAAACCACAGAGCCTAGGACTTGCCGATCGGAAGGTCGGCGGTTCGAATCCCCGCGACAGGGTGAGCTCCCGTTGCTCGGTCCCTGCTCCTGCCAACCTAGCAGTTCGAAAGCACGTCAAAGTGCAAGTAGATAAATAGGTATCGCTCCGGCGGGAAGGTAAATGGCGTTTCTGTGCGCTGCTCTGGTTCGCCAGAAGTGGCTTAGTCCTGCTGGCCACATGACCCGGAAGCTGTACGCCGGCTCCCTTGGCCAGTAAAGCGAGATGAGCACCGCAACCCCAGAGTCGTCTGCGACTGGACCTAATGGTCAGGGGTCCCTTTACCTTTACCTAACTTGTTAGCCTCCATGCCTTGCCTGACTAGCTAGTGCAGATTATTAATTAGCTATCCCCCTCTTCCAGTACCGCACATTCCTCCAAACAATGTCTAACACCCTGCATCATCACTTCCTTCCAGCAAATTCAAGGCTGTTCTCAGGCATCAAAGAGCAGAACAAGAGACAGGGAGGGGAAGGAAACAGAGGCAGGAAGAGATGACCATGCTAGATCACTGTTTCCTCAAAGTACAGTGGACCCTCTGGATACGGATTTAATTCGTTCTGGGGGTCCGTGTGCACCCCAAAAAAACCGTAACCAGAGGCGCCACTTCTGTGCACGTGAGCTGCGCGCAGAGTGCTTTGCGCATCTACAAGCAGCGAAACCCGGAAAAATACTTCTGGGTTTGCTGCTTTCGCAGCCCAAAAATTATGTCTCCAGAGAGATACATAAGCTGAGGGTCCACTGTACAAATATCTTCCGGAAAAGATTGCCCATATACCCATCTAATCAGAGAATCATCGGCTGGTCCACTCGATGCCCCCAAGGGAAACCTGCGAGTAGGACGCGAGTGCGAGAGCAGCCCCTCTCCTCCCAGGGTTTCCAGCAACTGGGCTTCAGAATCGTCTGTGAAGGCAGACCTGGGGGGGGGCTGGGGGGCAGCTGGTGGTGGCGCTTGCTGCCCCTTCTCCTCTCTCTTCCTGCAGGAGCTACAAGATGCGCTTCAACAGCATCTCTCAATCCGACGCGTCAGTAGCTGCGTGGAAGACCAAGAGGAGGGCGTCCAGCAACACGGACAGCGCAGGTGCCCTGGGGACCCTCCGGTAAGGCGCCCAGGAAGGAGGGAGGGTCGGATCCTGCTTCCTCAAAGAGCAGAGCCCTGCAGGCAGGGATCCTGCTTCTGGGGCAGGATGCACAGAGGAAGGCAGCTTCCACGGAGGCGCTTAGGGGGCAGCAGCCATGCCTTGCCCAGGCCCCCACCAGCCATCTCCCTGCACCTTCACCAGGGCAGCAGCCCAGCAATGGCACAAATGCCCAGCTGGGCAGCAGAACCTCCTTGTTGGTGGGAGCCATTGCAAAGGCCAGGATCTTCCTTGGCAAAACCTGCATTTTCCTCCTCCTCCTCCTTGGCAGAAGCCAAGCCATCTTCTCCCCCCCCCCCCCCGCCCACCTTGTCCCTCCCCAGCCCTTGAGGTACAGATGTACCAAATGCCTCTGACCCTCTAGCCAGGCTGGCCAGAAGCCCCCTCCTCCGCTTGCCCTCTGAGCTGAAGCCCAGCCCCACTTCTCAGGGCCGCGCCTGGGCGTCCGTCTCCTTGGGCGTCATTTTGTGCTGAAATGCCGGGAAGCTGAGCGGCAAAAGGACTTGACAGCCGCAGGAGGGCTGGTGCTGAGCTGAGCACAGGGAAATCGATATTGTCGTGACCGGCTTTTAATGGGCCGAGTTCAGGTGGTCCAGACCAAACTTTAATTCAATACAGGCCATATTAAAATTTAACAGTTGTTTTGTTTTATTGGACCATTCTTTCCCCTAAGCTCTTGGGACAGAGCAAGTTTACTGGCTGTTTATTAGTGGGAGGAGGAGCCAAATTAATGAAAATTGGAAAGAAAAAGGCCGTGTGGGTTTTGAAACTGAGCGAGATTGGGCCAAAAGGCTGCCAGGGGAGCCCAGCCCATTCGGAAGAACTTTCTTGCAGTAAAAGCTGCTGGGTGGTGGGATGGGCTCCCTTGGAAGACGGAGGGCTGTCCTTCACTGGAGATTCTTAAGCAGAGATTGATCTTGAACTGTGGTTCCTGCATTGGGCGGGGCTGGACTAGATGAGCCTTGGGGGTCCCTTCCAACTCTACCTTCTAGGATTCTGGGACTTGCTTGGCAGAGTCCCGCTGAGCTGCAGACTCCTTCTGGCTGGCCTTGGAGGTGCCCAGCTGGCAAAGGGCCTCTTGACTCCTGAGGGAGGGGGCAGAGCCTGGCCCCCCACCCTGCCCCCCTCACCCTGCCTGTCTCCTCCTCCTCCTCCTTTCCAGGTTTGCCGTCTTTGGGCTGGGCTCCCGGGCCTACCTGCACTTCTGTGCCTTTGCCCACGCCGTGGACACGCGCCTGGAGGAGCTGGGGGGCGAGCGGATCCTGCCCATGGGCGAGGGGGACGAGCTCTGCGGCCAGGAGGAGTCCTTCCGCACCTGGGCCATGGACGTCTTCAAGGTGGCCGCCCTGCAAGGGGGCGTTGTGTGTATGGGGGGGCGCTTTGGGAGTCAAGAGCAACAATCTGCAATGTAGAGGGTGTGTGTGTGAGAGAGAGAGAGAGAGGGGCAGGAAGCAGATTTTCCTACTCTGGAGTAAGCTGCTTGAGGCTCCAAAGCGGTATTTTATTTATCATGAAATGTATATGCCTCTTGAATTGTTTAAAAAACCAAAACCCCAAAAAACCAAAAATGAAAACCTCAAAGATAAAACCACAATTTTTTTTTGCAAAACTTTGAAAAAAATAATAATTTATTTTTTATACCCTGCCCATCTGGCTGGGTTTCCCCAGCCACTCTGAGCAGCTTCCAAAAAAAAATAATACTAAAAGCACAATAAAACATCAAAAACTTCCCTAAATAGGGCTGCCTTCAGATGTCTTCTAAAAGTCAGATAGTTGTTTATTACCTTAACATCTGGAGGGAGAGCATTCCATAGAGAGGGTGCCGCTACCGAGAAGGCCCTCTGCCTGGCTCCCTGTAACCTCACTTCTCACACTAAAATATAAAGCACTAAAACAGATTAAAATTAGCGTCTGGAAAGGTTTGTCTAAACAAGACCATATTTAAATAACTTCCCTGGATGGTCACTGCAGCCCGAGAGCAGCCCGATTGTCGTGATCATTTAACAGGCCAGCTTTATTCTTTGTGGAAATCCTGACTGGGTCTCCAGCCGGCTGCCCTTCCACATTGCCCCACAGACAAATCCAGGAGGCGGGGGCTCTGGGGGCTCCTTGCCAAGGTGGCTGAGCTCTGTCTCTCCAGTCGGAGGCAGCAGGGCTTCTAAAGGGCAGTTGCTGGAAAGCGCAGGAGGGGAGAGTTGCTCTTGGGTTCGAATCCTGCTTGCAGGTTTCCCACCTGTTTGGCCACTGAGGGAAGTGGAGGCTGGACCAGGTGGGCCATGGTCCTGATCCAGCCCCCCCAGGGATCTTCTCATGTCCTGCGCCACAATCCCTTTTTTGCTGTGTGTGTGGATGGACAGGGAGGGAGAGGGTGCCTCTTTGGGGACTGCTGGAAAGCACTGACCTTTTGGATATATTGAGTTGCTAGAGATGCCCCCTCCCCTCTTGCAAGCCCCTCCCCTCTTGCAAGCCCCTCCCCTCTCGCAAGCCCCTCCCCTCTCAGCTCCTCCTTGGAGGGGCTCTTGCAGGTTGAATGGATGCTGAGCTTTGCTGGCCTGGAGTGTGGGGTGCTGGTGCCACCTGGTGGTCAGCTGGGGAATGGCACTGCCTGCTTGCTTGCTTGCTCCGGGGTCTCCCTTGGCTGGGATGGAAGCCCCTGTCCCTCCATGTTGAGCAGAGGGAGAAGGTGCCCCATCCCTGCCAGCCCCACAGCAATGTTCCTCTTCCCCACCTTCCCAAGTGGGCAGCTGTGTCCTGCATCCCTTGGGGTCCCTCCCAGCCCCACGATCCTGCGCCCTCCCCAGAGAGCAAGTCCTCCCTCCCTCCTGACCCTCGTCTCCCCACAGGCCGCCTGTGACACTTTCTGCGTGGACTCCCAAGTGGTCGGCACAGAGGTCTTCAACAGCCCCTGTCACTGGAAGCGCAGTCGCTTCCGCCTGGTGGTTCACCCAGCGGCCCTGGACCTCCTGCCAGGTACGTGTCGGGCGGTGGATCATGGCCTTCTGCTGCGCCCAGCGGATGCCCTCCTGCTGGTGCTCTGCCCAGGGACCAGCCCTGCCCTCGCTTACCCCAAAGATTGTGCATCTTCCCCTCCGCTGACCCTTGTGGAAGCAGAATGCCGGGTCTGGGGTCTGCGCCTGAGACATATCTGCATCTTGTAGATCACCCATTAGTGTAATAAAAAAAAAAGCCAACAGGAAAGTGGCAGAAAAGGGGGCACAAGTGTGGCATGTGGAAGGTTTTTGACCAGCAACGTAGTTTTCCCAGCAGAGCTAATTTTGGGGGGCATCTTACTAACCAGAATGTGATGACTTGCACATCCCCATCAAAGCTGTGAAGCCTTGTATGCAAGCAGAACGCCCTGGCGGGGGGCATCAGAAGAGCTTAGCTGGGGAGGGGGTTCTTCTCCAATGCAATTGCCTTGAAGCTAAGGCCTGGCTTTTCTTCCACACCCCAGAGAAGCCCCCTTACTTTGGGCTCTGCCCCCCTCCCCCCATGCCGGGGGGGGCATTGATAATATGCCAGCCTAAGCAAGGACAAAACTTGGCACCACTTGCGAAATGTTTCTTATTTTCTCAATAATTGCTTCCGGTACAGTAGCTTTCTTATGGATTCTCTCATTGGGTACCCATATAAATTAAGGTGGTGGTTGTTGCTACTACTATTATTTTGCACTCCCTTGGCTCAGCACCCTGTGGCACTGCCTGTGCCCCCACCCAAGGGGTCCTGAGGGGCCCTCCAGTCAGTGCTTAATGCCTCCAAGGAGAGGTGTGGGGCTGACAGGAGCCACAAGCCCAGAAACCCTGTGAGGAGGTGGGGCAAGTTGTTCCATCACGTGGGGCAGGGAGGCACATCCTCAGAGGCCCCACTTTCGGGTTTCTTTGCATGGGCTCCACATTTTGCTTCCTTGTCCCCCACAGAGACCTTTCTCCCTGCTCCACTGCCAAATTTGGAAAAGCCAAGCTTGAAACATCTCCCTGCCTCCACCTTGACCCTTTGAGTTTCTCCCCCTTCAGGCCTGACCCTCGTCCACAAGCGCAATGTCGTTCCGTCCCACATCCTCTCCGTCAAGAACCTGCAGAGCCCAGAATCCAGGTGAGAGTCAAACCAGGACGGTTGGCGCTCATCCCAATTTGGCGGGCGCTTCTCCCTCTTGCAGCCCCCAGCCAAGGGGGCCTGATTTCCACCAGCATTTGGGGTTGGGGGTTCCTGGCTGCCTTGTGCACAGGCCACTGCCTTCCTGCTGCCCCCCCTCCCCCCAGGGCTGACCGCTCTTCTCCTTTCCCCCATTGCAGCCGCTCCACCATCCTGGTGCAGCTGCAGACGGGGGACCAGCCAGAGCTGGCCTACCAGCCGGGGGACCACGTGGGCATCTTCCCCGCCAACAACGCGGAGCTGGTGGATGCCATCCTGCAGCGAGTGGAGGACCCGCCCCCTGCCAACGAGGCCGTCACCGTGGAAACCTTGGAGGCGGGAGAGAGTGAGTGGCCACCTGTGCCCAGACGGGCCTGGCCAGTGCCGAATGGGGAAGCCCTCCAGGGCATTGTGGGGCAAAGAAGGGGGCCCTCTCCTAGGGCCCAGACCAGGGTGCTGCCTTTCCAGTCCTGTATCTTTTTATACTGCAGTTGCTCTGCTTTATTTCTGGCTGTGTTTTCACTGGGCACACACACACACAAGAAAGATTGAGAATTAAATCTGTCAATTAAGATTTAAACCTCCTGTTCCACATGTGTGGGAGAAATACGAGAGTAAACAGGCTGTGAAGCCCTTTTAGCAAAGAAAAACACTTAGGTGCTTTGCAGTTTACTGGAAGCTATGAATTAGTCAAATACACCTTTTTGTTCCTGTTTATTTGTGGTTTGCTGACCTTTCCCCTCTTTGTCCTCATTGCTAAAAGCGAAGCACACATTTTTGTAAGATAGACAAAAAGGTTTACTTACATTTCAACGCAGGCAGCAAATACACCCCACTCCGCTGGCCACCTTCCAGCTTGTCAGTGCCCTTCTTAAACTGTGGCGCCCAGAGCTGGACACGGGACCCGAGGCTGGCCACTGTGGACTAGTCGGGCCCTTGGCCTGATCCTGCAGGCTCTCCTTATGGTTTTTAGAAGTGTCTAGATGAGCCAGTATGGGCTCACCAGTAATGACTGATACTTTGTCAATGCTGCAGCTCCTCTTTGTGGCTGCAGTGAGCAAACTGGACTGATCTCCTTGAGGGGCCCTGCAGGTGGATGCTGGCTCCTCCCCCTCCCCCTCCCGGCACACACCTTTCTCCGCTGTTGGATGCCCACCTGTCCTGGATGTTTTAGCTGTGATTCCTGCCTTGCAGGGGCTTGGCCTAGATGACCCTTGGGGGTCGCTTCCAACTCCACCATTCTACCATTCGGTGGTGGTGAAGCCTGACTAAAAGCCTTTTGAGCTGCTTGGCAGCTGGAAGTTCCTGCGGCCGCTGAGTCTCTCCCTCCTGCTTCTCCTCCTCAGGCCCAAAGCGCTTGTGGGTCCCCAGCCCCCGCCTGCCCCCCTGCACGCTGCGCCAGGCGCTCACCTTCTTCCTGGACCTCACGACGCCCCCCAGCGCCCAGCTGCTCCAGATCCTGTCCACGCTGGCAGAAGACCCGGCCGAGAGGGAGAAGCTGCAGCGGCTGGGAGAGGTAGGGGGCTGCGTAAGAGGGGTGGAAATGGGTATTCTTCCCCTCCCACCACACGACCTTGAAGCTGGGGGGTTGTGCGTTATGGACCCCTTTATCTCTAACACACACACAGAGCCCACCCTGCTTAGCTCGCCTCCTGTGTCTCAGATGCGCCAGCCTGCGGAACTCCCTCCCACCTGAGATTAGACACCCTCCCCATGACTAAGGCACATGACGAAGACTTTCTTGTTCCAGCGGGTGTCTTAACCTACCATATTTTTCGCTCTGTAAGACTCACCAGACCATAAGACGCACCTAGTTTTTGGAGGAGGAAAACAAGAAAAAAAAAAATCCTGAATCCCAGAAGCCAGAACAGCAAGAGGGATCTTGCTGTCCTGGCTTCTGGCTTAGCGGTGCGAAGCCTCTCCCGGGCAGCAGGAGGAAGGCTCCCCCAAGAGCTGCGCTCCCTTTAAAGAGCACGTGGAGCGTTTGTGCTGCTCTTGGGGGTTTTCCCCCGAGGGGAAAAGCCCCCAAGAGCCGCACACATGCTTCACGCGGCTCTTTAAAGGGAGCGCTGAGCAGAGCCTCCCGCCTGCATTCACTCTATAGGATGCACACACATTTCCCCTTACTTTTTAGGAGGGGAAAAGTGTGTCTTATAGAGCGAAAAATGCGGTATTTCATTTCCCCCCCACCTATTCCTACAAGGAGCTCAAGGGGGCAGACAGGGCTGTTCTCCCCATCCCCACTTCATCCCCGCCACAACCCTGAGAGGGAGGCAGAGACTGGCCTAAGGTCACCCAGGGAGATTCACGGCTGAGCGGGGGGTGGGATTTGAACCTGGTCTCTCCCAGGCCTGACACTCTAACTGCTAAGCGCCACTGCCTCTCCCTGCCCTCCTTGGGCTTGGGGCGGGGCTCCTCCTTTTCCACCTCTGCTCTTGCCCCCGCAGGACTCCCTCCTGTACGAGGAGTGGAAGTGGTTCCGCTGCCCCACCCTGGAGGAGGTGCTGGAGGAGTTTCCCTCGGTGCCGCTGCCGCCCTCGCTGCTCCTCACCCAGCTGCCCCTGCTCAAGCCACGCTACTACTCCCTCAGCTCAGCGCCCAGCGCCCACCCGGGGGAGATGCACCTCACCGTGGCCGTGCTCAACTACCACAGCCAGAGTGAGTATTTTTTGGGGGGGGGTTGGGCTAGATGGCCTTTGGGGTCCCTTCCAACTCTGCAATCTTGTGATTCTAAGGGGACAGTCGGTCGCAGGGGTGACCTTGGCCACCTGGGGAGGGGGAAGGCAGTCTCATTTGGGGGGGGGTTGCCATCTGATGGGGGTGGGGAGGAGGACCTCCCAGGCCGCCTCTCATTTTGCTCCCCGCCTCCCCCGCTTTGCTCCACAGACGGCAAGGGGCCCCTTCACTTCGGCGTTTGTTCCACGTGGCTGTCAAAGCTGGCGCCTGGCGAGATGGTGCCGGTTTTCGTCCGAGGGTAAGGGGTCTGGGGGGGGGTTGGGCTTGGACCTTGAAGGAGCAGCTCTATCCAAAGGTTCCCTCTGGCCTTAGCAAGGCGTCCCAGAGGAAGGGAGCCAGACTCCCCACCTGCTTTCCCAGAGAAAGAGGCACACGCGGTTGAGCCGCCAGAAAAGAATGTCTCTCCTGCTCTTGTGGACGTCACACAAAGCTCATGTTGGAAGAAAGCCCTTCTTCACATGTTACACCCACAACACAGAGTCGGACTGTGGAACTCCCTCCCCCAACCTTTCTCCTCCTCCTCCTCCATGAATTTTTCCAATCCTCTACCTGCCCGCGGACTGTCTCGCCAGAGTGGTGCATGCTCTAGTTATCTCCTGCTTGGACTACTGCAATGGGCTCTACGTGGGGCTCCCTTTGAAGGTGACCCGGAAACTACAACTAATCCAGAATGTGGCAGCTAGACTGGTGACTGGGAGCATCTGCCGAGACCACATAACACATAACACTGGTCTTGAAAGGCCTACACTGGCTCCCAGTATGTTTCCGAGCACAAGTCAGTGTTGGTGCTGACCTTGAAAGCCCTAAATGGCCTCCATCCAGTATATCTGAAGGAGCGTCTCCACCTCCATCATTCTGCCCGGACACTGAGGTCCAGTGCCGAGGGCCTTCTGGCGGTTCCCTTGCTGCGAGAAGCCAAGTTACAGGCAGAGGGCCTTCTCGGTAGTGGCACCCGCCCCATGGAATGCCCTCCCACCAGACGTCAAAGAGAAAAATAACCACCAAACTTTTAGAAGACATCTGAAAGCAGCCCTGTTTAGGGAAGCTTTTAATGTTTAATAGGTTATTGTATTTTAGTGTTAGGTTGGAAGCCGCCGAGTGGCTGAGGAAACCCAGCCAGATGGGTGGGGTATAAATAATAAATTATTATTATTATTATTATTATTATTATTATTATTGCCACCCAGGTTGGTGGTCATTGCTGCCCCCTGTGGCAGGGAGTTCTGCAGTCTGTGTTGCATGAAAAAGCCCTTCCTTTTTGCCTGGGCTGAATCTTCCAGTGCTCAGCTTCCGGGCTCCCCTCCTGTCACCCGCCAGGCAAGTGACTCTTGGTGTCTCTGCCCCACAGCGCCCCCAACTTCCAGCTGCCCCAGGACCCCGCAGCCCCCTGCATCCTGGTGGGGCCTGGCACCGGCATCGCCCCCTTCCGGAGCTTCTGGCAGCAGCGGCTGCATGGCCTGGAGGCCGAAGGTGGGTCAGGCGGGCCGGGGAGGCTTTGGGCTGGGGGCGGGTGGCCTTTGCCTCTCCCAGCCCTGATCCCCTCCTGCCCCACACAGGGCTCCCCCCGGGCGAGATGACGCTGGTCTTTGGCTGCCGCAGCTCCCGCCACGACCACATCTACAAGGAGGAGGTGCAGGAGGCGCAGCAGAAAGGGGTCCTCAGCCGCGTCCTCACCTGCTTCTCCCGCGACCCAGATTACCCCAAGGTAAGAATATGGGAATTGGGGGGGGGGAGCCCCCTGTCTCCAGCCAGGGGCCCATCTGCTCCAGCAGCCTCTTCTCGCACTGCAAGAGCAGCCCTGTCCTCCTGGGAGAGGCCTCCTCAACCTCAGCCCTCCAGATGTTTCTGGCCTACAACTCCCATGATCCTTAGCTAGCAGGACCAGTGGTCAGGGATGATGGGAACTGTAGTCTCAAAACATCTGTCCTGGGGCTCCCTGCTTCCTGTGGAGGGAAGGACTTCCTTTTACCTGCCCTGAATCTTCCAGCCTGCAGCTTCACTGGAAGTCTACTAGTTTTAGCATAAGAGATGGAGAAAAAATCCCTTCTGCTTTCTCCAGGCTCTGCCTAATTTTATAACTTCTCTCCTGTGGGAGGGAGTTCCACAGTTTAACTCCTCCTCCGCCCTCCAGTCTGTTCTGGGCCAGGAGGTCCAAGGCAGCCTCCACAAAACAAGGCTGGCGGCCAACGGGGACCCCTTCCGATCTGCTTTAAGTGCAAGAAAGGAGATTCTTGTGAAACACGAGGAAGACCTTTCTGGCAGTCAGAGCTGTTTGACAGCAGAACGGTTTCCCTCGGGAGATGGGGGCCTCTCCTTCCTTGGAGGTTTTTAAGCAGAGGTTGGATGGCCATCTGTTGCGGATTCTTGAGCTGTGATCCCTGCCTTGCAGCAGGCGGGACCGCTAGATGATCCCTTGGGATCCCTCCAATTCTACAGTTCTATCATTCTCAGGCTGTTCTGTGTCAGGAAGGCTAAGGGCAGCCTCTGTAAAACCAGGCTGGCCAAGGAGGCCAGTGCAGTTCCAGCGCCCCCGCCCCCCCCCAGTGAGCAGTGGAAATAATAAAATGGGGGGGGGGCTCTGGGTAGGCAGATATCAGCCACCCCCATCCAGCCTTTCCAGGCAGACTTGGGGGGGGGGGGGTTGGGGGGGGACAGAAGGTGGTTCATGCCTGTGCTTTGGCAGCCCTGATCCCAGATCCCCAAGGAGCAGCTGCAATTCCTCAGCAAAGAGGGAGTGGCGCTCTGCTTATGCTCAGGGGAGCACTGGTTTTCCCTCTTCCCGCAGACATATGTTCAGGACCTGCTGCGTTTGGAGCTGCCCAGCTACGTCCACGAGGTCCTTTGCCAGAGGGGGGGCCACATGTACGTCTGCGGGGATGTCACCATGGCAACGGGGGTCCTGCAGACCGTCCAACAGATCCTGGCCAAGGAGGGTGGCATGACGCTGGCGGAGGCCGGGGACAAGATCAGCGAACTCCAGGTGAGGGAGGAAGGGGAGCAGCCCCCCAGTCAGACCCCAGCGCTGGAGGCAGAGCGCAGGCAGGCTGCCCAGGGCAGGGTCTTACGGGGGGTGGCCCCTTTGGGTCACAGCAAGTGTATCAGCAGCACCAAATTGTGGAGCTGCCCTCCTTCCCTGCAGCGCTGGGGGCTGGACCAATGACCATTGGGGGTCCCTTCCAACGAGGTGCCCTGGGGGGGGGGGAGCATCTGCATGGGTAGGATCTGACGCTGCCTCTTTCTCTCCCAGGACCAGAACCGCTACCACGAAGACATCTTTGGCCTGACCTTCCGCACGCAAGAGGTGGCCTCGCTCATCCGCAGCCAGTCCATCTCCCAGCAGAAGCGCCAGTCCTTGCTCAGCCTCACCCCCTCCCTCTGAGACCCTCCCAGCTCCAGATCTTGCCATTAAAAGCCTTTCCCCCCTGCCCTGCTCTGGCATCCGCGCACTCCTTTCTCCAAAGAGGGGAGGGTCTTAGAAGAGCAGCTCTCCCCTCTGAGGGGGGATGCAGAGTCCAGCCAGCCTGGCCAGCCCCCCCCCCAACAGCGTCTCCTCCTCCTCCTCCAGGAATTGGTCCTTTTCTAAGGGCATCCCTGCCTCCAGGGAGTTCCGTCGTTTTCACACTGCGTTGCATGAACAAGTCCTTCCATTTATCGCTCCTCAATCTTCTGCCTTCCGGCCACTTCTTAAAACAAGAGCGCCAAGAGCATTTTTGGAACTGCGAGGGATGTGTGACGGCAGAAGCAGACAAGGTATCCAAACTCCTGTGCCCAGGATAGCCTGAAAGCCAGGCTTTCTTCCTAAAATAATTGTACCCAACTGTGGAAAATAAAGGCACCGTCTGGCAGCGTCCGCAGGTTGTAAGAATAGAGAAGCTTCTTAGCAAGAGAAGCCTTAGGCCAGAGGGGAAAGGGCATCGCAGGGTTGGACTAGATGACACTTAGGGGTCCCTTTCAGCTCAACCGTTCTAGGAAAGGGGACTCGGCTCTTATTTCCCTTGCCCTATAAGCCAGGAACGTGCCCTGACATCACAGCTTGACACAGCCAATCGGAAGCAGCTACCTGCCGCCTTCCCTGACGAGCTGCTTGGAGCTTTCAAGGGGGAGGGAGCAGCCCCCCAATCCCACAGCCCCTCCTTCAAATCCCCCCCCCATTGCCACAGAGGAGGAGAAAGGATTCTGTTGTCTATAGGAAGTGAATCTCTCTCGTTAGCCACATCTGTAAACATTTATTTGTCCCCAAAGGGTCCTGAGCTGGAGCCCCCTGCCCCCGGGGGCGGCTTTGCAAGGGGGGGGGCACAGCGCAGCTCATATAGCAGCAGAGGAAGGCAGGGAGAAGGGGGGGATTTGGCTCCAGCCATCCTCTCAGTGACCTCAGGAACTCTATAGCTCTATGAGTAGCACCGGGCAGGGCCTGATCCGGCCCATAGCTTATTCACCCCCGCGGAGGGCACACACCCAAAGCCAGGAAGGGGGGGGTCCCCTTCTCCCGTCAGAGTCCACAGCCAGCCAAGGGTGGGGATCAGGCGCATTCCCACTCCTGCGCTGCTCCTCTTCTGGCTGGCCACGCTCCGGGAGGTGGGGGGGGGAGGAGTCCAGCAAGTCACCGCCGGCAGCCATCACCTGCAGGGGCAAAACAGGCAGGGTTAGGAGGTTGGGGGGCTGGACCCCAGGTACCAAAGCCTCATGCAAGGCATGTAGGATGGGCCATGGGGTCAGGCCCCTCTCGTCCAGGCTCCTGCAGCCACGGGGGCCAGCCAGAGCCATCCTGGCTCCTGGCCTCCTCCTCTCCTCAGCTGAGAGAGCTCCACTGGCCGAGCACGAAAGAGACTCTGAACCTCAGGGTCACAGGCAAAAGAGTCCTGCCCTGCAGGGGGTTGGGCTAGATGACCCTCGTGACCCCTTCCAACTCTGCCGCTCTAGGATTCTATGCTGATTCCTCCAGGATTTATCCGATTCCCCTTTAACGCCACCCAAGTCAGTGGCCATGACTCCCCAGGGGAAAGGTGTCTGAACAAAGCCAGCTGCCCAGAGCTGCTGACCCTCTTTCCAGACACACAGAAAAAAATGAAAAAAAAGCAAGGCGACTCCCCCCCACCATTTACTGTCCCCACCCCAGGCCTTCGCATCTCTAGCCCCATCTCTCCATCCAAAATTGCTCAGAGCAGGACCCCAGGAAGGAAGCAGCCTTGATCCCAGGAATCTTGCCTGGTGCTGCCAGCCTCCCCTAACCCTGACACTGAGGGAATGTGGGGGGGATGCAGGGACAGGCAAGGAGGCCTTGGAGCGTGGGGCTGAGCTCTGCAGAGTCCCCCCTGAGCTCAGGTGAAGCCCCACGGAGGGAGGCTGTGGGTCAGAGAGCAGGAGGGGAAGGAGACTCACGTCAAGAGGAGGGTGGGCGATGGGAAGGGCGATGGCGGCTGCTAGCTCTTCTCCCTCTGTTGCTGCTGTGCCTGAGACGACTCTTCCTCCTCCTCTTCTTCCTCTTTCCAGCCCCCAAGGGTTAGATCCTGGCTGCGCACATGCGAAGAGGGCTTGGGGGAAGCTGCAGGGTGGAGAAGGAAGTGAGCCGGGGACCCACATGAGATTTGTATTAAATCTGTATCCCGCCCTATCTCAGGGCGGTTCAAAACATAAGACTACAATAGAGGAAAAGCAACGTCTTTCTGCCTCTTCCTCCCTCCCCCCTGGGGGCAGGTGAATATTACACGTCAGGAGCCTCAGAGACAGTTTTGCACCTCGGCCCCCCAGGGAGGGCCACTGGCAAGCAAGTGACCCCCCAACCCCCGCCTGGGGCAGGGAAAGGCAAGCAGAGGCCAGAAAGCCCTTCAGGTGGGACGGGCCATTGGGACCCAGCCCCCAGGGACTCTCAACTCGGCCATGGCTGCTTTGCCACGGAAACGGCTCTCGCCCTGGAGCAGACCAAGCCTCCTCCACGCTGGGCAACGTGTTCTTTCCAGCCCCCGCTAAGGCCCCCCCCCCCCGAGGCATCACCTGGCTCTGCAGCCAAGAGCATCGGAGGGAGGACTCTTGGGGGAAGCGCCCCCAGGGAAGACCCCCCCGGAAGGGAAGGAAGCCCCGCAGTGTTGCGCTTCCAGTGCCCCAGAGGGGAGGCTCACCTGCCTGCGCCAAGGGCTGCGAGGGTGAGCGTGGCGACGTCTGGTGCTGCTGCTGCTGGTGAAGCTGGAGGAGAGAGGGAAGTCAGGAGGGCGCCACAGCCTGTGAGGGTGGGCATACTGGATCCCTGGGGGATCTCACCCAGGACCAAGCCCCCTCCGCCAGGGATCCCACACAGGTGAAACCCCGGAATGCTCTGGCCCCGCCCCACCACCCAGGAGACAGAGGAAGCACAGAGCTGGAAGGGATCTCCAGGGGCATCTAGTCCAACCCCTGCCGTGTAGGAAGGCAATGCTGCTCCCCCCCCCCCAACCACTCACCTCATGCATGTAAATGGCGTGCAGACTCATCTCGGCCGAGGCAAACTCAGAGAGCAGCACTGAGCGGCTGAGGGGCCCTGGGCGCGTCTCCGGTGGGGCAACACTGGAGGGCACAGAAAGGCAGGGACTCGTTGGCACACTGGCTGAAAGAAGCTGGGATTGGGCAGGGGGCAGCCCCCCCTCCTCCACCAGCCCCTCTGCAGCCCAGGCCACAGGGCCCTCCCCACCAAGACCAGGCGGCTCCTTTCCGGACGGCAGAAGGAACCACTTTGGAGAGAAAGCAGAAAGGCACATGGAGCGGAAAAGAGGGGAGAGGAAAGGAAAAGAGAAATGGGAAACGCAGCGGGTCCCCCAAGGATGAAATCAAGAGACAGGTGGACAGAGAATGGGGTGGGGAACAGCAGGGGCCCAATGGAGCCCCCCAGGGTCTCTTTCCAGCCCCCCACCAGCTCCCTCCTTCCCTATCTGGGAGTCAGAGCACCGGGGCCAAGCAGTCCTGGGCCTGACCTGCCACCCTTGTGCCCGGGCCCCAGACCAGCCAGGTCTCCCCTCTGCCTACCTGTCTCCGGGGAGGGTGCTGTCGCTCTGGTAGACGGCGTTCTCGCCCCGCCGGGGCAGCTGCGAGCAGGAGAGGGAGGCCAGGATGCTGGCGGCTGCACCGGCTGCGCTGCCCAGCTGCCCAAAGCGCCGCCTCTCCGCCTGGGACGCCAGACCCCCACTTCCCGCTGCCAGGACAGGGTGGGCCAGGACACTGGCCAGGAGGGCCTCCGGCTGCAGGGAGGGAGAGGCGGTTAGAGGGAGCGTCCGGAGGGGAAAGGGGGCTCAGGACCCCAGAGACGGCTCCCTCCCCCGTCCCCAGGACTCACCACGGTGCAGGGTCCCTCGTCCGACAGGAAGGAGGCGCCCAGGGGGGCCTCGGCCAAGAGGCGCTGGGCAGGGGGCGCGTGGGCCGCATCCTGCTGCACCTTCTCCTTGAGGTGCCCGATGAAGAGGGAGCTCTCGGGGGGAGGCTGCCAGCGCGGGTTGGTGATGGCGAAGTGGACCAGGGAGAGCTCCGTCTTGCCGTTCTCTGCCTGCTGGTAGACGGAGGCCTCTGTCCGGCCCTGGGACAGCCACTGGGGGGGTGGGGGGGGGAGAGAGCAAGTCAGGGAGGCCGTGGGCGCAGGGAAGACTCAGGGGGGACGGCTGGGGATTCAGGAGCAAGAAAAGTAAGGACCTTCTCCCGCAGGAGGCGGGGGGGCACCAACCTGTGTGGACCAAAGGCTACCAGCCACTTTGGCCGGGCTCTGCCCTCCACGGCTGGAGGCAGCAAATATTTCTGGATCCCAGTTGCTGGAAACGGCAGGATGGGAGGGGGCTCGTGGGCCTCTAGCTCAGTATGGTCTGACTCTGACTGGCAGCAGGGTGAGTGTGCCCCAGGGGAGGGGGCATCTGCTCCAACCACTGAGCCATGTACCCCCTCATGTCAGCTCACACATATTTGTAAGGGGAATAAGAAGGGCCCAAGAGGGGAATGGGAGTCCAGCAGAACTGGGGGCTTGGCTGCAGCAGAGAAGCCCAGGAGTCCTCTGCTTGGCCCTGGGCATGTCACACTCCCAGCCTCTGTTTCCCTGCCTGTAAAATGGGGCTGCTGTGTGAGACGAGGATTGCCAGTGGGTATCGTGTTATTTATTGCATTTACCTCCCCCCTTTTTCTCCAAGGAGCCTGAGGGGGCACACATGGCCCCCCCCACCCGGCTTAAACCACCCTGCGAAGGAGGTGAGGCTGAGAGGCAGGGACTGGCCCAAGGTCACCCAGTGAGCTCCATGGCCAACTGGGGATTGGAACCCTGGGCTCTCTCAGGTGCTAGCCTGATGCTCTAACCACTATGCCACACTGTCTCTCATGGGGGGGGCCCTCCATCCAACCCCCTGCAGCACTTCAGAATAATTCCACCCGGAAACAAGAAACTGAAATGCCTGTCCCCAAACTGGCCACACTGACTGGACGCAGGGAAGGCACCGGGTCACACGGCTGCTGGCAAACAGGCCTTAGCGCTTGAAATCTCTCCCCCCCCCCCCGGTGAGGACTGCCACCTCCAGCTCCCCCCATACCTGTGGGTTGCCATGGTTGCGGATGTCCAGCTGGGCGAAGGAGCAGATGTCCCCGACCCCCACCACTTCCACCGAGAAGTTGCGGAAGAAGTCGATGATGTCCAGGGCTTTGGCGCGAAGGGCAAAGATGAGCAGGAAGGGGGTCACAATGGGGCTCAGCAGCTCCTCCAGGATGAAGACCTGGGGGCACGGGGGGGGGGGCTGTCAGCGCCAGAGGTCTCCCGTCCCCAAAACCCACCCTGGCATGCGGGATGAGAGGGAGCAGAGGGGCTGCGCTGGGGGCTCCATCCCAGGAGAGCGAAGAAGCAGAGCTGCCGGATCCTGCCCTGTCCTTCCTAATTGCGCAATGCCTTCTTCACACCGTAAGCCTGCGGGCAGCACTGCCTCCCACCCTTGCTGGGCACCCAGAGGGGCCTTCTCGGTGGGGGCTGCTCCCAGGCAACTCTGGAACTCCCTGCCAGGGGACGCCAGACAGACTCCCTCCTCGCTGTCCATTCTCTGACAGCTGAGACCTCCTGGTTCCAACGGGACTTTGGGAAAGGACTGGTGCTGGCATGTCTCTATTGCTGAGGCCTGTGCTCTTAGCACACCTTTTAAATCTTAGTTTTCATTATATTAATGATTAATTACATTTTAACAATTGCCTTTAGCTTTATGCTTCTAGCGAACGTTTTTGCTTTTAGCTAATGTCTTTCGCTATCTGTGTAAGTCGCCTTGAGTCCCGACAGTGGCGTAGCGTGGGGGGTGCAGGGGGGGCCGGCCGCACCGGGTGCAACATCTGGGGGGGGGGGCGCTCGCACTTGCAGCTCTCTGCCCCTACTAAAATCCACGGGTTAGGGGGCGCAAATTACTTGCCTTGCCCCAGGTGCTGACAACCCACGCTACGCCACTGAGTCCCGAACTATGAAAAAGACACGATATGAAGAAATATTAGCAGCTACTGATTGACTGCATGTCAGCTGCTCTGAGCGCCTTTCTGGGTGAACAGCAGGCTACAAATCCTCTAGAAATTAAAGACCTCCTGCCTCACCCCCCCCGGCCCACTCACCGCCTTGTACTGGAAGAGCTGGGCCAGCTCCTCCCGCGTCTCCGCCTTGTGGGCATTGCCCTGCCAGTGGTCAGGCATGTAGTGAATGTGCGCCAGGACGCACTGCAGCAGCTGCTCTGGGCACCACACCAGGTGCTCGTCCGGGATGAAGGACCTGCGGGAGGGGGAGGGGGGTCAGCACCCAGGAAGACCGGCCCAAACACCCTCCCCCATGCACTGGGGACATCAAGGCGGGGGGGGGGGTGCCCCACAGGGGAAGATGTCCATCACCTGGCGGAAGGAGCCTCCCCGCACCCCTCCATGACTTAATCCAGCGCTTTGCCACCAGGATTTGGTGTCTTGGTGGATGTGTGGCGGAAGGTGGAGGTTTGAAGGCAATCTGCCAGGAGCTTGAGCCGGATGACCCTTGGGGGTCCCATCTGACTTGACCATTCTACAAAATCCTGTTACCCACTGAAAATATGGGGTTGCGCTCACCTAAACAGACCCACTGAAATTAACAGATGTGGTCCATCCATTTCAATGGGTCTATTCTGAACAAAACGTGGCCAAGTACAACCCCTGAAATACCACACGTGTGCTCAATGCGAGGAGAACCTGGGATCTGGCGAGGGATCAGTGCCAGGTGCCCCCATTCCGCAGGGCAGAGGAGGCCAAACCGGAGAGAGGCCCGTCTGCTGGAGACCTCCAGCCCAGCAATTTCACACTGGAGATCCTCCCTGGAGCCGGCCTTGGTTAGGACACCCCAGGGGTAGCAGGCCTATTATGGGGCTGGGTTTTAATCTCAGGGCAGAAATCACAGCTGAAGACTCGCTGGGGTTTCCCTTTGAAGCCCAGCCCCCACCCGAGACCTCGAGGGGCTCAAACTCCCAGCCTGGCCAAAGGCCACAGGGGAACGGGAGATGGGCTTCAGCAGCAGGAGGTGGAGGGCCGCATCAGGTGGGTCTTCCGGCCCTGGCTCTCTGGAGGGCCACATGCGCCCGCCCTCCTGACCCACCTGGCGACGGTGACGATGACCCCCAGGAGGGTGATGGCGGTGAGGATGTGCTGCACGGTGAGGACGTCCTCGTCGTAGACGGTGAGGGCGATGAGGACGGCCAGGAGGGAGCCGGCGAAGAAGCAGACGTTCCTGGCCAGCAGGGCCAGCAGGGGGCTGGCAAAGGAGTTCATGTACTTGGAGGCGGGCTTGTAGCCGCGGCTGAGGCGCGCCTGCAGCTCGTGGTCCAGCTCATTGAAGTGGCGCAGGTAGAGGCGGCCGAAGAGGGACCAGCGGCGGGCGCCCAGGCTGCCCGGCTCCCTCTTGAGCACCTCCGTGTAGCTGAAGAAGGCGTACAGCACCTGCCACACCAGGATGAAGGGGCAGAGCAGCAGGTTGGCCAGGCCCAGCAGCAGCATGCCTCGCCCCAGGCGCCGCGCCAGCTCCAGCCGGGCCCCCGCCCGCTTGTACTGGGGCTGCAGGCTCCACTTGCCCTGGAAGAGGGAGCCCGGCCCCCAGAAGAAGAGCAGCTCCAGGTTGTACTTGAGGCCCTGCGTCAGGAAGACGGCCTCGCCCAGCAGGGGCAGGCGGAAGCGCACGGGCAGCAGCGCCTTGTTCACCATGGCCACCAGGTAGTTCTTGAAGCGCAGGACGCGGTGGTGGATGTCCAGCTCACTCAGCTCCCGCTTGTGGACGCACATCGGCTGCTCCCGCTGCAGAGAGATCAGCCGCGCCTGCACCTCCTGCCAGCTGCAGTTGCACAGCTCGTCCTGCGGGGGCGCAAGAGAGGGGGTGAGGACACGCTGGGGGGGGGGGAGGAAGAGGACCCCCAGCCCCCAGGCTCTCTGTCCCTGGAGACTCAGCAGCCTCCTTCTGGGCCCACTTTTAAACACCTGACAGGCAATTAAGACCCCTCCCCAGATGGTTCTGGGTTTTTATCGCTGAAAACTGCTTTTGTATATTCTTTTCAGGACCCAGCAGAACACAAATATTTTTATAAACAGACAGGAATGGATGGATGAATAGACCTCCCTACAGGCACTCCAGCTTGCTAAAGTGGGGCGTAGGAAGTCATAGCTCCTGCTCAGCTCAGAATTAAACAGGCAGCCGCCACAGGATTAGGCCCCCCTGCTTCACATCTGATTCACAAAGGATCTCTGCTTAAGGCCATAGAGGCCACTTAGTCCAACCTCCCTCCCTCAAGGGAGAGCCAGAAATGACATCCACCCCCCCCCAAAAAAAAGATCAGCCTACAGAGTGAAATCCAGAAGCTGGGAGCCAAAGTTTTGCAGCTCCTGAGGACCCTCCCCAAAGTCAGGCCGCTGTCCCTGGGGGAGGCGAACCCCAACCTGCTCACTGGGTCTCTGACCATCAGGACCCAAAGGGGGAGAGAGGGGGAAACCTTCCTTCACCCCTCAAGTCCTGCCTCCGACTCCTTATTCCACCGACAACATTGCCCCTATGGCAGCAAGGAAACACACACAGACGCTCAAGCACCAGGTGCTTAGGAGCTGTGCCCCTCACAGGAACGGCCCTGTTCAGTCAGGCAGGAGGGCAGACACCCCCCCCCACACACACACCTTAAGGATTCGGCTATTATTTGGAAGACAGGGACTGTCCCTTTTTGCTATTGGCAGAAATGCAGGCATCCCTTGTTGCAATTAAATTCTATTTAAGCCGTGGGGCTCAGACATGCAGGAACGATCTGGGGGGTGGGATGTCAGCAGCCTCTGGGAGCAGCCCAAGGAGGCGTCAGAGGAGAGGTAAAGGAGAGGGGGGCTCAGCAGACTCACCGGCTGCCTCCTGAGGAACAAGGGGGGTCCTTGCTGCACCCATCGCCCCCTCTGTGCTGGGAGGTTTTTAATGTTAGAGGCTGCTTGCTGGCTGAGGCATCCTAGTCAGATGGGTGGCCTATAAATAATAACGTTCTTATTTTCCTTCTTGCTCACTCACTCACTCACTCACCGAGGGGATCTTGAGGGCCTTGGTGTAGAAGGTGCGGATCTCCCAGTAGCCCAAGAGGCTGCAGAGGACTTTCACCAGGCGGTAGACCCAGAAGGTGGCAGCCATCACCAGCAGGAAGATGATCCAGCCGCTGGAACGGATCCTGAGGGAGGGGAGGGGGGGACACCAGGGCCCAATCAGCCTGGCCAGGGGAGGGTCAGCCGAGGACAACGGGAGGGAGACCCCAAACAGGACCCGGGTGCGAGACCAACACTCTCCCCTGCAGGCACGGGCAGCAGCATCCTCTGAGGTCCAGGCTGGGGAAAGGCTTAAGGCTGTTGGGGAGGGACTCCTCCCCTCCAAGCGACCTAGGCTGGGTTGCACTAGGTCGCTCCAGATTAATCAACCTGGATTAACTCCGACCCTTTCCTAAGGGGTGCGTGTGTGTGTGTGTGTACATACGTACATACAGGTACATAGAACCATAAAGTTGGAAGGGATCCCCAAGGGCCATCTAGTCCAACCCCCTAGAATGCAAGGGCAGCTGTGTATCTATCTATATATCATAAAAACAAAAAACCCTCAAAGCAGTTGACAAAAAGATAAAATAATAAAACCCAGAAAAGCACACAACATGCAAGAGTTAAATCATTAAAACTCACACCACCTTGTCTAAACAGGAACGTTTTCAGCAGGTGCCAAAAGGAACACTGTGAAGGCGTTTGCCTGGAGTCAAGAGGCAGGGAGTTCCACAGCATCTATCTAACTGGACCTCTCCCCCCCCCCCCGGCTGCGAAGGAGGTTTGGGGCTCCCGAGGGCCGACCCCTTCCCCGCAGGAGGGTCTCTTCTCTCCCCCCCCCCACTCACCTCTGGGCGCACTGGGGCGTGGGCAGGATGGCATCAGGCAGCGTCACCTTGTTCCTCTCGGGGAGGGCGCCCCCTCCGGGGTGAGTGTGATTGACAGGCCGGTTGGCAAAGAGCACGTCGTACTCCACGCAGCAGAGCAGGAAGGTGGTGAAGGTGACCACAAACAGGAACTGCCTGGGGGGAGAGGAGCCAAGTGGGGTCAGGAGAGCCCCTCTGCCCAGGCCCACCCTCAGCCTGCAGGACTCCCAGGGCGCATCTGGCCCAACCTGCCTGCAATGCAATGCATTCCCTGGTGGGACCCTTTGCAGCTGGCGTGGGGGCTCCCTCCCACCCCCTGCCCTGCCCAACAGGGAAGGAAGATCCGGAGGAGACCCCTGGGCCTCCCCACTGTGGACGGAGAAAGGCACCTCCATGCTCCCTGCAGCCTGGAGACGAGAAGACCGAGAGGGAATACGGGGGCTCCCTCCAAATAGCTGAAGGCCGCTGTGGGGAAGATGATCAGGCTTGTTTCCTGGTGGGCTCTCCTTCCGGGGAGGTTTTCAAGCAGAGCTTGGATGGGAATCTTAAGCCACCAGTCCTGCGTTGCAGGGGGCTGGACCAGATGACCCTGGGGGACCCCTCCCAACTCTATGAAGACAGGTCCCAGAGCAAAAGGGGGGGGCAGATGTTCCCCACTCAGGAGCAGCCCTGCCCCAAATGCCCCCCAGCTCCCTCCTCCTCCTCCCCCCAGGGCCCAGCAATGAAGGGGGTGCAGAAGGAGGGGGGAGTTTTGGGTACTCACACCAGCTCAAAGACGTCCGAGAGCATCATGCAGGCAAAGCCATTCTTTTGGTGGAAATGGTAGATGTGCAGGGTCTGTTAAGGAAAACCACTCTGCTCCGCCTTGCCTTGAAGACCCCCCCTGCAGCCACCTGGAAAAGAGGGGGCCAGCACATAGCACCCCCTTCCCCTGGGATTCCAGATGCCTTCTGGGGCCGCTGAGCCCCACATGCTCCTCCAGCACCACATGTGGAGGGAAATGCGCTTTGCTCATGCTCAGAGGTGCTCCCTAGCTGCTGGGAAGTCCTTGTAGCATATTCATGCCAACTCTGGCCCAGCGGCTCTGCGGAGCGGCCTTCCTGAGCGAAAGATGCCCAAGAACCTGGAAGGATATTTTGGTGAAGAAGTTGTCCAAGTTCTTGATGTGATGCCAGGAATCTGCAAAGGAGGAAAGAGTGAGAAGGGGGCTTGGCTGAAAGGACCCCCAACCCCCGCCGGCTGCCCTCTGCCCTCCCAGGGCCCGGGGAGGTGTACCTTTCAGCCCCTCTGTGACGTGCACCAGCAGCTCCTTCTCATCCTCGGGGGGAGAGTCTTCCTCTTCGTAGTCCGGGAGGCGATGATAATCGCCATAGTGGCTCCCACTGACCTCCATGGGGTTTGCTGAGCTGCCCGGCTCCCGTCAGACCCTGATTGGGACACAGGGAGAAGGGGGCAGATTATCACTACTGTTGCACTTCTATCCCACTTTTCCCCCTCCAAGGAGCTCCAGGTCACGCACAGAGTTCTCTGCCTCCCCATTTCATCCAGTAGGTTAGGCTGAGAGGCAGCGACCGGCCTCCTGAGTCACAAGCGCAGGCTCTCTGATACAAGGCCATCTCCAGGACACTTGGGGAGGGGCAGCCCCCCATTCCAGCCGGGGGTCGCCAGGGACCACTCTCCACTAGCCAGGATTGGGGCTGTGGTCAGGGAGAGTGGGGAGACTTGGCTGAAGGGGGCAGGGGGTCCCAGGAGGGGAAACTGGGTGCTGACCAGTTGGTTGATTTTGGGAAGAGGAACAAGGAAGTTTTTAGGTAACCATCAGTAGAAGGCAGGGGGGAGACTCTGGGCCCGTTTCTCCTCCTCTCCCTCATTTTGTTTGTATGCCACTTTTCCATAGTTAAAGCAACATGCCAAGATTTACATAATCACAAACATTACAAAAGTTATAAACGAGTAAAACACATCAAAAAGTACACAACCAAATTGAAACAATTTCCACATAAATCAAAATAAGATCTAAAAATGCAGATGCAAAAATTCAAAGAACCATAGAGCAGTAGAGGTGGAAGGGACCCTAGTTGGACCAGGGTCATCTAGTCCAACCCCCTACAATGCAGGAATCTCCACCAAAGCAGCCATGCCAAGGAAGGAGAATGCAGTGCCTTCCTCTGCCTAGCAGCTCCTACTGTGGCTCTGGATGGTAAGGAAAGGGGGGAACCTGAGAACTGGGGGTGAAACAGCCAAGAGGGAGAAAGGAGCAGATCCAGCGGAAACAAGGGAGCAGGTCTCCCCAAGAAAGAGGCCCCCGGCTGGCCTGGGCTTCAGAAAGAAGAGTCCCGGGGAAGGAGGGTTTTGCCAGCTGACAGGCTGGCCAGGAAAGAGAGAGAAAGGTTTATTTACTTCCCGTCCTTCAGCCCAAGGTCCCAGGGTTGCAACGTTAATAGACAATATTGAAAACAGTTAAACAACTTGCCATCATGGAAATACGGTGGGTCCTAAATCTATACACTTCAAGTGTCCAAGGTCAGGGTGAAAGAGGTGCGTCTCAGCATCCTCCAGAAGCTGTACAGGGCAAACGAGTCCTGCAGCTGAGGGGCTGCCACAGAGAAGACCCTTTCCTGGGGCCCCTGCTACCCCGAGCCTCTGAGGGCGGAGGAGCAACCAACCAGGCCCCCTCTGCTGATCTCAGTGCCCAAGAGGGTCCGTAGAGGGAAGGAGGAGGGTTGGCGCCTGGGCTGGCTGAATCACTGTCCTTGTTCGGCCAGGCTGGGTGTTTGGCAAGCACAGGGAGAAAAGGGATGAGCAAGCCGGGCGGAGAGGCGGTCTCTTGGGCAGCCTGCTAAGGTGAGTGGCATCTCTCCTATTCTCACGCGGGGCTTGAACATTAACAAAGAAAACAAGGACAGTAAACCATGTCTGCTGAGGGTTTGAGAAACAGGTTCTGACTTTTCAGGTGAGATGGGGGTGGGGAGAGTAACTTGATCTCTTGGGCTCCGCTGGGCCTGGCATTCCCTTGTTTACTTTTTGCAAAAGACAGGAGAAAGGAGGCAAGGAACTTCCCTGGGTCTGCCTGAGCGCTGTGATGGGAGTCCTTCATCACAACTCCAGACCAATATCTAGCTTTCCTTCTCATGCAGAGGCTTGCCTGGGCAAAACCTGGCTCTCTCCTTTTATGGCATTTCCAAACAAGCACTGCTGAGTGCGCTCACCCTGCCAGGGCCTGGATCCAGCCCTCCCTGAGGAAGACCCATTCCCTCTCACAGGCTCCACACCAGGTCACCTGCAGAGGCCAGGAATGCCCTGGATCCTGTCCATCTGCCTTGCTCCATTTCCTGCCACTCGCTGAGTCACTTCCCAGCCATCCCAAGGCCACCCTCTGACAACCTGGCGCCTTCCAGCTGTTTTGCGCTACAACTCCCACCAGCCCCAGCCGGCACACCTGGGCTGCTCCAGGTGAAGCTCCAGCAGGGCAGGTGCCCCCCTCCCCCCCCCCCCGGACAAAGGAGGGAGAAGAGAGAGCTCAGCTTCATGGTTAGGACAGAGCAAGAAGCTCAAGCAGAGATAAACACAAGTGTGTGTCCCCCACGCCGCACCCCCCAGAGACTCTGCTTGCCCCCTCCTCCAGGGGCATCCCTCCCACTCCTCAGGAAGCCCCCTTGGCCCAGGACAGACTCTTGGGCCCCAGGCCCAGCCCTGCCTGCTCCAAGCTGCCACAGACCTGGCGCTGTGCGGCCACAAGATTGTACTGGCTGGGTCAGACTTGCCACCCAAAGCATTTAGGGGGCATCAGATTGAAGAATGCCGAGTTCTGGCTCCTGTCCCCACTCAGCCCCCCCCCCCAGCCAGGAGAGCTCCACCTCACCCCCACCCCCAGTTACTGGCAGCCGCCCCACCCTCTGAGGTCTCCCTGCCTCCCCCCACCCCCTGCCTTTACCGCTGCCCAAGAGAGAGAGATCTGCTTGGGGGATCCGCCAGTGCTGACGTCCGGCTGGAAAATCAGCCCTTTCCTGCTGGCCTCGCAAGAGCCCTGAGTCACCCAGGAGACACTCAGGGCAGAGGGAGGACCGGATCCCGGGAAGGCCGAGAGGCTCAGGACCAGGGAGGAGAAGCAGGCGGGACCAGCGGCCCAAAGGGGGCAGAGGGGTGGTGGGCTCTCCTCTGCACTGGGGACGGGCTTCTCCCCTAGCCCACCATATGGAGGCAGGGCGGGGGGGGGGAGTCACCAGGCGAGCTAAAAATACCCCGGGCAGCAAGTTCATCAACAAGCCAGGACCGGGTAAACACGCTGTGCAGCTGGCAGGAGGCCACCCGGGCGAGTCTTAAGGGAGGGGGGGGGGGGGGAGTGAGTCACTGGCAGGCCCTCTGCAGCCCCACTAGGCCTCACAGCCCCCCTCCCTGGCAAGGGGAAGGCAGGACCTCCCCTGGCTCTGCCCAGAGCCCCCCGGGCCCCGCTCCGCTCCCAGACCCCCTCCCCCAAATCCGCAGCAGCAGCCGCCGCCGCAAGCCCTGGAGCCCCGGCCGGCCTGCTCGCCCGCCTCCCCCCCGGGCTCTGGGGCTGCACCCTCCAAGGCCTGGCCGAGGGAGAGGGGCCTGACCTGGCTTCCTGCGGCCTTCTCCGCCCTGGGGCTCCTCCCGGGCCGGGCCGGGCGGCCATCTCTGCGCGCGGGCCGAGGAGGCTCTTCCGGGCTCAGCGGGAGGGGAGCTGGGGCCGCGCCAGAGCAAGGGCGGCGGAGCAGTGGCGGCTCCTCCCGGGCGGGCCTGGGCCTGGGCGGGCGGGCATGGCTCTCTCTTTCTCCCCGCGGCGCCCCCGCCGCCGCCCCCCGCGCTTCTCGGGGCAGAGGCTCCGCCCCCCGGCGCCAGCCCCGCCCCGCCCCGCCCTCTCTCGCGCGGGGCATTGTGGGCCGGCGTCGTTGGCGGCGGTTCCAAGATGGCGGCCGCTCTGGGGCTCCTGTGAGGAGAGGGCGGACGGGGACGCGGCGGCGGCGGCTCCCGCCATGTTGGCGCGGCTGCTGCTGCAGCTCCCGCGGCCGGGGCGGCTCTCCGGGGGCCGCGGCGGCGCGTCCTACTGCTGCTGGCGGGCCCCGGGGCGGGCGGCCCAGAGAGGGCCCTGCCGGGCCTTGCTCGTTGCCAGGTAACCGTCGCCCGCGCGGGGCAGGCCGGGAGCGCCTCGCCGGAGCCGCCTTGCGGGGCTGGGCGCCTTCCTCCGGCGCCGCCTCGTGAAGTCCGCTGCCCCGGGACCGAGGGCCGATTCCCCAAGGGGGCGGGGAGACAGCAAGCGACCCCCCTCCGCCACGCAGCCTCGCAGTCGCCAGCACAGCGCCTCGGCCGAGCCCCCCACCTTCCCCCCTAGCTCCTCCCAGAGGCCCCTGGCAGGTGCAAGACGTGTAAAAACATTGAAAAGAGAACTGCAGTGAACACGAAGCTAAAGAAATCAAAACACACCAACACGCCCCCTTCTTCCAGATAGGCTTCCTGAAAAAGCCTGGCGGAATAGAAAGATACTTGTCCCCTGGTTGAATATTCAGCCTTTGCTTCCACCTAAGATCTCGGGGTGGCAAATGGAGGAGGGCTTCCCACCTGGCGTCTTCCTGGCCAGGGGCCGTCTAGGCCTAACTAAGCCGTCCTGGTCCAGTTGCAGGCTCCCAAAGCAGAGAAAAGGACATGCCACAGGGAGGCTTCTGCAGAGAAACTTCTTTCCTGAGCAAAGACAATCTGATTCAGCAGGAGGCTTTTTCTGTGAGATCGGCTTCCTGCTGAATGGACCTGCAGCTGCTGTCACTTCCAGTTAACAAATGAGAGGCAGAAAGAAGCTTCACTGAGGCTGAATAAGGGGGTTGCATCCGGGGTTCCTACATCCAGCCCAAAGGCCTTTGTGAATCAGTCTGACTTTCCCTGCCCTTGTAGTACCTGGTTTGGTGGACTCAGCTAGGCCCCTAAGTGAGGGATTCCCTAAGTGTCCTGGGGTGAGTTGTGCCAATGACCCCTCAGCTTCATTTTCTCACCTGGGAATAACAATAACTTGTGGAGTGATTAGGATTACATTTTTCTGATTTCTATGGTATTCAGGGGATCGTACGGTCTTTGGAAGCAAACTGCTCTGTCAGACAAAAGCCTTACCTAGCAGTGTCTTCTTCAGCCACTGTCCTGAATTGAGATGATTGGCTTTCTTTTCCTCCTCTCCTTGCAGGTACTCGGGAAGCCATGCCAGGTTCTCATGCTTCCTGCGGGCTCCCAACCGCTTGGCCAAGCCATTCCCAGCCATGCTGCTGCTCTTGCCCCGCAGCCTCCTCCCACTGGGCCGGGTGGCTGCCTTCTTGGCAGGGCCAGCCTTGTTGGGACTGGGGGCGGGCTTCAGGCGGGCCTTCTGCCAGGAGGTCCAAAGGATTGAGGTGGTGTGTGTCCCCCCACCTGTGGAGAAGGAGCCAGACTTTAACTGGGCCATATTCTGGAAGTTCCTGCGCCCACAGCTGCTGGCACTGATCGCTGCAGTCTTGGTGAGAGCCCCTTCCTCTTCTCCCATTGATGGGGGGGGGGTGGCCAGTTGTGTCCTGTGCAAATGATGGGGAAGGGTGTGGTCAAACTTTTCAGGATGTGCACACATGCCCAGACCAGCAAGCCCACCTGTGCAAAGGCTGACAAAGTCAGAAGGAAACGAAGCCCAAAGAAAAGTGTGTGATGTGGGAAGGAGCAGAAAACCCCAGCCTGACAGTTTGGACTAGAGGGTGAAATAACCACAGGCACAAATTGTGTAGTGTGACATTTCTGAGTCCAGCTGCCTTTCCTCACCTTGCTTTCCCCCCTGCCTTCAGTTTGCCTTGGGAGCCGCAATGCTCAACATCCAGATCCCACTGCTGTTGGGCAAGATGGTGAATGTGGTAGCGCAGCACATGCGTGTGGCCGATTATCTCCGTGTGGCGCGTCGACCTGCCCTGCGCCTGTTGAGCGTCTATGGCCTCCAGGTGGGTGCTAGAGAGGATCTTTCTGGGAAGCGGCTGTTTGGCCCCAAGCTCAAGTGCAGTTGGGGTCTGAGGGTGGATTTGTGTGGGGAGGAGATGAGGGGACTGATGTGCATATAAACAACCAGGAGTCTTGTGGCACCTTAGAGACTAGCACATTGTGCATAGGTTTTCATGGACTCAAGCCCTCTTATTCACATGCATGAAGCGAAACCCTAGCAGGTATTTAAGGGATGAATTATAAGGTAAGAGCTGAGTGACAGTGAGATGCAAAAGGTGCAGGTAGTGATAATTAGAACTTAGATGTATGTTAATTTTGACTTGGCATTGCCAAGTCAAAGGGCAGAGAACCATTCACAAGAAACCCCTGTAGACACAACACGGATAGTGTGGCACCGGTCAAGCTGTTTAATTTCATTTATGCATTCTCTCACCCTTCACCCTAATGTCCCAGGGCAGGTTGTAACATAAAACACATTAAAACAGCTTAAAACATTTTACAATCACCAAAGGAGGTGGGTTCTAAGAATATTCACCTCAAGTGTCAAAATCCAGGGTAAAGAGGTGTGTCTTCAGCATTTGCCAGAAGCTGTATGATGAAGGTACCAGACACACCTCTGTGGGAACGTAGTTTCACAGTTTAGGGGCTGTCACAGAGAAGGCCTTCTCCCCCTTGCCACCCCCCTCAATCCTCTGAGGGTGGGGGATCCCTCTCTGGATCTTTGCACCCCGAAGGGTCAGTAGGGAAGTCGGCTGTCTTTCAGGTAATTGGGGCCTGAGTCGTTTAGCTCTTTAAACACTAACAGCTAATTAACAGCTATAGTGTGTTAAAATCATTTGTCTTGGTTTTGCACTCAAGTGATGTTGTGCATCTCTACAATTTTTCAGGGGTTGATGACCTTTGGGTATATCCTGCTTCTCTCCTGGATTGGGGAGAAGGTAGCCAATAGGATGCGCAAGCAGCTTTTTTCTTCCTTCCTCAGGTAACTGGCCTGGGGGTGGGGGAAGGGTTGCTGTGGGGTGCAGGGTGGGGTGGGGTGGGTAGGTGGGTGAAAGAGAGAGAGAGAGAAGGGTGGAACTTGAGATACATCCAGGGGCTTGAGCTCTTCAAAATAAGAGAAGTGGGGTGACTTGCCGCCCTCTTCCCTAAGGCAGGAGGTGGCCTTCTTTGATGCCAACCAGACGGGGCAGCTGGTGAATCGCCTGACCACGGACATCCAGGAGTTCAAGTCCTCCTTCAAGCTTGTCATCTCTCAGGTGTGGGGACTGGGCTGGTTCAAAGCTGGGCTTGGATTTCCCGGGACAGGGTTTGGGGGGGGACTGGGACTTGAACAGTGCATGAGATGTTTTCCGTGGGGAGGTGAGTCTGGTGTGGGGCCAAGGGCTCTTTCCTTAATGGCATGTTTCTCTCTTCTTCTCTTCCCCCCCCCCCGACCCCGCTCCTTAGGGCTTGCGCAGCCTCACCCAGACTGTGGGCTGCTTTGTGACTCTCTACTTGATCTCACCCAAGCTGACGGGAATGCTAGTGGTGGTGATGCCCATTTTGGTGGGGGCCGGGGCCTACATTGGTGGCTCTCTGCGCAGGCTTTCACGCAAAGCCCAAGAACAGGTAAGAGAAGCTCTGCCAGTGTGCAGTGTGGGTACTGAAGCCCCACCCTGGCCATTGAAAACCCCCGCAAGTCCATCCCCCCCAATACTTTCTGGTCTGTGACTGAGCTCCTTTATTCTCCATCACGACTTTCTAGAATTCTATGTCGTTGCTTCTTTTTTGCTGGATTCAGCCAATTATTCTAGGTGAATGAGCTGCTTTTGTGTGCTGTCCGCCCCCACCCCCTCTACCAACCTCAGAGTGGCAGACTGGAGCTATGGCGGTTATTTGCGAACGAGAGAGTTCTGATCTCCCCATGTCAGCAAATCACCCTGCCTGCCCCACATTGTCATGGGTTCTTTTCTGGAGTAGCTCCTGCCTTTCCCTCCCTCCCTCCCATTTTTAAAATACATTCCTTTGTAAAGTGTCTTTTCCTTACAGTGCATCTGCCTGGAACTGATTCCCAGAGTTAGCCAAGCCAGGAGCCTCCAGGTTTGCTCCTGGAACTTGCTGACCCCCACAGTAACTTCTGCTTCTTTCTTGACTGCAGGTGGCCAAGGCCACAGCAGTGGCCGATGAGGCTTTGGGCAACGTCCGGACGGTGCGGGCCTTCGCCATGGAACCCAAAGAGCTCCAGTGAGTCCCTCCTCTCCTGGACTGGAAGTGGCCAGCTTCCTCAAAATCCCTGAGGGGAACCCAATATGTTGGTAGTCCTCCCTACTCCCACCCCAAGGTGGGGAATGCAGATCAGCTAATTGCTCCCTTTCCTTCTGTGTGAGAGCCCTGAGTGGGGCATATAGCCATCCCATAACTTGGAGGTCCTCTCCCCGCTTCGGTCCTCTTCTGCTGGCACTCTGCAGGTCTTCCAGTCTTCTCCCGAAACTGCTGGCCTGAGCTGCTTTCTCTGTCCCTTGCAGCCAGTATGGAGCAGAGGTGGATCAAGCTAGTCACCTCAACATGAAGCTGGGGCTGGGCATTGCCTTCTTCCAGGGGCTCTCCAACGTGGCCCTGAACTGTGAGTGGTGCTTGGGGGCCACTGATGAATCTTTGGGCTGTGACTTCACTGTGACGCAGCGGTTCTCTCCGTTGCTCGGCCCTTTCTGGGACAGCATGCTGGTTGCTGGAGCAAATGCACTTTAAACCTCATATGTTCTGAGCAGTTGCCCACTCGATAAAAATGCACTCCCCCCCGCCTTTTTATAAGTTTCCCTAACACAGCTTTTGCTAACCTGGTGCCCTCCAGATGGCTGGGTCTGATGGGATTTGTACTTCAAAATATCTGGAGAGCACCAAGTGGGCAAAGGCTGCCTGAACCATCCCACCACCTCCACCTGCTGCCATCTTGTTTTCTCCCCCAGGTATTGTGCTAGGTACCATCTTTGTAGGCGGCACCCTCCTGGCTGGGGAAGAGATGACACCGGGCGACCTCATGTCCTTCTTGGTGTCCTCGCAGACTGTGCAAAGGTAAGGCCCTAGCAGGCCTCCCATGTGCCCCAGTGGCTGATCAGAGACTCCCCATCCCCCTGCCATGTGTTCCGTCCTTTGCCCTGACAAACTCCCTAATTGTGTTCCTCTAGGTCCCTGGCCAGCATGTCCATCCTGTTTGGGCAGGTACGTGGGGGGAGGCTGCAGGGTGTGGAGGGCATACGGGGGCCTCCTCCTTCCCCACAATAACTGGACACAAGCTAAAATGCACCCAAGCTTTGTGAAAGGTGGTGGAGTAGTTCATGTGGATGTGGCCAAAGCCGCCATGCTCCTGGCAGCTGAGCATGGAGGGGACTGGGTTCCCCGAGAAACCTTCTCACAACCTGTGGCTGTTGTTCTCCTCCAGGTGGTGCGGGGGATGAGTGCTGGGGCCCGCGTGTTTGAATACATGACTTTTCCACCGGAGACCGCAGTCTGTGAGAAAGAGCAGCTTGCCTGCAGCATGCTGAGCGGGCGCATTGAGTTCCATGATGTCTCCTTCAGGTGAGACCCGGCTGTGGGAGGTGGGTCAGCTGACCTCTCAGGAACGGATGTGCTCTTGTGCACAGGGCTGGAAAAAGACAGCACCAAATCTATAGTACACAGACAGACTTGTTTTTCACTTGTCATTCCAGGCATTTTGTTTATTTTGTAAAAGCTCAGTGGTTGGAGGCAGATGCTTCTGAATCCCAGGTGCTGGAAACCACAGGAGGGGAGAGGTCCTGCTTGAGTGTTCCTCACAGACCTCTGGTTGGCCACTGAGAGAACAGCATGCTGGAATAGATGGGCCCCCTTTGGCCTGATTCCTCAGACTCCTCCCAGTCACTCAAAAAATCCCTTCTGAAGCTTACCAGGCATTGTTCAGATGTTATCAGGCTTACCTCTGCAGCCACACAAGCAGGCAACTTGCTAATATTTTTCATTGAGCAAAAGATTCTCAGGGAGCAAACTCCTTTGCCAGATACGAGGCACAGCAGTGGTGAAATGTGATCATCTGCTCCTGCAATATGCTCAGCCCTTCCTGTGCACAGCCCCCCCCCTTTCTCCCTGCTCCACCACCTCAAGGGTCCTGCTCGCTTGCACTGGTGAAGCCTCCCTCCTCTGGGATTGGCTCCTGCGCCAACCCTTCCCTCATCTCTTTGTGTCCTTGAATGCCAGTGGGATCAGCCAGTCTCTGGGCTAACCATAGGGTTGGTCCACCTCAAGGCCTGATCTCTTTCTTCTCTTCCCAGCTATCCCACCCGGCTAGGTGCCAAGGTCCTGCAAAACTTTTCCCTCACCATCCCTGCTAACAAGACAGTGGCTATTGTGGGGCCGTCTGGAGGAGGTAAGAGTCTCTCTCTTTTCCCTCAGCAGGGCCAGGTCAGCAAAGGCTTTACCACATTTTGACTTCCCCGCCTGCTGGAGTGGTAGAGTGTGTCTGTGTCTCTTGGTCTTCTCCCGAGATCTCGATCACTGAGCTCTTAATTTCGCCTAAGATGGAACTAGCCATTTGGTCACAGCATCATCGCGACTCCTTTCCGAAGTGCCTCTAAGGCTCCTTTCCTGTTGTAAATCCTCTTGTGAGATGCTTTCTCTTCACACATTGCCCACCTTTGATTTGCTCCTTTGCTAAACTCCACACTTGGTTGAATTTCACATTCCCAGATGGGTCCATCTGTCAGGACTGGTCGTTGTCCTCTTCAGATCACCACACAAACGCTTCTTGTTCTTTTATAACTTTTTATTGTGTATTAACAAAATAATCTTATAAACAGTTCTTAACTATTATTCCTCAGAGTCACTTATTTCAGATACCTTCTGAGCTCTGCTTCTCCGTGACCAGCCACCCTCAAAATGGCGAAGGCGCCTTTCCCTTCGTTTTCCTGCTCTTTTTTCTAACCTCCTGGCTAGAGCTGGTCTGTATCTCCCCTCCTCCGAATCTGAGCTAGAAGTGAACCCTTGCCTTTCCTGTGAACAGCCGGTCCCTCCCTGTTGTTCCTCTTGCTCCCTTCTATTAGATTCACTGCTCTCCTTCCCCCCTTGGGGAATGCTTTCTCCCTCTGAGAAACTGGAAACTTCTAACTCTTCCCTGACACCATCTGTGCCCTGTGTTTCATGAAAACTTGACAGCTCGTTCACCATGTGCTGTTTCATTTGAGAAATGGCCAAACACCTTGCTAACCTCTTCTGCTGATCCTGACTGAATAGTGCCAGGTCCTGGTCTCATGGCAGCCTTTCTATTCCTGTCCTCAAGTGCCATCTGGCAACCAAAGTGCCAGCAAAGCTGTCTGTCTGTGTGTGTGTGTGTGTGTGGCGCATGCTCTGCATGGCCTGGGGAAGGAGCATTTGGTGACTTCTCTTTCTTCTGCCCAGGGAAGTCTACTGTGGCAGCCCTTTTGGAGCGGTTCTATGAGCCCACGGAGGGCGCAATCTTTCTGGATGGCCGTGATATCTGCACTCTTGATCCCACCTGGCTCCGTGGGGAAATCATTGGCTTCATTAACCAGGTGAGAAATGTTGGTGGAGTGGAGGTGCTGGTGGCTGAAGAGTGGAGTGGAATAGAGAAATCGCCTGCAGAAGACTGAAAGCAGTGGAGTATTTTCCTAAGATGAAAAAAGAGGGCAAACAGAAGGGGATGCCGCATGCCGTCACAGATCACGGGGAGAGAGGAAGTAGCTTTCTTTTCCCCAAACCACTAGAACAGTGAAGCTGATTAGCAGAGAACCATAAGAAAGAGATTCTTTCTTTAAGTGGCATGGAATTAATGTGTGGAATTGAGTGTCACTGGCTGGTGTGATGGCCACCAACCTAGATCTTTTTTTTAAAGGGTTGGTTTCTTTTTCATAGGACAGGTTTTTCTTTGACTGCTGATTGTGATAGCTGAAGATTTATTTATTCGTTGCATTTCAGAATTTATAGACATACCAGAGTGAAATTGTGCATTCAGAGAATACCAGGATGCAGAAACGGAATATAAAACATAGTATGGATAATAAAACAGTATTAAAACAATAACAACAAGGATTGAAAGCTGTGGGACTACTGTGGGAATGGGACCTTTCTGCTCAGCAGCAGCTACCAGCATGTGGTGGGGCTGGCTGCCTCTGCTGTGCAGTCTGCTTAGGGGCTCTCCAAACCAACTGGTGGTCATGGGAGTAGCTGGCCACATCCACCACCAGCCTGCTGCAGCAAGGCAGTACTGGTGGTCTTAAAGAAGATGTCTTGGGCTGGAGTAAGAACATGAATGATCTCACTGGAAGAACTTCTAGGGAGAGGTAGGAGGTGCTGGTGTTCTTGCTGAGGCAACAAGAGCAGCAGTTGTGGGAGATGTTTTCCTTGGGCTCAAGCTTCTCCCTGCGTCTTGAGGCCTCACTCCTTCTCCTCCTCCTGCCCCAGGAGCCTGTGCTGTTCAGCACAAGCATAATGGAGAACATCCGCTTTGGCAAGCCTTGCGCATCGGATGCCGAGATCTACGCCGCTGCTCGCCTCGCCAATGCGGATGAATTCATCCGCAGCTTCCCAGATGGCTACAACACTGTTGTGGGTGAGTCAAAGCAAGGGGTGGGGTGGGTGGCAGGCTGGGTAACGTGACTGCGACTAGAGGTGTGTTGTTAGACAAATCTCTCCCTGCCTTCCCACAGCAGAGCTATTAAGCTAACAGTTTGTGGTAGAAACCTACTATAATTAGGAAAAGGGGAGTCTGTGACCACTTAATCCTCACTCAAAGGAGCTAAGTAAAGATTAGACACTCTCAGAACAAAACTAGAACTTTTATTGGTTTACACTCAGTAAGGTTCTAGCTTTGTGGTTACTTTTCTGAAAGGCACAACGCTTTGTTTCAAACAAACACTTTTTACAAATATATTTAAGATCTTCCATAATTTCATGCTTCAAATCTGTCACTGGACAGTTAAATTATTTGTAGGACAGCCGTTGTCTTACATTACCTGGAAAAGACTCCTAGCCCCTTCTGGAATCCTAACCTTCCCCTTGCTAGACAGAACCTTCTCTGCCCACAGACAATCCCTATCTGTATCTGAGAGCCTATTCATTCTGACAGACAGACCTTTCTGAGTCTATTCAAATAGCCAGAGACACCTTTCCACCCACCCAGACAGAAAGTCCCTCTCTCTAATCCCAGGTACCTGTCTAACCCACAGGCAGTTCCTGTCTGGTTCTTAAACTGATGGCATTTTGAAAAAACTCTACTCTCCCTGATTGACGGATCTACTTGCCAGCTTCCGCCATAGGGTGGACATTAAGGTTTCGAGAAAATGTTTGTGGAGTGGGGCAAGAGACCTGATTTGCATTCTCTTAAACCTGGCAACCTCTCCTGGTTGTTCCACAGACTCCTCCTACTCCTCCTCGCATCTTTTTTTCTGAATTCAGGCTGCAGTTCCCCTCCAGCCTCGGCACAAGGCAGATTTTGTTGTGCTTTATTCCATGTTATTTTTGAAAAGTTCAGCTAAATGACTGGTTCCTGCTCTAAGTGGGTTCACGAACACCTCTAGAAGACGAGGTAGAGGTATTGGAAGTGGCATCCTCGGGGCAACACATTCTGGGGCTATTTTGTGGCAATTATTTTCATCTCTGTAGATTTCTGGCTGCCAGATTTGGTGTCACTTGGTGCCAGATTCAGGCCTTGGCCACAAGGTTTTCCCATGATGCTGCAACCTCCTGTGGGATGGAAAGGGGCACCTCTGCATGCCCCCCTCCCTGTCCTGTGCCGCGCCAACTCCAGGGGAGTGGGCGGTGGAGAGGAAACAGGGGGGCCACGTCAAGAGGACACGCTTGGTTGTACTGTCTGTCTGCTTCCCCTTCATCTCTCCCCTCTGCGTTCTCTCTCCCTTCCCAGGTGAGCGTGGGGTGACCTTGTCTGGCGGGCAGAAGCAGCGAGTGGCCATTGCCCGGGCCCTCATCAAGAACCCCAAAGTGCTGATCTTGGATGAGGCCACGAGCGCCCTGGATGCGGAGTCGGAGCACGTGGTGCAAGAAGCCCTGGACCGGGCAGTGGCCGGCCGCACCGTGCTGGTCATTGCCCATCGCCTCAGCACGGTGAAGGATGCAGACCTCATTGTGGTGCTGTCAAAGGGTCACGTGGCTGAGGTGAGGCAGCAGGGGAGGAAGGCGGCAGGCAGCCTTGGCTTGGGGCCTCTCCCAGCTTGGGAAAGAACAAAGGGGGGCTGCTAATGAGAACTGGATTGGGGGGCACTTTGTGGATTTCAGCATCCTTGGGCCCCAGACCAATACAGCTGGGCATTCCTAAACCCACTGATTTCTCTGGGCTTACAAAGGTTAGTAGATAAATATCTTACCAGTAATTCTGCAGTAATTTTGCTGCAGGATGTTAATAGCAGAATGCAAACTTCTTCACCTTCACTCAACACCAGCTTAAACAAGTGGCACAGAGTATGAAACTCTGTAGCCGGGTGTGCAGCTCCTGCCACAGTGTGCACTTCAAGCTTTATGCTGCCGGATGGAGGAGGACTGCAGTTGCTCACCTCTCAGCAGACCACGAAGCTGAAGTCTGGCCCCATCCCCTTCCTGGGAAACCCACTTTGTTAGCTTGCTGCCCCCTTCTGGCACCTGCACTTTAAGCAGGCACTGCGCCATCTGTCCCACTGTGGTCTCCTTTGACTGGCAGCAACGCAGGCCGTTGAGAGAGGCCTTTCCTGTCCCTGCTAAGTGTGAGTGTGTGCTGCTGTAGGTACACATACATAGTTATCGAGAATAACAATGTTTGCCAAAAGTGAAGGGCAAGGTGTACGGAAGTTCTGTGACAGTTTTGTTCAACATTCAGGTGTATACAAAACAACAGAACAAGCCTTCAGACCTGCAGATCTTTCTCAGGTTTGCTGTACCAAAGCAGCACCTATTGGGAGTGGAAACTGATTGAGCCCTAAAGAAATAGAATAAAATTTGCTAATAAATTATAAAACAGCAATTTCATGCTGTTCATCCCGGTTCATTTATAGAAACATTTATAGACCACTTTTCTGCCTGAAGGCATTTTACAGCAATTTAAATATTACTACAATTAAATAGGTGAGGATTAAAACAAGTCATAATGAAACAGAGGCAGAACAGGCAAGATTAAAATGCACTAAATGCTTGGTGTAACAAAAATCTCTTGACTTCCATGCTAGAGGACACGATAGAAGGGGCCAATGTAAGCTCCTCTTATTCTTTGTAGGAGAATGGTGCTTGTGTCGGATCTATGCAGCTCTTGGCACTTCTGTTGCCTTTGGGGGACTGGAAAGTGCTGCTCTTGTTTCCTGATCTCCCCGTTTCTCTCCTTCCAGTCCGGGACACACACGGATCTACTACGGAAGGGTGGCATCTATGCAGAGTTGATCCGACGCCAAACCAAAGATGGAGTCTGAAGCAGGAAAGCTTGTTTTGTTGCCCTCGAGGAAGTATTACTGCCTGATCTGCCCCCATTTCACTCAGGAGCTTATTTGGATTCTGATGCAGTCCCAGAATTGGTTTGCAGGGGTGCAGAGGGCCAAGTCAGGAGCCTGTTGCCCTGGAATCTGCCTAGTGTTATAAAATACCTCCCCCAACTCTGCTTGAGTTCCAGCACTGAACAGAGCTTTATGTAATTTAAACTTGTTTTTCAAATACAGTATTTTTGCATTTGGATAGTGTGTCTGAAGTGTTTTTAGCTGCCTCGAAACTTTGGCTTTATGAGGCCTCGTCCAGCCTCCAAGCGCTGATTCAGGATGAGGAGGCCTCCAGGCCCCTGGTCAGCCTCTCCTCATGCTTTCCTGCAGCTGCTGGGTTGCAGCATTTGGGACTTTTTAGTTTAGAGAACAAGCAAGTGAGAAGAGACGTGGTAGAAGTTGATAAAATTTTGCACGGCATGGAGAATGGATCAATGTTCCCCCTTCTCTCATTGCACTAGAGCTTGTGGGCATGCAGTGGAGCTGAATTTGGGAAATTCAGGAAATATAAGAAAGTCCTTCTTCACACAGCACAGGAGGCAGTGGTGGCCTCCAACTTGGGTGGCTTTGGGCAAGTTCATGTCCATTGGAAGGCTCCTGGCCAGGATGGCTCTGCTCTGCCTCCACAGTCAGCCAGCTATGCTTCTGCATCCCAGTTGGTGGAACCCCTGGGGGGGGGAGAGGGTCTGGGGCTCCTGCTCAGCTCGCTGGTTTCCCACAGGCATCCAGTTGGCCACCGGGAGAAGAGGCTACTGGACTAGAGGGGCCATTGGCCTGACCTGGCAGGCTCTTCTCCCATTCTTGTGTCAACTAGCGCACGAGATCACAGGAGAAGGATGACAGCTGTGGGAAGACCCCCATTCCTGGTGCAGGTTGAAGAAACTCCTAACAATGGCTCCTCTTGGTGGTGTCCATCCAGGAAGGCAGCAAGTGCTTGGGGGGCAGATGTCCTGCTCCGGAGGGAGACTTTCCCTGAGACCGGCTCGGAAGCCTTTCTGGCCCCTGTCTTCTTGTGGGAAGGGGTTCCCGAGGCCTCCGTGTCCAGCCGGGCCAGGCGGTGTTGTAAACAAAAAATGCCCTTTTCCCTTATGGGGTATCCAAGAGCCCATGTAGAGTCCTTACATTAGGTTCCCTATTGGTAGGAGAAAATAACAGAGGCCAACCAGAGAATATTGAGAAGCAAAGCAGCTAGTAAGCCTGATCTTTATTGATCTGTTGCAACAGGGTGCTCCCCTCACACGCAGGAGAGAGGAGGAACCCAGAACAATGGCGTGCAAGGCCTTATAAAGACTTTTGAAATTGCCACCCTGTAGATCAAGACCACCCCCAGAAGCATCACACCTACATCACAGAAAAGGCGGTCTGAAACAGAAATTTGAATGTTGTTTTTCTCTTGTCCTTGTTTATCTCCTGTCTGGCAGGTTATTTGATTGGATTGCTTGGCCAGTCTTTTGTAATGATAAATACTTAGTTCCTGGGCCAGGTCACAGGCTCACACCCTATTTGTATTTTAAATGTGCCCTTAAGACAGGATTTATGAGGAAAGAGACAATGGGGAGGTTTCCCACTTTGACCTTGCAGAGAAAACATTTGCTCAGCTTAGGAATCAAAATGGTTCCAGGTCAGTCTTCCTGTGCTGATCTATGTACGTGCTTGGTTGGTAGACTTGTGAACATTGTTGTTGTTGTTGTTTAGTTGTTTAGTCGTGTCCGCCTCTTCGTGACCCCATGGAACAGAGCACTCCAGGCACTCCTGTCTTCCACTGCCTCCCACAGTTTGGTCAGACTCATGTTTGTAGCTTTGAGAACACTATCCAACCATCTCGTCCTCTGTCGTCCCCTTCTCCTTGTGCCCTCCATCTTTCCCAACATCAGGGTCTTTTCCAAGGAGTCGAGTCTTCTCATGAGATGGCCAAAGTATTGGAGCCTCAGCTTCACGATCTGTCCTTCCAGTGAGCACTCAGGGCTGATTTCCTTCAGAATGGAGAGGTTGGATCTTCTTGCAGTCCATGGGACTCTCCAGAGTCTCCTCCAGCACCATAATTCAAAAGCATAAATTCTTCGGCGATCAGCCTTCTTTATGGTCCAGCTCTCACTTCCATACATCACTACTGGGAAAACCATGGCTTTAACTATACGGACCTTTGTTGGCAAGGTGATGTCTCTGCTTTTTAAGATGCTGTCTAGGTTTGCCATCGCCTTTCTCCCAAGGAGCAGGCGTCTTTTAATTTCGTGACTGCTGTCACCATTTGCAGTGATCATGGAGCCCCAGAAAGTCAAATCTCTCACTGCCTCCATTTCTTCCCCTTCTATTTGCCAGGAGGTGATGGGACCAGTGGCAATGATCTTCGTTTTTTTGATGCTGAGCTTCAGACCATATTTTGCGCTCTTCTTTTTCACCCTCATTAAAAGGTTCTTTAATTCCTCCTCACTTTCTGCCATCAAGGTTGTGTCATCTGCATATCTGAGGTTGTTGATATTTCTTCCGGCGATCTTAATTCCCGCTTGGGATTCATCCAGCCCAGCCTTTTGCATGATGAATTCTGCATATAAGTTAAATAAGCAGGGAGACAATATACAGCCTTGTCGTACTCCTTTCCCAATTTTGAACCAATCAGTTGTTCCATATCCAGTTCTGACTGTAGCTTCTTGTCCCACATAGAGATTTCTCAGGAGACAGATGAGGTGATCAGGCACTCCCATTTCTTTAAGAACTTGCCATAGTTTGCTGTGGTCGACACAGTCAAAGGCTTTTGCATAGTCAATGAAGCAGAAGTAGATGTCTTTCTGGAACTCCCTAGCTTTCTCCATAATCCAGCGCATGTTTGCAATTTGGTCTCTGGTTCCTCTGCCTCTTCTAAATCCAGCTTGCACTTCTGGGAGTTCTCGGTCCACATACTGCTTAAGCCTGCCTTGTAGAATTTAAAGCATAACCTTGCTAGCGTGTGAAATGAGTGCAATTGTGCGGTAGTTGGAGCATTCTTTGGCACTGCCCTTCTTTGGGATTGGGATGTAGACTGATCTTCTCCAATCCTCTGGCCACTGCTGAGTTTTCCAAACTTGCTGGCATATTGAGTGTAGCACCTTAACAGCATCATCTTTTGAAATTTTAAATAGTTCAGCTGGAATACCCTCACTTCCCCTGGCCTTGTTCTTAGCAGTGCTTTCTAAGGCCCATTGGACTTCACTCTCCAGGATGTCTGGCTCCAGGTCAGCAACCCCCCTGGCTGGGGTGTACGAGACATCCAGACGACTCAGCAACAACAAGGACCTCCAGACCTCCAAATTCCTCTCCCAGCGGCGAGCAGCCAGCGGAGGATCCCTGCTCCCTGGCCGGCCTCGGGCTCGGGCTCGGGGTCTCCCGGGGCAGGACTCCAAGTCCCGTCGTGCACCGCGGCGGGGGCGGGGCCTGCGCGGCCAAGGAGCGTGACTGCGACCTCGCCGGGAAGCCGAGACGGGAGACGCCGCCGCCGCCGCCGCCGCCGCCGCCCGGGCCCGGAGGGGGCTGGCCGATCCCTCCCCAGGTGGGTCCCCTCCGCCCTCCGCCCCCCGGGATGGCGCAAGAGGGGCGCCCCTCCCCACCCAGCCCGGGGGCGGCAGGCGGGGCCGGTCGGAGGCTGACCCCCCGCCCCCGACCCCTCCCCTCCCTCCCCCGGGGGTGTCGCGGGCGGGGGCGGCCTCGGAACAAAGGCGGCCCCGATCCCGGCAGGGTCGCCGCCGACGGAGAGCCGGGCGGGGGGGGCGCAGGAGGAGGGCAGCAGCCCCCCCCCATGCCATGCCATGCCCCCACCCCAAGGGCGCCGGGCGCAGCGAGCCCGGGACAGCCGCCGCCGGGGGGAGGAGGAGGGGGCGGGTCCGCGACTGCCGGGCGGCCCCCCCCCCCCCCGTTTCACCCTCCGGGCGGCTGGTCACCTGCCTGCTGCTGCTGCTGCTCCTGCATGCCAGGCTGAAGAAGCGGAGCTCATCTCTTGCACAGCCTCCTGAGAGTGCGGGGGGAGGGAGATGTGGCCGAGCCCCCCCCTCCCCCCCCAATCTGTCCGGGCTTCTCTTCCTGCCCTGCAGACACTTCCAAATCTATCTCAGGCCAGTGGTGGATCTCAGCCTGCAAGTGGATTTTGACATTCTTCCAGGCAGGCGGGTCAAGGGCACAAGGGGCGGGCAGAGTTCGCACCCAGGTCCCGAGGAATCCCTTGCATGTGCGTGGAGAGCGCGGCCAGGAGATGGGGTGCAGGACTTAATTGATTTGGAATAAAAAGGCGTGAGAGAGAGTAGAACAACATAGCTGAGGCCTTCGCGTGGCAAGCGGGTCCGTTTTGCCCACATGAAAATAATAAATACTTCTGCCTGCCTGCAGGGCCACATTTGACACATTACATGGGACAAATCTGAGTTTGCAACTGGAAGATGCTTTCAGTCCGGATGCTTGCATTTTCAGGTTCACACCAAAGACTTCAGTTTGCAAAGAGCCCCTTAAAAGTAGAGGAGAGGGTTGTGACCTGGGGGTGTCCCCCGTGTCAGAGGCCCTTTTGCTGGCCCATCCACCCCTCGCAAGTCAGCCCCCCCCCCGGCCTTTGCCAGCAGCGGTGACCTTGAAAGATGCGAGTTCAAGTGCCATTTTGAGGGCACCCCCGAGATCATGTCTCCTGGGAGCTGGATTGTTTGTGCCTGTTAAATCTGTATTGTTGCATTTATAAGAAGAGGTTGTTGGCTCTTTTGAAATCCGTCTGGAATAGAAGGGCATGCTTTTTGTGTGCATTTTCCCTTTGTCTTCTATCAGGATGCCGCTTGACCTTTTGGAGCAGGAGTAAGTTGGGAGAGGAAGAAAGGGGTGGGGGAGAGGATAAACCTCACATGAAGGAGTGGGTGGCTTAGGGTGGCCGCTGCTCAGTTTCTTTATTCGTTTTATTTATTTCATAAAATTTATACAGCGCTTCATTGTTAAAAGGGGAAAAAACCCTTTCAAAGTGTTTTACAAAAAGATAAAACAAAATTATCCATAAGGAAAAATAACAACAACAATGGAAAACTATCAAAAAGTTAAAATGGCAATAATTGGAAACAGATTCAAGCTCGCATCACCTTCCTAAGCATCTAGGTAGGCTTGTCTAAACAATGATGTTTTAAGCAGGCACCTGCCTGGCGTCAAGAGGCAGGGAGTTCCACAGGGTGGGTGCTGCCACACTACAAGATTGAATTCTTACAAACGCAGAGCAGGGATTACGTGGCCCCAGTGCCCATTCCAGTTCAGTTGATCAGAGCAGGATGTCTTTTGCAGCCCAGTTACAAATGTGGGGTGCTGATCGCTGTGCCTGCTTGGGGTTCCTGCCTCGTAGGGGGTTGGACTGGATGACCCTGGGACCCTGCTGACTCCGCAGTGCTGTGATTCTATCTTGCAGGTGCCTCAAGGACACTCAGGCCTGTTTTCCCGCGGGAGGTGCAAGAGGATGGCAGAAGGGGTCCAGATGCAGAGGGAGGTGATGCTGGAAAATCGCAAGCCAGTGGCCCCACTGGGTGAGGACCACCCCCTCTTTCCTCTCTTGATCAAAGATGGCTTTTTGGGGGGAGAGAGCTGGGGGTGTCTGCTGCGTGAGGAGCTCAGGGTCCGAGGCCCCCCATCTGCACAGACACACAGACTAGCAAAGTGTCAGTAAAGTTTTGCTGACAGGCAGTCTGGCCACTAAAATGGGTCCAGGAAGAGCAGGGAGTGGATCAGAAAGGGAGGATAAATTGGATGCCCATTTGAATAAATCTCTCCTTAGTGGGGAAGTTGAGGTGTGGCGGTTGCAGGGCGGGGGGGACACGAATGGGAAGGAGGAGGAATGGCCTCTTTGGCAGTCCCTCTTTATCCAACTCTAAGATTGCCACACACATCCCAACCCCCACACTATATTTAAAATCAAAAGAATATTGTATTTAATTTATAGTGAAAGGGGGGCGTGGTATGTGTGATTGTAACCAAAAAAGGAGGAACCAAATAAACCACCTGTGACTTGTTTTCACAGACCCATCTTGGCTCTTCTGATATACACTTCCCTTAGTTTTAAGGGGGATTTTACTATTTCTACAGATTTCCAAGGGTGGGGAGTTGCAATGTCATCCCCCCCCTTCTTGAGTTGGACAAAGTCCTTCAATGTGGGCGATTTATTTATAAAATTTATAAAATAAATACACTGCTTGATTGTTAAAAAAATAAAACAAATTCAAAGCAGTTTACAAGAAAGGGAAAAAAATAAAATTATCAGTAGGAAAAAATAACAATAATTGAAGACGTTCTAAAAGCTGGATGGTGGGGTCTGAACTTGGGCTGAGTGCAGACCAGGGTTGGCTACCATTTGGGGCCCGTCAGCCCCGTCCACAAAATGCTCAACCCGAGTTTAGTGGCTCCCTTCACACACACACACGGTGTGTCAGGGTGTCCACCTTGTTGGCCTGAGTTTGGGGGAAGGTGTGCAGGAGGCACAAGCCCCCCCCTTCACCTTACGCAAAGGTACGCTTGCAATGTGCTTCTTTTGTACTCTTGGGTCGTCTTTATGAGGCACAGGGCCTGTCTCTCGTTGGCGGGGGGCGACCAGTTGCCGACATGTGTCACTCAATACTTAGATTTGTGGGTTTCTTTATTTGGTGGCTTTTGTGCGCCCCTTTATTTGAGTGCTGACTGACTGAGCCTTCCAGCTCTGCTACTTAGCTTTTAAATTCTGACTATCTTTAGGTTTGAAACGTGAGCCGTTTTGTGCAGTCCAGGTGTCTTAGGATACCTCGGTGGGAAAATATGCATTCGGAGTCACAAGGGAGCAGCTGCCTTGGAGAGACTTTGGTGCTCTGGAGGTGGAGCAAGAAAGGAGGGTTCCCCTTCTCCCCTTCTCCCCTTCTTCCTCCCTCTGTCCTGCATTGGAGGGTCGTCGTCGTCTTCTTTTAGCCCCTCTAAACCCGGTTGCTAAAGAGAAATGAAAGACCTTGGCCTCTCCTTTTGGCACTGCCTTTGGGCCTGGAAGGAGTCAAATCCATGTTTTGGTTCCGCAGGGTGAATGTGGATTGAATCTGCTTTGCGGACGTGCCCCAGATCTTCCGCCAGGTGCCCAAGGGAGGCCGGACTCTGCACGGATTCGGCTGCCAGGCCTGACAAGGGACTGAAGCCAGTCTAGCGCTGGGCTCCCGCCGTGGTCCAGGCCAGGACCCAGGCCGGTTGCCATGGAGACGGCCTTCTCTTCCTTGCGGAGGGAATGGAGGGGGCCCGGCTTCCTCCCTCACCCTGGAAAGGCAGGACGTTCTTTGCCCCCTCCTGGGAGCTTGGCCTGACTGCTCGTTCGTGGCCCCTTGGGAGACGCCATGGCCCAAAGCAAGGAAGTCTCGTGGGGCAGGAGGCCCGACTGCGCTCCTGCTTCCACATGGAAGGAGCCTGGGCAGCTCGGGGCTTTTGCGTCCTGTTTTCAGGCCAGGAGGCTGGGCTTGAATGTCTGCTGAGGACAGCCTGGCCTCCGTGGGCGTCCTAAGGACAGAGGAAAGCATCACACGCCATGTCAGGTGTTTGGTCCCCCTTCCCTATGAAGGAAGGTCGCAGCATTTGGGACTTTTCCGTTTAGAGAATAGGAGACAGAGAGGCAACATGATAGCGGTTTATAAAATGATGTGTGTCCTGGGGAAAGTGGAGAGAGGAAAGTTTTTCTGTCTCTCGTCACATAAGTAATCGTGGACATCCAAGTGGAACATTGGGAGATCCAGGACAGATGAAGAAAGTCCTTTACGCTGCCCAGTGAATCTGTGGAACTCTCCGCCTCAGGAGGCAGGGATGGCCACCAACCTGGATGGCTTTAGAAGAGCACTGGACCAATCCACAGAGGACAGGGCCCTCAATGGCCACTAGCCATGATGGCTCTTCTTTGCCTGCATGGTCAGGCACATTGGAAAACCCGCAAATAAACGGCTTGGCACTTTGGGGACGTTTGCCTGGCGTGGCTGGAGGCAGAGATTTCTGGTGACTCACTGCCTGGTGACTGATGCTGGCAGGTTCACACATTCTGGTGGTTGCTCAAGGATGTGGGGTGAATAAGGGCAGGTGTGACCTTGCTCCCCAGGTGGGAAAGCTATAAGGGAGAGGAAGAGGCAGGTGGACAGGCGTATGGAAGCAGAGCTCTGCGGTCTGCTAGGGGTGAAAGGGGCAGCTAGCCCCTCAGAACGGAAAGGGGTGAGTGGGTCGGCCGGTGGGGGGTGGGCACGGTGGATGGTGTAGGGAGAGGGGATGTGTGTGGGAAAGAGGGTGGGAAGGGAAGGGGCCGGGGTGGGGCTTCACCTGCCCTGGGCATCTCTGGACATCATCCAGCCCCCCGTCCCGTCCAGTGGGATGCATAATCCTTGTGTGGCCCCACAGCCAAAGTCTGGCATTTCCCTTTGTGGAGTGCTTCTCTGTCAGCCAGTCAGAGCTGTTTGGCAGTGGGACGGACTCCCTCCTTCCTTGGAGGTTCCCCCAACAGGGATTCTTAAGCTGAGATTCCTGCATCACAGGGGGTTGGACTACATGACCCTCAGGGTCCCTTCCAACTCTACAGTTCTATGAAAAAGCAGCCCAGGGCCCCATGCAAGAGGAGCAGAGCAGAAGAACTGGCAGAAGCAGTTGCCACACACCCCAGACACAGCCTCTTCCGCCCGCAGCAGGAGCAGCCTCTCCCAAGCTGAACTCTGCAAAGGGAACCAAAGGGAATCCCCCCTCCCCCGAGCGATGGCTTCTCCTTGCTCCTGGGACCCCGGCAGCCCCCCTTCATCCTTGGAGGAAAGGCCTGTCTGTCAAGAGCAAACCGGGGCAGGTTGGCTTCCACCTTAGGGGCGGGCGCTTCCTCCAGGCAGTCTCTTTCAGTGCTGCAGCCGAGCTTTGTGACATTAAACGTCCAGCATGGAAGTCATCCTGGGGAATTTGCAGGCTGGGGAAGAGGCCCTTCCCTGCTTCTGGCTGATGCGCGGCCCTCGCTATGTGTGCATGAACATGCTCATCAGGCACCTGGGCATGCACGCAAAGTGATGCATCCCATCAGGATTTGGAATTGCTGTGAAACCCGCCCCCCCCCTTCTAGAGCTTCCTTCCAGATGCCCTGGAATCCCTTGCAGGAGGAGGACTGAAAACGCCCCCTGACTTTCTTGCAGGATTTACCTGCATTGAGAAATGCCTTGTGGTGGGTTGCATAAAGAGAGAGGTGCAGAAGCCGCGCCCCGAGAAAGAGGGCCGACTGCGAGTGTGTTCCCACCTTCTGAGTGGCTTCCGCTGGCGCTGCCAAAGGAGCGCGTGAGTCCCTGGGGATGGAGCCTCTGAGCCCCTCCTCGCTTGGGGCACTTGCCTGAAGGCACCCGGGTGACTCCTCCAGAGGCTTCACGTGTCCCAGGGAAGGAGTGCCGCTGCTTTGACTCCAGAAGGAGCTTCACCTCCAGCCAAAGCAGAGAAAAGTGCGCAGCCCACAAGGGATTCCTGCACTGCAAGGGGCCGGGCTAGATGGCCCTTGGGGTCCCTTCCAAGTCTATGATTCTGCGAAGCCCAAAAGGTATGTAAGGTGCTGGCGTAGCAAAGGCCTGGCCTGCAGCAGCAACATTTGCCCCACGTACAGTCAGCCTCTGGAGTGGAGTCCCTAAGACAGTTGGGTGGCGCCTGGCATGCCTTCTTCCAGCAACTCCTGCAGCCCAGCTGGTGCCCCACATCTTGCTCTGCTTTCTTTTGGACCCCATCAGCCAGGCCGACTCCGGGGTTTGGGCAGCCCAGGACTTCCATGCGCAGTGCCCCAGGGAGGTCACTACAGTGCTGCTTGCTTGACTTCTTATAGGACTCCATTCTGTCTCGAGACAGACAGATGCCCACAGCAACACATTATCATTCAGATTTATTAAATTTATATGCTACGCTTCCCCTTAAGATTACAGGGCAGCTCACAGCATAAGTTAAATGTCCAGCCTCCCCTTCTCACAGGCGCCAGCCACATGTCTCAGTGGGAAGAAGCCCACAGAAGGGCAGGAAGGTCACAGCAGCAGCAGCCGTGTGAGGTCCCTACAGACTGGAGGCAGCAAAACGTTGTCCCCATCTTCAGAAACGGGGGAAAGGAAGACCCAGGTAACTACCGACTGGTGAGCTTGACATCAATACCAGGGAAGGTCCTAGAATAGATAATTCAACACTCGGCCTGTGAGCATTTAGAAAAGGATGCTGTGATTACTAAGACCCAGCTTGGGTTTCTCATAAATAAGTCATGCCAGACCAATCTGATTTCTTTTTTTCTTTTGATGGAATTACAGACTTCGTGGATCAGGGGAATTCTGTGGACAGAGTGTATCTTTATTTCAGTGAGGCTTTGGACAAAGTCCCCCATGATATTCTTGCGAGGGAACTGGTAAAATGTGGGTTGAACAAGGTAACTGTTAGGTGGATTTGTAGCAGGTTGACTGATTGAACCCAAAGAGGACTCATGAATGGTTCCTTGTCATCCTGGGGAAAAGTGACAAGTGGGGTGCCACAGGGTTCTGTCCTGGGCAAGTTGTTGTTTAACATTTTTCTAAATGACTTGGATGAAGGAATTGAGGGGATGCTCAACAAATTTGCAGATGACACCAAACTGGTAGGAGTAGGTAATGCTGCAGAAGACAGAATCAGAATTCAAAATGACCTTAACAGATTGGAGAAATGAATTTCAATAGGGACAAATGCAAGGTTCTGTACTTAGGCATGAAGAACCAGATGCACATATATAGGATGGGGGACACCTGGCTTACTAGCAGTACACGTGAAAAGGATCTAGGGGTCTTGGTGGACCACAAGCTTGACATGAGTCCACAGTGTGATCAGCAGCAAAAAAAGCTAACACTATTCTAGGCTGCATCAACAGAAGTCTAGTGTCCAGATCAAGGGAAGTCATAGTCCCGCTCTCTTCTGCCTTGGTCAGACCACACCTGGAATACTGTGTCCAGTTCTGGGCATCACAGTTTAAGAAGGATGTTGACCAGCTGGGAAGTGGGCAGAAGAGGGTGACCAAGATGATCAGGGGTCTGAAAACTAAGCCTGATGAGGAACAGTTGAAGGAGTTGGGTATGTTAAGCCTGGAAAAGAGGAGACTGAGAGGAGATATGAGAGCCATCTTTAAATATCTTAAGGGCTGTAACAGGGAAGAGGGAGCCTGCTTGTTTTCTCCTGCTCTGGAGGGCAGGACTCAAACCAATGGCTTCAAGTTACAAGAAAGGAGATGCCAACTAAACCTTCAGAAAAAAATTCTGACAGTAAGAGCTGTTTGGCAGTGGAACTGACTCCCACGAGAGGCGGTGGACCTCTTCCTTGAGGTGTTTCAGCAGAGGTTGGCTAGCCATCCTCCCTGGATGCTTTAGCGGAGATTCCTGCATTTCAGGGGGTTGGACTAGATGACCCTTGGGTCCCTTCCTAGTCTAAGATTCTATGATTCTTCCCCCTGCCCAACTCCCAATGATTCTCACCAACTGGCCTCTGACAGCAGAGGTTGAACTGTAGTCCTCGTGCCTAGCCTTGTCGCCATGAATTTGTCCAGTCCTCTTTCAATCCTGTCTACTTTGGTAGCCATCAGTACTTCTGGTGGCAGTGAGTTCCACTGTGTGAAGAATTGCCCTCTTTGATCTGTCCTGAATCTTCCAATGTTCAGTTTTGCTGGAAGGCCCCATCGGGCCCTAGGATTTAAAGAGTGGGGCGAGAGAGACTTCTGCCTGCCTTCGGTAATCTTTCACCCTCCCCTGCAGCATAAATCTGCCTCCCTTTTGCTTCCCGTTGGCCAGCTATTCTTGATCAGGCGCCAGCGTGGGCCTAGTGATTAGAATGCCAGGCCAGGACCTGGGAGAGACCTGGGTTCGAATCCCCGCTTGGCCGCGAAGCTCCCTGGGGGTTCCTTTAGAAACCAGTCATTGCCTCTCAGCCCAGCCTGCCTTGCAGGGTTGCTGTGGGGATCAAGTGGGAGGAAGGAGAACTCTGCACGTGGCCTTGAGCTCCTTGGAGACACAGGTAGGATATAAGTGCAAGGAATCAATGGGGACAGCTGCTCCTGGCCTTCTCTTTCGGAAAGGGAATGCAAGCACTGCCAACTTGGGACCCGCCTGGGTGTGAGTCAGGCTCCCAGAGGCCAAGTAACGCCTTTGGGAGCCAAGTCGGAAGGGGTTTTACCTGCTGCGCCCTGGCACCGGGCTTCCTCCAGGCGCGTTTGAGGAGCAGAGGTTGCCAGGCCAGACACCTTTGGGATAAAGCAGCCCAGAACAAGCGGAAGTTTGTTGGGGGGGGGCTGCCTCCTCTTCCTCCTCCTCCTCCTCCTCCTCCTCCTCCTCCTCCTCCTCCTCCACCTCACAGGGGCTTTTGCTGCCCAGGTGAGAGCTACTGAAGTTGGCGCTTAGGGGGCAGATGTGCTGGGACAGTCTGTGGGTCTGGATAGTGGTTGTTGGGGAGGCAGAGGGCCAAGTCCAAGCCCTGGCACTGCCAGGAGCCAGGCAGTCACTTCTCCACCCCATTTTTACGCAGCAACTGCACAATCCTCCTTGGCATGGTGCCCAGCTAAACTGTGGAACTCCCTCCTTCAGGACCCGGTGAGGACCACTGACCTGGTGGCTTAAAAGCGGGTTAAGCAAATCCCTGGAGGAGAAGAGGGCTCTGGGTGACTCCTCCCCAGGATGGCTCTGCTCTGCCTCCCAGCCGGGGCAGCAATGGCTTCTGAATCCCAGGAGGGGAGAGTGGGTCTTGAGCTGCTCAGGTCCTTCTTGTGGGTTTCCCATCTGGTTGGCCCCGAGGGAAGAGGAGGCTGGACCAGACGTGCCTCTGGCCTCATCCAGCACGCTTCCCTTACCTTCTCATGGAACTCCAGGGCCAGAGGCAGGGAGGGATATTTGGCCTCGCAACTTGATGGTCCCCTTTTGGGGGCTCTTTGGGGGTTCTTGGGCTCCCCCCGCCTCATGAGGATGACTTTGCAGGACGTGTGGGAAGGAGCTGAGCCTCTCCTGATCTCTGGAGGCATCAGCGGAGGAGGAGTCGCATCTCAGGTTCAAACTCAGGCTGTGGAGCAGAGAGGGGAAGGAGACTCAGCCCTGAGTCAGGAGTGAGTCAGGAGAGCCCGACACCCCAGTAGGACAGAAGACACACACACACACACACACACACACACACACACCACACACACACCCTTGCAGCACTGCGCTTACTGCAGCCCTCGAAGGGGAGGCTGTTGGCTTCCTTGCGGTGCAATCTGGTGACAGTCACATGGCTTTTATAACGAAGCGCGGGGGGGGGTTGCAGGCGGCTCAGATGCCCCTTTGTCCATCTCTGGCATCAGGACAAGCGCTCTGGGCCTGGGCTGGCAGTCTGGGAGAGGTGAGGGGGTGGGGGTGCTCTTTGAGGGGCATCTCCGGTTGCCCTGCTTGGACTGCTGGGGGGGGGGGGGCTCTTGGGTGCCAATGTCACTGCAGGCGCTCATTTCCTCAGGGGCCCAGAGTCATAGGCTTGTAGAGCTGCAAGGGACCCTGAGGGTCATCCAGTCCAGCCCCCTGCAGTGCAGGAACTGTGGCCCCAGTGCTTCCCAGAGTGCCGCGCCAACACTTGCGCGCCCTTCTCCAGACTCCGCTGGCCTTTCCAGATTTGCAGCACCACCTGCAGAGACAGAGGTGACAGCGGCAGAATAATGGCCTCTGCTCTGGGTCCCAGAAGGATGGCTGCTGTCTGCGCATGGGCAGGCTGGTGTCTTAGGAAAAACCCCTGTGGAGTCGGCCTGCACGCACCCAGGACTTCCTCAATAGCAAGTGTTGAGTTGAGTCCTTGCGCCCCAAAGGGGGACTAGGGAGCGGCTAGGGATGTCGGCTTCAAAGTGCCCTCATTTTCCATGGGAAGAACCTCTTGGGGGCAGGTTGTGCTGTGCAAAGTGCCCTGGTTTGGGGGGCAGGCAGGAACCTCCCTTCTCTGCAGAGTAACTGGGAGGAGTCCCCCCCCCACTACATGGGACTTCTCATTTATTTTCTTTCTTTTTATGTATAAATGATTTCTTAATAAAGCAAAGACAAAGAGCACAAAGAGATGCGGTTACAGCAGACGGAAAGCCGCCTTAGGTTGGACGTGATCCTTGAGCTTGTTTTCCCAAACTGTTCCTCCCCCCCATACCCATTCGCCCCCCCCCATGAACCTGTTAGGCTGGTTTGCACACTTTCTTTTGTAATAAGTTAGCTAAATCATAATTACTCAGGACCTAGTTTTCTCAACGCATTTGGATATAGCAGGAGATGTGCTCCACAACCGGAATTTTTAGCTGTTGTAATCTTAGCAGCAGTTAGAAGGTTGGATTGATCATTTTCTGGAATCACATCTTTTGGATGTTATATTTTAGAAGCCCCAAGGCTTCTAAGACAAGGCAAAGCGTGTGGCTTGCGGATAAACTTGTGCCCCAGTACCTCTCTCTTTGGAAACATACTACTGATTGGAGCCTCCAATTGTTTGGTGGTTTATTCCATTTGCCCCCCACTCTTCCTCAGGGAGCTCAAGGTGGTGTATAGAGGTCTCCTCCTCCCCATTTTCTCCTCACAATGACCCTGCGAGGGAGGTCTGGCTGAGAGGCAGGGACTGGACTCAAGGTCACCCCCGGCCTGCCCAAGGGGGGATTCGAACCCTGGTCTCTGCCAGTCTGACCTGCTAACACTGTGCCTCACTGCTTACAGAGAAGTGTTGCCTGGCGGATCTCTCAGCTGCCACACCTGCAGGAAAAGAAGAAGCCATGTGGTGGAGGGAGAGCCAGGATCCGGATCGAGTGGGTGGGTGGGGGTTGCAGAGACCCAGAATGCTGCTAGCTGGCCACTATTTGGTTCCGGCTGCAGACGCTGACCCCCAGGATTAGAAACTCACATATGTAAGCTAATCGCCAAATGGTACCTTAAACCTCAGTTGTGGAGACCACAATGGAAAGTCTAGGCATCATTTTTTCATCTGTGAATCCCACCCCCCAATTTCTGTACCATTTTATATTTTAAAGAAAAAATCTCAAAATGCTTTACAACACATTGAAACATCAAATAAAACCACCCAGAACAAAATAAAACCAAAAACGCAAGCTTCAAGGAGAATATTTCAGATCCTTCTCTAAGTGACATTTTGCTTTCCCCATATTTATTTGGCGATTTCATTTATAGAGCTGCCTCACGGCAGAAAGACTCCAGGAAGGCAGTGTGGGGCAGTGGTGAGGGTGTTGGATGAGGACCTGGGAGATCGGGTTCGAATCCCCACTCAGTCCTGAAGCTCACTGGGTGACCTTGGAGTCAGTCGCAACCTCTTAGCCTACCTCACAGGATTGTTGCAGGGGTTAACTCAGGAGGGTCATGAACCATGTACTCCTTGGGAGATAAATGCAGTAAAAAAACTCTTCTGCTCACCTGATTAAGAAAGCTGGAGGTGGCTGGGGAATTTTGAGCACTGCTGACCCGGCTTCTTCCTCCTGGCAGACTCTGCATCCACCAAAGATGCAGCCGCCTGTGACCTTGAGGAGGAGGAAGAGGACGAGCAGGAACAAGGGGAGGCCGACTGGGCAATGGAGGAAGACATGTACATTGGGGAGCCCCCTGGCAAGAGAGAGGCAGCCGTCGCTGACCCCCCTGCGCAGGACAAACCGGGCAAAGGAGCCGCCTCCTCCACCATCAGCAGCCCAGGTACCACTTGGGGGTCTCCTTGGAGCCTTGGCTGCATGTAAGGGGCAAAAGGGAAAAGCCATTCCTCAGATCAGAGCCGCCCACACTTTGGGGGCCCCACACACCCCCGTCCCATAAACTCATCCCAGTGCCCCCCCCCGCCCTATTAAATGCATTATTCAGAACAGGGCTTTACACGAAGGAAAATTACAACAATGAATTTCACAACAGGAACAATTAATTGCTCGTTAGTGATGTTATTCATTTCATTTTTATATATCTGTAAGCCACACTGAGTCCCTGTCAGGGGAAAAGGCAGGGTCTTTATAAATGTATAATAAATATAAAACAATAAAGTCGCACCTTGGAAATTGAACGGAATCTGTTCCGGCAGTCCGTTCAACTTCCAAAACATTCGGAAACCAAAGCGCGGCTGCAGAAGCCCCGTTGGACGTCCAGCTTCCAAAAATAGTTCCCAAACCAGAACAGACACTTCCAGGTTTGTGGCATTCAGGAGCCAAAACGTTCAAGAACTGAGCTGTTAGAAAACCAAGGCACGGCTGTACAAGCACATTTTATTTGTAACAAAAAACCTTCAAAACGGTTTTCAACCGTTTTCATTTAATGTATTAAAATGTTCCGAAATAAAACATCAGATATAAAATATACATTCTGAGGGTTTGGGGTTTTTTTACAATAAAGCGCTGTATAATTTTTATGAAATAAATAAATGAATGAAATGGAAGCGTCTTGGAGCAATGCTGGACCCAAGCGCACGCCTGCTTCCCTGCCTGAGCCCCTCACTGGGCAGCACTGGCTCCACTGCAGAGCCGCATCCTGCCTGATCCGCCGTTGTCAGAACTCGATCTTGTACACTTTGGAACTCCCTGCCTGTTGACTTCCAGCAAGCGCTTTCGCTGCGCTCCTTTCGGCACCTGCTAAAAAACATCCCTCTTTTAGAGAAGCCTGCCCAGATGTTCAGGAAGCCAGTGGGAGTTTTAATCTGCTTTGCGTCTGTTGTTTTAGCTTTTCCAGTGTCTCTGATGGTTGTTATGAGTTCCTCTTACTGGTAAAGTATTGTTTTATCTCTTTTTTTGGTCCAACACTTTGAGCTTCTTCCTTTCTAACTATGAAAAGGACTCATCAGAGCAGCCCTCTCTCTCCACTTGGGGTTCCTATACATCCGGAATTTCCTGGACAAATCCAGAATACTGCAGTCACAAGCTGTGTCTGGGCAAAAATCAGCGAAATGTCCGGGGAAATTCAATGTTGGCAATGTTGGTTTTGCACACAAAAAGCTCAACAACTGTTTTGCTCAACCCTATCTCCGCTTGCTCTCTAGGCTGCAAAGGCCCCCCCTGGATGTCCCCCCGCCCTCCAGAGCCGCCTGGCGCCTGGCGGGGCCTCTGCACCTGGGAGTGCTGGCACCAACGAGTCCTGGAGCTCCTGGAGCAGGAGCAGGTGGCCCAGAGCCCCCCGCGAGCCGCTCAGGTGAGCAGAGGGAGTGGGCAGTGGGGTCCTAGGCAGGAGGGAGGGGGAATAAGCAAGAGATACCCCTTGCCAAGAGATGTCCCTTGTATGGAAGGGAGAGCTGGACCATCAAGAAGGCTGATCACCGAAGAATGGATGCTTTTGAATTCTGGTGCTGGAGGAGACTTGAGAGTCCCATGGACTGCAAGAAGATCCAACCTCTCCATTCTGAAGGAAATCAGCCCTGAGTGCTCACTGGAAGGACAGATCCTGAAGCTGGGGCTCCAAGACTTTGGCCACCTCATGAGAAGAGAAGACTCCTTGGAGAAGACCCTGATGTTGGGAAAGATGGAGGGCACAAGGAGAAGGGGACAATGGAGGACGAGATGGTGGAACAGTGTTCTCGAAGCTACAAACATGAGGGAGGCAGTGGAAGACAGGAGGGACTGGCGTGCTCTGGTCATGAAGAGTTGGACACAACTGAAGGATAAACAACAACAACAACAACAGTCCCTTGCCAGTTGCTGGAAGCCACTGGAGGGGAGAAGGAGGCTCTTGTGGGTTTCCCGTGATGGGCCCCGGTCGGCCCCTGTGAGAACAGGATGCTGAACTAGACCTGCCGCTGGCCTGACTCAGCAGGGCTCTTCCTCTCTTCTTAGGGAGCCTCCAGGTCCAGAGGCAGTCTATCTGGACTCCTAGGTTCTTTGGGGAGTTTTTCCTGCTGAGAACAGGAGGCTGGCTAGAGGGGCTCCCTTTGGCCTGACCCTGCAGCCCCGTCTCTTGCTCTTACGTCCAGGGCAGGGCAGAGCGGGAGGCACTGCTGGGGACGCAGGGAGCAGGATTGGGGCTGCTGGCCTCTCCCACGGCCGGCACCTGGGCAGGTGGAACTTCTTTGTGACTTTTTCTTTTTGTCATGGCGCCCTCCCCTGTTGGCGTGGGGTCTTTGCAGGAGAGCTGCCTTGGCTGTCCTGCCGCTGCGCTTCCTCCCCTGGGGGGGGGGACCCCTCTCTCAGTGCGCTCTGCCTCGCTCTGGATGTTTGGGGACGCTCAGCCCAAGCTCTGAGCTGCCACGTTCTCCCCCCTCCTCTGGAAGAGGCTGGTTTTCAGGGGGTGGGCAAAGGGTGCTGGCTCCCTTGACACCGAGCAGGATGCGACCTGCTTTCCTTCCAGGTGACGTTTGAGGACGTGGCTGTCTACTTCTCGCCTGAAGAGTGGGCGCAGCTGACGGCCTGGCAGAAGGCCCTCTACTGGGACGTGATGAAGGAGAACCACAACCTGGTGGCCTCGCTGGGTGAGGGTCCCCCTTGGATAGCCTCCGGGGGGGGAGGGTCGCAGCCGCTGGCCCCAGGACACCCCGGAAGGTGGGGTGGGGTGGGGGTGATGGCGGACCCTTCAAGTCCGCTGGATCCCTCAAAGTTCTGGCTTTGCCCCACCATCACCACCTGAAGGCTCTGTGTCCTCCCTCTCCCTTCCAGCCTCCCCCTCAGGCCTCTCCTGGCTAAGCCTGGCCTGCCTTGGGCAGCGTCTCTGAGGGCTGCTACGCGACGTAAAGGGGGCTGAGGCACATGGCCTCCCCAGCCGTGACCATTAGGTGGAGCCTCCATGTCCTACGGCAGTCTTCCTGGAAGTGCCAGGTGCTGGGAGATGCGAGGAGGGCTGTTGCCTTCACGCTTTGCTGGCTGGGCCCTGCTCTCCGAGACCCAGGGGGCTGGGCTGGATGGGGCCCTGCTCTGATCCAGCCACCAAGCTCCTCTTCCTCCTCTTTGGCAAGAGTCCCCTCTCAGGGTGGCGGCCGACCTCCACTGCGGGGGGCTGGACTAGATGTCCTTTGGCGATCCCTTCCGACTCTGCTTCTACGTCCAAACTCTTTCTCCGTGGCCAGGAAGGCCTGAGGCAGATCTCCTCTGACCATTGCCAGGGGAGACCAGTTAGGGGCCCTCCCCCTGCTTTCTTGCTCCTCCAGACATGCCACATCCGCCCCACATCTGCCCCCTTCAGGCCCTTGGCTCCCCCTTGTGGCGCCCAAGTCTTTCCCGCAGGTGGTGACTTTTCCACTTTCTCTCCTCGCATGTAGCCCCTGCCCGTGACCCCGAGCCAGAGGTCTTGGGCCGGATGGAGCGAGGGGAGGCCCCTCCTTCTGAGGCCCCCATGGAGAAAAAGCCGGAAGAGGCTCCCCGAGTGCCCAGCCCAGGTGAGTGAGGCCCTTGAGGGGTGAAGGTCCTGACTGAGTCCTGCCTTTAAGGGGGTTGGGCCGGATGACCCTTGGGGGTCCCTTCAAACTCTGCAACTTTGTGAGCAGCAAATGTGGCCACTGCTGAACCCGATGCTTCTCAGTTGGCGTCAGTTGGCGACCTGAAAGGGACAGATCCTGGTGCGCATGTGGGTTGGGCTGCTCTGGGCTGGCTATGGAGAGCAGCGAGTGCGAATCATTTTCTGGAGCTCCTGTCTCCCTGTGCATCCGCAGGAGAAGCCCATTGACAGGCAGGCAAGTCAGGGGGTGGCATGGAGTCTGGAGGGGGGTCTTACCCCCAGGGTTACACCACCTCTGAGGCATGGCTTTTTTCTTTTTTTTAAGCATTTTTATTAAGTTTCCCATTTTAACAATCCAATCAAATCACATTAAATGTTTCAAATTATACAAATACATATCAAATAGTCCAAATATTCTGCCTAAATTATAATTTTTTTGTTGGGACTTCCCATGCTTCAAGTTTGGGGTGGCTTCTTATCCAAGACCAGCAGGGAGCAGAGAAAGCTGCTTTACGTTGGGCTGTGGAGCTCAGGATTGCCTACACTGGCTGGCAGCAATCCCTGGCAGCGTTTTGCCGTCGTGCCCATCCTGCTGTGGCCATCAGTGACGTCTGGCTGAGCTTCGGAGTTTCCTCCTCCTTGCCGTTGTCAGCCTTTCCCAGCATTTATGGCGTAGAAACCTCCTTGCAAATTCTGGGTGAACAGTTTATTGCCTCAGGACAGCTCAAACCCATGAAGGGCATCGAGTTAAGACGTGCTGATGCATCCAGAGCTGCTCTCCGAGGAAGAGATCCAGACACACAGCAGGATCCGGCCCGATATGCCATACTCCACACGCAGTGCTGACGGCCGCCTTGGCTTTAGACCCACCAATGCACAAACACACATTCTTGGCAGAAAGGGAGGGAGGACGGATCGTGCCAGAGCCTGTGGCCTTGAGCTGCTTCAGACAGTCGCCACCCCCCCCCCCCAGCCAGCATCCTGAATACAAACCAGATGTCTGGAGGTGGTTGGAGGATGGATGATGGCTAACAGATTGAGGTTGAAGTCTGACAAGACAGAAGTACTGTTTTTGGGGGACAGGGGGCGGGCAGGTCCTGAATGGGGTAACTGTGCCTCTGAAGGACCAGGTGCGCAGCCTGGGAGTCATTCTGGACTCACAGCTGTCCATGGAGGCACAGGTCAAATCTGTGTTTAGGGCAGCTGTCCACCAGCTCCACCTGGTAGGCAGGATGAGACCCTCCTTGCCCACAGACTGTCTTGCCAGAGTGGTGGATGCTCTGGTTATCTCCCGCTTCGACTACTGCCATGCTCTCTATGTGGGGCTATCTTTGAAGGTGACTCGGAAACTGCAATTAATCCAGAATGCGGCAGCTAGACTGGTGACTGGGACTGGCTGCCGTGACCATGTAACATCGATCCTGAGAGATCTTCATTGGCTCCCAGTATGTTTCCAAGCACAATTCAAAGTGTTGGTGCTGACCCTGAAAGTTCTAAACTGCCTTGGCCCGGTATACCTGAAGGAGCGTCTCCACCTCCATCGTTCTGCCCAGGCACTGAGGTCCAGCTCCAAGGGCCTTCTGGCGGTTCCCTCACTGTGAGAAGCCAAGTTACAGGGAACCAGGCAGAGGGCCTTCTCAGTAGTTGCACCCGCCCTGTGGAACTCCCTCCCGTTAGATGTCAAAGAGAAAAACAACTACCAGATTTTTAGAAGACATCTGAAGGCAGCCCTGTTTAGGGAAGCTTTTAATGTTTAACAGGTTATTGTATTTTAGTGTTTTGTTGGAAGCTGCCCAGAGTGGCTGGGGAAACCCAGCCAGATGGGCGGGGTATAAATTATTATTATTATTATTATTATTATTATTATTATTATTATTATTTTGGAGAAGAGCAACTCAAGCCCCAGACCCAGACCCAGCAGCCAGGGCCATTTTGCACATACACCCAAATTGCACCAGCAACGCCTCTCCAGGGTTTCTGGCTTCGGGGGGGGTGGGGGGGGTCCCTCAGCCTTTTCTGGAGACGCCTCCAGGGGTTTAACAGGACCTTTTACGTACAGAGCAAGTGCTCCGTCAGGAAGTTAGGGCTTCCCTCCAAGCACAGTGGCCTGTCCTGTGTGCCTTGGGGGTGACTCTCTCCTGCTTCTCTTACACGCCCCCCCCCCCTCAAGGTGGCTCTGGCTGGCAGCGGCAGGACTTGCCCCCAGCCCCCTGCAGTGGCAAAGGCAGTCCCTCCCGTCGGAGACCTTGGGGTTCACTCATCCAGCATTCAATTTAGACACAGCTTGATTGTAAGCAAGCAAGCAAGCAAACTTCAAAGCAGTTTACAAAAAAGATAAGCCCATAAAATGACTGTGAAGAAAAATTAACAATAATTTAAGACGTTTGAAAAGGGAAAATAACACTAGACTAAAAGCAGAATTAAAACTCACGCCAGCATTCTAAGCACCTGGTTGGCTTGTCTAAACAGGAATGTTTTAGCAGGTTTTGAAAGGGGAAAAGGCAAGCAGCTTCCCAGTGTCAATTGGCAGGGAGTTCCAAAGGGCAGCTGCTGCTTCACTAAATAATCAAGTTCTGACAGAGGCGGAACAGGTCTTCGGTGGCACCTGGAACTGTGCCAGTTCCTCTGATCCAAGTGGCACCTGTGGGGTCAGGCGATCTCCTAGGGAGACGGGTCCCAAGTTGTTAAGGGACACTAATAGTAGCTCCAGGAATCCTCTTTTCATCCCTAGTCCTTAAAAACAGGCAGGTGCAATTTGACTCTACCTTCTAAGGTTTCCTTGAGCTACTGACATTTTCCTTCCCTCTCCCTCTCTCTTCTGGGTGCAGCTTCTGGGGCTAAGCAGCAGCTGGAGGTCAGGAGAGGACCAGGCGCGGAGCATCCCTGCAGCAAGACTCAGCCCGAAAAAGCCAAGACGGACGCTCTGGGTGAGTGGCGCCAGAAGGCTTCCAAGGCAGCATGCAATGGTGGTGCCAGGAGGCCTGTTGCAGCTCTGGGGCCCCACTGGGACTGTGCTGGGACTTGGTGGCCCCCCGTGGGAAGGCCCTGCCTTGCAGGAAGAAGGTCCCGGCTTCAAGTCCCGCTGGCCTCTCCAGGAAGGGCTGGGAGAGAGGCCCTGCTGAAACCCTGGAGAGCCATTGCTGCCGGTCAGTGCAGGCCATCCTGGCTAGATGAGCCAAGCATCTGACTCGGTACAAGGCGTGCCGCTGGATGGTATGGGGCATGTGCCCCCTCTCTACCCTGGGGGTGTCTCCCTGCCCTCCTGGGAGGGGGTGGCGCTGGGTGAATCAGGCTGGCCAGAAAGGGAACCTGAGGGTGGGGGAAGGGGCACAGGAGCACAAGGGGGAGCTCTCTGCCAATGGGGGGGGGCTACTTGGGTTGCAGGTGAGTTTCTCCAGGGACACAGAGAGCCTCTGCCTCCCTCCAGAGCAAGGCTGCTTGTGCCCCTTCGTGACTTGAAACGGGGTGGTCCGAAATGGGCAGAGTAGATTTTCACAGAGGTTGCGGTCACTGGGCGACCTGCAAAAGCCATCACTTATAGAGGAAGGTTGCCTTGGTGACCTTTTATTTCTTCCTCCAGCCCCCCCCCCCCGTCTGTTTTTTGCTGGAGAACCTTGAGCTTGGGGTCCACCCTCTTTCCTAGCCCTGGCTAATAGACGTCGTGCCATGTCACTATTCATTTGTTGGCCTAAAACGACACCCTGGGGCAAAGCAGACAATGCAAACACAACTACAACCATACTGATGCAAACACAACAGAAATCATGATAAATCTTGTTTCAAAAGTATTAAAATACATCTGTTTTCCTTACCCAAAGGCCACAGATCATTCAGCTCCTGTCTTGAAGGGTCCCGGGCAGGTGGGCGCAAGGCGGGGGCATGGCTGGCACTCCTGTCTCTCACCTGTATTGACCTTCCCTTTCTCCTCTGTCCTCCTTCTCCAGCTGACGCCAAGCCCCACATCAAGCGTGAGGAGCAGCGGGGGGACCCCCAGGGGCCGGCCACCCACCACTGCAAGGACTGCGGCCGCACTTTCCCCCAGCGGGACGCCCTGATTTCCCACGTCCTGCGCACCCACTTTGGCGAGCGAGCGCTGCCCTGCCCGCAGTGCGGAAAGTTCTTTGGCAGCGACAGCAGCCTGGCCGCCCACCAGAGCACCCACTGCCTGGAGCGGGTCTTCACCTGCATCGACTGCAAGAGCAACTTTGTCTATGAGGAGCAGGAGGCGGCCCGGATCCATGCCCAGCTGGCCCTGGGGAAGCTTTTCAAGTGCTTTGGCTGCAGCTGCAAGATCGCCGCCCTCCTGGCCAGAGACCAGAAGCCAGATGCGCAGGAGGGCTGCCCCCCCTTCGGGCAGCTGGATGCCACCTTCTACAGGTGAGGAGTCTGGGACTGGCGGGAAGGGATTCTCCATAGTCACGGAGTCAGGGATCACCTCCGGGCGTCTCTGGCCTGAGAAATTCATCTTTTGGGTTTTTAAAATAAAAAGCTCCTGCACGTGGAGGTTGGTTATTCTCTTCCCTGCCCTCCATCCAAGGGCCAAAACTAACAAGATGGAATTTCAAAAGCGACAAATGTCAGGTTCTGCAATTAGGCAGGAAGAACCAGATGTGCAAATATAGGATGGAGGACACCTAACTTACTAGCAGTACATGTGAAAAGGATCTAGGGGTCTTGGTGGACCACAAGCTGAACGTGAGTCCACCATGTGATGCAGCAGCAAAAAAAACCCTAATGCTATTCTGGGCTGCATCCACAGAGGTCTAGTGTCCAGATCAAGGGAAGTCATAGTCCGACTCTCTTCTGCCTTGGTCAGACAAACACCTGGAATACCGTGTCCAGTTCTGGGCGCCACAATTTAAAAAGGATGTTGACAATCTGGAATGTGGGCAGAGGAGGGCAGCCAAGATGATCAAGGGTCTGGAAACTAAGCCTTATGAGGAGCAGTTGAAGGAGCTGGGGAGGTTTAGCCTGGAAAAGAGGAGATTGAGAGGAGATCTAGAATCTTAGAGCTGGAAGGGACCCAAGGGTTATCTAGCCCCCTGGGGAGAGCCATATTCAAATATCTCCATGGCTGTCACAGGGAAGAAGGCGCTAGCTTGTTTTCTCCTGCTCTGGAGGGCAGGATCCAAAGCAATGGATTCAAGTTACAAGAAAGGATATTCTGACTAAATATCAGGAATAAGCTCTCGGACGGTAAGATCTGTGCCACAGTGGAAGGGTCTCCCTTATGAGATGGTGGCCTCTCCTTCCTTGGAGGTCTTTCAACAGAGGTTGCTTGAGCTGAGATTCCCGCATTGCCGGGGGTTGGCCTGGATGACCCTGGGGGTCCCTTCCAGCCCCTTCATTTTGCCTCACTGCCCCCTCTCCTTTTCATCCCTCAGCCGCCAGCGCGCGATGGAGCAGGTCCGCCAGCGGGCCGCCCACTGGACCACCTCGGAGACCAAGGCCTTTGTGGAGCTGTGGGGGGACGACCGCGTCCAGACGGCGCTCTTTGACAACTATCGCAACGAGGTGCAGTACAAGCGGCTGTCGGACAAGATGCGGAAGATGGGCTTCCACCGCAACCTGGAGCAGTGCCGCCAGCGGGCCAAGGACCTGCGCAGGGGGTTCAAGGAGATCCAGGATGGGAACCTGCACTCCAACCGGGCGCGCCAGACCATGCCCTTCTTTGCCCTCCTGGACCGCTTCCTGCTGATGAGCCGGGGGCTGGTGGTGCCCAAGGTGTGCGTCAACAGGACCAAGCAGAGAGGGCGCAAGGGCAGGGGGCGCAGGGAGGAGCCCCAGGGGGGAGAAGCCCCCTTCCTGCTTGCCCTGCCCGCCCAGCACCCCAATTTGCGGGACCGGATGCTGCAGGAGCAGGATCCGTACCTCCACGCCCTGGCGCTCCCCGACTTCCACCTGCAGAGCCGCTTCACAAGCCAGTATCGCCAGGGGGCCGGTCTCCCTGACTACCAGCTGCCGACCCCCGACCAGGACCCCCCGGCCAACGCTGTGGGGCTGCCCGGCTGCCCGCTGGAGGGGCAAGACGAGGACTCGCCCACCCTGCGGCTGGCAGACTTCTCTCTGCGGCCGCAGGACCCAGACGCCTCCCTCGCTGTGGAGTCCTGCCGGGCAGCCGCTCGCAGCCAGAGCCGGGACCTGGTGCTGAGCCCCATCAATGGGCTTTCCGCTACCAGCAGCCTCTGGTCAGAGATCGCCAGCATGACTCCTACGGAGAACCCCGCTGGCGTAGCAGCCCCAGGAAGCGCCCAGAGTGAGTATTTGCTTATTGGTTTATTTATTTCTTCACAGTATTTACAGCTTGCCCTTCATTGAGCGTTGTCCATCCCAGAGCAAAGTAGTAAAACTAAACAGGACCAGTAAACACCTGGGAAACTTCTATCATACGCTAAACCAACAAAATTAGAGTAGAGGAAAAAATCATTATATTAAGATCCACAATTGGGGGGGGGGAGTCAAAGGGGATTATATGTTTATGTTTTTATTTCACTTCTTAACCTGAAGACCACTTTAGCTAATGGGGCCTCCCGCCGCTGCACGATTTCTGTTCTCATCCTGAAGCAAAGTTCTTAACCCAAGGTACTGTTTCTGGGCTAGCGGAGTCTGTAACCTGAAGCGTCGGTAACGCGAGGTACCACTGTATTTAGAAAGCAGCTCATGCCTCTCTTTTTCTTCTTCCTTCCGCCCCGTCAGCCTGGCACCCTGGGAAGGCCCCCAGCTCCTCTGCCAAGCGGATGCGTGACCTCCGCTTGCGCCGCAGGAGGCAGCGGGCCGCCATGGCACGGGTGCTGCTGGGGGCCAGCTACCGCCCCAACGACCGGACGGTGTGGAGCAAGACGCAGAAGACGGACTGGTGGGACAACCTGGTGGCCGGGCCGGCCGATGAGGGCGAGTGGGTGCGCTACTTCCGCATGTCGCGGGAGGCGGTGCTGGAGCTGGTGGAGAGGCTGCGGCCGGTGCTGCAGCGCGAGGACACCAACATGCGGGCCGCCATCCCCGTCGACAAGCGCGTGGCCCTCACGCTCTGGAAGCTGGCCACCTCGGACAGCTACCGCTCGGTGGCCAACCAGTTTGGCGTGGGCGTGTCGACCGCCTCGGTCATCGTCATGGAGGTGTGCGAGGCCATCCACGACGTCCTGCTGCAGCAGGTGGTCCGCCTGGGGGACGCCCAGGCCGTCATGGAGGGCTTTGAGCAGCTGGGCTTCCCCAACTGCATTGGCGCCGTGGACGAGACCCACATCCCCATCCTGTGCTCGCCCCACGGCGCCTCGGCCTACATCAACGGCAAGGGGCTGGTCTCCATGGTGCTGCAGGCCCTGGTCGACAGCGCAGGGCGCTTCATGGACGTCTACGCCGGCTGGTCGGGCGGCCTGCAGGACTCGGGCCTGCCGTGGGGCTCCCCGCTCTTCGAGCGCATGGAGAAGGGCACCTTTGGCCCCCAGACCACCACGGAGATCGAGGGGGTGGCCGTGGGCCCCGTCCTGCTGGGGGGTCCTGCCTGCCCCCTGCGGCCGTGGCTGATGAAGCCCTACCCAGAGGCCCCGGAGGGCCCCCGCCAGCGCTTCAACCTCTTGCTGGGCAAGTGCCGCATGGCCGTCAGCTACGCCTTTGAGCGGCTCAAGGGCCGCTGGCGCTGCCTCCTCAAGCGCCTGGACGTGGCCGAGAAGAACGTCCCACTGGTCATCGTCGCCTGCTGCATCCTGCACAACATCTGCGAGAGCCGCAACGAGGCCATGCAGGAGGGTTGGGAGGAAGGCATGGACTACGCCGACCTGCCCTCGGCTGAGGGCCATGCGGACGCCTTCTCGGACGCGGAAGAAGGGGCCGGGGAGGCGCACGGCGTCCGCGAGGCCTACTGCACATTCTTCGAGAAGAGGCGGCAGGCAGAGGAGCTCTGAGGGGCGCTGTGCGTTGTGTGTGTTGTGCGAGGACACCCCCTTCCCCACCCCACCCTGTGGGTGCTGCCAAGAAGTGGGGACAGGAACTCAGGCTAACTCAGGTTGCAATTCTCTTCCATGACTTCCCAGGGGGACAGCGTCCAGGGGTCCCCCTCGGGGAAGTCCCCCTGCTTACCGGTTGCACTGTTTTGACCTTTTATAAACCTTTTAGAAAAATTGGCTTAATAGCAAGTTTTCACCCTGGACCTCAATAAATCCTTGTTCTTCTTGAAAGGACTTTGGTGGGCGTGTCTTAAATGTGAAATTTCTCAGGTTTCCCCAGTCATGAATGAGGCTGGCAGGATCGGGGGGGGGGCAGGGGGCCCCCAGTTCCCTTTGCAAAACAGGGCTTGGTGCAGGATGTGAATGAGCACAAGAAACACAAGGGCTGGGGGGGGGGGCGCAGTGAAGGGACAAGTACAGTAGGGTGTGCTGATTTTTACAACAAAGTTGTAATGACTTGGAAATTCAAAAGATTTCTTGGTTAAATTAATATAACTTAGTTTTGCTTGGTAAGTAAACTATGTGTAAGATGGCATGGACATCATTAAAAATGACTGCAGTTATATTTTATATTAATATTTTTACTTTTATTTATTAATCCTATTCATTTTTAGCATTACCTGACAGTTTCAAAAGGTAAAATTAAAATTCTTTGATTTTCCGAAAGCAGTTGATGTGCTTTTTCATCAAATGTAGATTTGCCAAGCTAAACGTTATCTAGTCACAAACTTAAGAAATTTGAATTCTTCAAGCCCAGAAACATATTCTTAAGACCGCTCCCTGAAGAAATGTGCAAAAATTAAGTCCCGCCCCATAAAACGACTTGCCCTCCTAGCTCAGGCTGGGAACTCTTGCCCGACTGCTCTATGTCCTCTTCTGCCCCTGGCAAGCTCCTGAGCCCTGTGGGGAGCCCCTCTCCACCCAGGAAGACCCTTGTTGCCCCCTCCTCCCCAAAGCCCAGGCCTGCGGTTGTCGTCAGCGACGAGGGGTTCTGCTGCTTCAGTTTGCCAGAGTTTGCCAAGCTCTCTTGCCCAGAGGTCTGCCCCCAAAGCCCACTGCACATTTTCTAGAGCAGGGGTGGAGAACCAGTGGATTGCCAGATGACAGACTACAATTCCCATCATCCTTGACCATCAGCCACAGTGTTTGAACTGAGGTGAGCCACTGGTTAGGCACCTTGATTCTCACATTTGCGGGAAACGGTGGCACCATAGTTCGGAGGGCTCCTCTCCCTGTTGCCCATCAGTGCAGCCAACTTGTCCTCCTGTTAATTTCTGTGATTCTGCCCATTCTTTATACTCAAGAGTGCCTCTGAGCATGTGAGGGGTGTCTTCCCCTCAGCAATTACAATTATTCCTTACACCTCCAGGAGTGTTTTTCAACCTGTCTCAGAGAAGTCCTGCTATGGGGCACTAGAGGAGGCGCTTGCTGCAGCGGCAGCAGCAGATGCTCCAGGAAGGGAGAGTTGCAAGTCAGGTAGAAGAGACCAGTTTCTGCCTCCTCAGCCGGACTTGGGGGAAAGAGACCTTGCTCCATCATTCTGGCTTTGGCCAAACAAGTGACTGGTCTTTGGGTCTGGTTGGGCAGAGAGCAACTGGGTAATGATCCAACGCTCGTCCAACCAGCAAAGATGATACAGGCACATCCTGTTGCATCAGTGAGCATCCCCACTCTGCGTGCATCTTGCCCCTGAATGATCCTTGAAGGCACTGTGGCAAGACCTTTGTTGCAGCAAGAAAACCTCTCACTGGTGTACCATTAACATTCAGGGGATGCTGCGCTTGGGTAGCTATAACCATTGAGGTGGGTTCAATTTCTCTGCTGCTGAACATTGAGGCAAAACACCTTCTCAGCAGCTAAGCACAGAGGAGCTTGCATCCATGCTGCCATTAACTTTGCACAACCAGTGCTTCGAGCTCTCCCTAGTAGAATGCCACCGTAACAGCAGTTGCCAGCCCTCTAGGCACACACAGTGAGGCAAAATCATAGCTAGCCAGGTCAAGGTTTTGAGGGGAATTACAGTATCTAGGTATAAAATCTAATAAATAAAGGAGAGAACAAGCAAGCAAATATTTGAGATCAGTATTACCGGGCTGCTTCAAGAAGGGCAAGAGTCGCTGCTGTATCTGTGGCCATTCTGTCCAATACTTGCCTTGCCCTAAGGCAAGCTGTGGGTACATAGCTGTCAACTTTTCCCTTTTCTTGCAAGGAATCCTATTCGGAATAAGGGAATTTATTTCCCTTTAAAAAAGGGAAATGTTGACAGCTATGTGTGGGTACAGTGAAAGGGCCACCGCAGACTCTGCAGGGACATCTAGCAACACCTTTCTGTGAATGATGGATACCTAAGACTAAAGCAAAACTGGCTGGGATTCTGCCACAGAATTTTTGCCTCCTGTTTCTGAAGATGGTGCACAATCCTTAAACCTGACAAAGGGTGATCTCTAAGCACCAGAAACAGCTTCTCTTAGGAGCACCCATATCAAATGATAAGTATGGACAGTCTGGAATCCAGCAAGACTAATGTTAAGAGAATAAAGGATTTTACTAACATTGTCCAGTTTTCAATCCCTATTCTGTGTTTTGTCTCATAATTGTATGTTGTTGACAGCAAAGAAGGGAGAAAGGAAAGGAAATGAAGGAAGAGACTAATGGTTTGGTGTGTTTTCCCTTATTGACACACACAGTCACAGAATATGAAGGCAGCTTGCATCTGCTGTGGTGGTGGAGAGAGACATGTAGCTGTGAGCTGCTTCTAAAAGAAAGGAAACCAAGGTAGACTTCACGCCACCTCAGGAAGCCTCTGGCCTTGCCCCGAGTTGCCACTGCAAAGGAGCAAAAGATCAACGGGAAGCTATGCTGAACCGTGCTGATCTAGTTTCCTTCTGGTTATCCCAAAAAATAATTCCAACCAAATTAAGCTATCTGGGAATGTCCCCGACAGTCATGAGTTCAAAGAATATTTGGGGAAACTACAGGAGAGACTGAGTATGAAACAGACCAGGGCAAGCGTGAGTGTAGAATTGCAGAGTTGGACGGAACCCAAGGCAGCATCTAGTCCAACCCCCCGCAATGGCTTTGAATCCATCTCTCCAAAAGACTGAAGCAGGGAAGTTATCATGGCACTCTTTATTTAGGAACACAAAACCTTCCCTCTCCCCCACACCATGCCTTGGAGTTCTCCTCATTCTCTTGGCTTGCTGCATCTGCCATCTATACATATAAGAAGGAAGAGGCAGCCAACTGCCTTGAAAAATTCCAGCTGGAAGAGTTCCAGGCACCCTCCAAGCCAAGTCTCCAGGAATGGAAGTTTTCTCGCAGAGAGAGATCCTTTGCTCTGCCTCCTTCACTGCAATCCACAGCCCTAGAGGCTTCTGGAAGCTGCGTGTGAAAGCGCAGGCCCAGTTGGCTCCATGCCTGGCCCAGTCTGGGCTCACTTCTTCTTCTGTACATGGGCACAGTCATACTTTCCCCGCACAACCTTGAGCTTGACCCCTGGCAGGTCCTGCGTCCTCCCGCCCTCCACCAGGACGATGCTGTGCTCCTGCAGGTTGTGCCCTTCGCCCGGGATGAAGCAGATGGCCTCCTTGCCGTTGCTGAGCCGCACACGGGCACACTTGCGGTTGGCCGAGTTGGGCTTCTTGGGCTTTCGGATCATGGTCTTCAGCACCACCCCTTTGAGCTGGGGGCAGCCACTGGTGGGGCCGGGCTTTGGCGGAGGCAGCTTGGGGCGGCCTTTGCGGTGCATCTGGTTGAGGGTGGCCATAGGGCAGCTTGGGGGTGGCAGCACCGGCCAGGGTGGTGGAATGAAGCTGCGAGGGAGGGCAGCAGCTCCTGGCAAAAGAAAAATGCAAGGGTTAGGAAAGGGCCACCCAAATGATCAAGGGGATGGAGAGACACCCCCCCCCCCAGGAAGAAAGGTTGTGGCAACTGGAGCCTCTTGGCTTAGGTGAGTAAGAGGCAACATGGTAGAAGTTGATAAAGTTAAGTCTGGCATGGAGAGAGTGGGTGGAGAAAAGCGTCTCTCTTTCTCCTTAGGAACTCGTGGACATGCAATGAAGCTAAATATTAGAAGATTCAGGACAGATAAAAGGGAGACTTTTTTGACGCAGGGCAGTTAAACTGTGGAACTTGCTCCTACAGGAAGCAGTGATGGCCACCAACTTAAGACAAATTTACAGAGGAGGAGAGGAGGGCTCTTGATGACGGCTGTGCTCTGCCTCCATGCTCAGAAGCAGCAATGCTTCCAAATACCAGTTTCTGGGAACCCCAAGCCGAGATGGCGTTGCTCTTGTGCTCCGATCCTGCACCCTGGTTTTGCATAATGGGCACCAGTTGGTGATCGTGGGGACAGGATGCTGGCCTGGATGGCCCTTTGTCCTGGTCCAGCAAGGCTCTCCTCGGGGGCGCCCTGCCCTACACCTGGCCCACCCGGGTGACTGAGGTCCCACTCGCACAGACGCCCCTCGGGAGCCCGCGGCTCTCCCCCCCCCCCTTCCCAGCCCCCTCCCGCCGGGGAGCAGCGGCCCTCCGAGAGGCGCACGGAGCAGGGCAAGAGGCTCTCCCGGCGGCCACCTACCCCAGCGCAGAGGAGCCGCCAGCGCCCGCAGCAGCCCCGCCGGAGCCATCCTGCGCCCAGGCGCGCGGTCTCCCCTGCTCACAGGGACCGGAAGGAAGGAAGGAAGACCCCCGGGATCCCTCCCGACTCTATGGTCCCGGGTCACGTGCCATTGGTGGGCGGGGCGGCGGGGCCGGACTTCCGGGGCGGGGCCTGGCGACAGCCCTGAGAGGTGTCGAGGGCCGCTTTCGTGTCTCCCCCCCCCCCCCGCCCCGGGCAGGTTCTGAGCGGGGAGAGGAGGCAGCCTCCGAGGGAGGGGAAGGAAGCGCACAGGCCGCGCCCTCCGACTGGCCAAGGGCGCCGCCCCTCAAGCGGCTCCTCTTCCGATTGGGCGACGGGGCGAGAGGGCCACGCCTCTCTCCTCATTGGGCGACAGAGGCGGCGCCCTCCCGGTGACGCCCCGGGGAGGAGTCGAGCTGCTCTGCGTTGATTGGCCGCAAGGGCGGGACGAAGCCTGAAAAGGAAGGAAAAGATTGCCGGAGGGAGAACTTCCGGTGTCAACGACAGAGGCCCCGCCCCCGCATTGCACGGCCTGTGACGCCTCTCTTGGCAGCAAAGCGCCGCCGGCTCTGTAGTGCCGGAAGTGACCATAGAGTCCAAGGCGGGATCTTATTTCTGCGCCGTAGAGCGGTTCCGCCATAGAGCTTGCCTATCCTTGGCAGGGCGCTCTCCCTCCAACTGAGAGTCGGCGCTCCTTAGGGCGACCTCCAAAGTGAGCCAAGCCGTTTCCTTTGCTTGTCAGGGTTGCAAGAGAGTCAGGGGCAGAGAGGGGAGTAAAGGACAATGACCCTACTAATATCCGAATTATATCCTTCTACCAAAAAAGCCCCCCAAGAGGAATAAGCTGTGCCTTGAAGAATGCATCTTTTCATGTTTAGGTGAATGTGATTTAATTTTTTTTTTTTAAATGATATTTATTAAAGTTTCACAAAAATACAGAAAACAAAGAAAAAAGTATAAATTACAGCAAAAAAGTAAAAAGTAAGAAAAAACATACAAAATAAAACAATTAAAAACACAATGATGTTCCATAACCTATCTTCCTTACTCTTATTCCCCGGACCTCCTCATACCTCCCTTCTTTGTATTCCAATTCAGTTTGTTGGTTCAGCAAATCCTTACCATTAATCTTTTACCCAATTGTTAACCTTTTTTTTCATGTCTCTTAAAGCATTACAGCTAAAAACCTCTTAATTTCTATCCAACATCCTTCTAAAGTTCCTTAATTTTACAATATTTCTGTAAATAGTCCTTAAATTTTTTCCAATCTTCTTTCACCGACTCTTCTCCCTGGTCTCGGATTCTGCCAGTCATTAGGTGAATGTGATTTAATGTGCCTTTTGCTATGTCTGTCTCGCTAAAAGGAGCCTGAATATACTTGCTGAGGTGCCCTGACTGAGATGTATCTCGTTCTCCAAAAAGTGTATCTTTGTATTTCCTTACAAAATGTAATCGTGAATGTATCTTTACTGAAATGTTGTATTATGCTGTACTTTTCTGAATGTACCCAAAATGTAGTTTTGAAGAATGTAACAACCAAAGTATTTAAAAATGTATGTACTTGACTCAGTTTGTATCCAAAAGGCTGCCAAAAACACACTCTACCACACTGCCATCTACTGAGTCTGCAAATAATGCCATGAATACACACCAATGCCGGCTCAAAATAAAGTGGTTTTATTTTCCAGTAAGTATGCAAACATCAGGCTATCACACCCGAATTGATAGCAATGCAGAATAGGATTTCACATTTACATTGAAGCCATTTCCTGAGCATCTGCATGCTGATTATCAGCAGTTGCAGAGGTATTTTCCTGTAGATAAAGGAGAAGCCAATAAGTAGATCCAGAATTAAATGGGACGAAAGGCGTCAGCAAGACTGACACCTCCCAAAAGTCTTTCAACATCCTACTTACCTTATGTTAATCCACTCCTCATGCCATTCATGTCTCTTCCCGCCACCTCCACTGTTCTTGATTTGTATGGAAACCAAAAGGTATAAGAGTCAAGGCAGTCCTTTTCTTCGGGGTCTCACTCCGTTTCATTACGTGAGCGGGGACCCTGTTGCAACAGTTTTTGTTTCTTTTCTGTTTTTTTCCAATAAAGGATCAGGCTTTGCTTTTTCCCAATCCTTCTGTGGTCTCTGTCATTTCCCGACCTGTATGGAGCCTCCAATCGCGCTCCTTCCGAGGTCCCGGTCCTCCTTCTGAGACAAGGACCCCTGGGGGGGGGGCAATTAATTATTTATTTCATCAGGCTGCAGACACGTGAGCTGGAGGGGAAGCTGCAGAGATTGGTAAATCTTTATTTGCTTTTCAGTTGTTTTTAGTTTTGATTTTTTGAAATGATTTTGTTGTAGGTTTTTTTAAAAAAATCTTTTAAATGTAAACTGCTTTGAGAGATTTTGTGCTTTAGCAGTACAGTGGTACCTCTGGTTATGTACTTAATTCGTTCCGGAGGTCCGTTCTTAACCTGAAGCACCACTTTAGCTAATGGGGCCTCTTGCTGCTGCTGTGCTGCTGTTGCACAATTTCTGTTCTCATCCTGAAGCAAAGTACTTAATCCGAGGTAATATTTCTGGGTTAGCAGAGTCTGTAACCTGAAGCGTATGTAACCTGAGGTAAAGGTAAAGGTACCCCTGCCCGTACGGGCCAGTCGTGTCCGACTCTAGGGTTGTGCGCTCATCTCACTTAAGAGGCCGGGGGCCAGCGCTGTCCAGAGACACTTCCGGGTCACGTGGCCAGCGTGACGAAGCGGCATCTGGCGAGCCAGCACCAGCGCAGCACACGGAAACGCCGTTTACCTTCCCACTATAAAGCGGTACCTATTTATCTACTTGCACTTAAGGGTGCTTTCGAACTGCTAGGTGGGCAGGAGCTGGGACTGAAAGATGGGAGCTCACCCCACCGCGGGGATTCAAACCGCCGACCATACGATCGGCAAGTCCTAGGTGCTGAGGTTTTACCCACAGCGCCACCCGTGTCCCATAACCTGAGGTACCACTGTACATAAATACTTTTACAAACAAATAAATAAAACAAGTGAAGCTGAGGGTGGCCCACCATGGAGCACAGGGGGCTCCCCTGTCCTTCTTTATTTATTCCTAAATAATTTTATTGATTTGTTAACACACAGGCAAAAGTGCAAAGGTAACAAAAAGAAGGAAAGTGAAGAATCAAAGATTTATACCACAAAGCACCACGGACTGGAAGGACAAAGTAAAATGATACAGTGCAGCTCCAAAGGGATAAAAAAGTGTTAACTTTATTAAATCTTCCCTGTGACAGCTGTTCAGATATTTCACAGAATCATCAAATTGTAGAGCTGAAAGAGTTGGATGATGCAGCCTTGACAGCGCACTCTGAGGAAGCTCCACAGAGACTCACTCACTGTTTTGCTCAAGTCTGCAGAGAGTTTGGCCTCACCACCAGAGCAGCGAAGGCCATCATTCTGGGTCAGGATATGTCCACCACTCAATGCATCATTCCTGCATCACTGCGGGTTGGACTAGGTGACCCTTGGAATGTCTTCCAACACAACAGTTCTATGCATGAGGTGGAAGATGATGTTGTCTACCTGGGCTCCACCATTAGAAGCAACCACTCCATTGACGCTGAGCCGAACAAGCGTATTGGCAAGGCAGCTACGGCAATGGCTCATCTCTCCAGTGTCCAATACTTGGTCCTGTTATGGAAAAATCTAGATGTGAGGCTGCTCAGTCACCCAGCTCGTCGGGCAGAGCCCACGGGTCCCTGCGGAATAAAGGAAAAGAGTCCAGCCACCAACCAGAGCAAATAGCTGTAGACCGTCCTGTATTATGGCCATCCTGTATCAAACCATCCCCCTTTGATAGTCCTTCCTTCATGGAGCAAAATAAATGTGGACTGGTTTAAATCCAATGTACAGTTGATTTACTATGAATTTATAACAGAAACGTCGCGTATGTCGTGTGTGAGTGGGTGTACAAACTGAATGATGGGGGGGGGGTGTTCCTGCAACAGTTCCCCCCTTCGGAGATAAGATTGCAAAGGTGGCTACTGGTACAAGATGGTCATAATCCCTTAAGCGTACCAACACGTACTCAGGAGCCCTACCCAGTCGGCATGACAACCTTGATGGTCCCAGACAGAAGACCATCAAAGTCACAAAGGACTTGCATATGGGAGTGGATTCAACATGGACTGGAACAAAGGACAATGATCAGATCTTCCCTCTGGGGGCAGGAAACTGCCAACTCCCCTTTGTCCTCTGGAAATGACTGGGGGGGGGGAGAGGAACCAGCCAGGGGACAAGATACTCAGATACAAGATACTTACCGCCACAACTCCTCCCTCAACCCCTCCTTTTTGTGATGTGTCAATGTGTAGTCATGATGTAGTTGTGATGTAGTTCTAGGGGTGTAGCTTGGGGGATTAGTAACTAATAAAAGTTGGGGTCTTCTTTTGTTCGGGGCTTCCATTTTGTTTCACCTGGTGGCAGGTGGGAGTCCTGTCGTGACAGTCTTCAATAAAGACCAAGCCTACTGGCTGCTGTTTTGCTCTGGTATTCCTGGCTGGTGTCTTGTTTTTTTGTCCAAGGGAGCCCTCGGATTTCTCCGTTAACAAAACAAAGAGATGTGCACCACCCCAACCGAATAAATCCATACCATCAGAACAAGATTCAATTCAGTTGAGCAGTTGGGGAAATAAGGAATATTTCCAAAAACTGTTTGCAAAGATGAAACTTCCCCATTTTTAAAGCTCAAGCAGAAAGCCATGGGGTCAGAAGGGCCCTGGGCTCCTGCTTACATCCAGTTTTAGGTTTCACGTCTGATGTGTCATTCTCTGTCCAAGCACAGCAATTCTGTTCGTAGCCAGACTACTATTTTGCTGCAGTACGTGGGCAGACATTTATGACTGCAGTGGGAAATTTATGGCCTCATCCATCATGCCCCTGATCCCCATTGACCAACCCTGCTTAAACCCAGCAGTGCCCCTGCACTTAAGAGGAGAGACGTGTGTTGGTTGATATAGCTATCTTGCGGTGCCACACCTGACGTTTGAGTTTCCCCCTCAGCTGACATCTTCAGGAAGGCAGTTGCACCTGATGTGGGGAGAAAGGGTTAGGCCTCTTCCTCAGCACTGCAGACCCAGTCCAAATCAAGGCAGGCCTGGTCATTTGAAGGGATAATAGAATGCCTGGAAAACTTCATAATAGGATGTACCAGAAGTAATAAGCAGGAGAAAGTCAGTCAGGAAATAATGGGAATATTATAGGATGTGTTCCAGTTTTAAACTGACTGCAAACTTGAGGCCCATTTTCCAATCCATCTGACATTTGTAAGTCACCCCAGAAATCTGTCACTAGTTATCTGTATAAGGTCATGAGTTTAGACGAGCTGGGAGCTGAGTGGTGGGAGAGATGGCAAGGAAGCATGAAGGTAGACTGCGGGAAATTATGATGTGTATGTGTGTGGCAGTGCGTTGCTGCTGTCGCAGCAAGATCACATGTGCGAGAAGTGATTTTTCTGGTGTGTGTGTGCCCATACAGCTCCTTGCCGGGGTGCAAGGGACCTAGATACGCCTCTGCACCTCCCTGCCAATTATGATGAGACGATGATGCTTAACCTAATTCTGTTATTTCTATTTACCAATCAAGCAAGAAAAGAGTTTTGTTTATGTTCAGTTTATTGAAGATTTTCAAGCAGAGAAGCTCTCAATCCAAAGCAAGATGACTCACCACCCCAGACACACTTAAAAATAATAATCACTTTCCCTCATCTAGAAAGAGGGCCATTTCCCTCCACCATGGGGTGGGGCACAACATGCAAATGCTAGCCCAGAAAGAAGCAGCTGGATCTTGATTATATGGCAGTAGGTAGACGTTTCATCAAAGGGGATCTCAAGAGAAATGCTGGAATTCATTCAGGACCATGGAACTCAGAGATTGCAATCTTTTGTCCACCCTGAGAGATCTTGTCCTTTGCAATGTTCCCTCCAAGAAACCCTAAAAGTCAGAATAAGAGCAAAAAATGAAGCAAAGGAAGCCACATGACTGTTGCTTGGATAACTAACTACAAGTGAGGTGGATCTTCTTTAAAAGCTCCACAACATTTCCAAGAGAGGCATTTGTGTCAGCTGCAGGGTCATTCTTCCTGTTCATGCTGATGATCAGTTTAAGCAGTCAACAGGAAGTCTACCTATTAACAGCCCATGGTGCCCTTCTAGCAAAATTTTGCTTCCCATCCCATCCCATGGAACGTTACTGCTCAGTCATGGATACAGCTGTCGAGCTGCTCAACTGCCTCATTCCTTGAGTCTGAGCAACTGAATCTGTATCCACCTCCCATGTGCCGGTTCATGACTAGGGGCTTCCAGTTTCACGGTCCTGCCACTGAGGACTTCTTGGATCATTCTTTGTCTAGCTCCTCCCCTTTGACCCTACCGCCTTGGGGGACCCTGCTGGGAGTACGAGACTCCTGATTGCCTCGCTCCCAAGGGTCATAGGAACATGCAAGCCCACAGGAGGGAGAAAGGTTGTTTTCTGCTGCTCCAGAGAAGCGGACACGGAGCAATGGATCCAAACTACAAGAAAGAAGATTCCACCTAAACATTAGGAAGAACTTCCTGACAGTAAGAGCTGTTGGACAGTGGAATTTGCTGCCAAGGAGTGTGGTGGAGTCTCCTTCTTTGGAGGTCTGTAAGCAGAGGCTTGACAACCATATGTCAGGAGTGCTCTGATGGTGTTTCCTGCTTGGCAGGGGGTTGGACTCGATGGCCCTTGTGGTCTCTTCCAACTCTATGATTCTATGATTCTACACCACGACAAGGTGATGATCCAGTGAGTGAAAAGCACATTCAGAGGCATATTGTGCCTAACAATGGAGGTGGAACAGAGTCATTGTGGCTGCTAAGCATTGATAGCCTTCTGTGAAAGAACCTCCAAGCAAACTTGGGAAGTGAACCATCTGCCCCAGGACTTCGCTCCAGCCCATGACAGAACTCAGACTGTCTCCTCCTTTCCTGCATTCCAATTTATTTATTACTACATTCATACCCCACCTTTTCTCCAAGGAGCTCAAGGTGGCATACATGCTTCTTCCCCTTAGAAAAACACTGTAGGCTGTGTTGTGAGACAGTGACTGACTCAATGTCAACCTGTGAACTTCCTGGCTGAGTCAGGATTTGATCTCTGGTCTCCCAGGTCCTCTCTTGCCACTACTCCACATTGGCTCAGTTGCCAAATCATGTCCTTAAATCCCCACCAAGACAACTACTAACAGCTCCTAGTCGCCACCAGCCACCCAAGTGTTTGCTGCACATGGTAGTGGCTGGCTTTGTGATGCGGGTGGGGCTGCGGTCTTTTCCTGGCTTCCCAGCACCATGTCATGCTGCCAGTTACTCAGAGGAAGTGGAGAAGGGCAGCAGGGTCCCAGGGCAGTGGGGGCACTACTGGCTGTACATTTAAGGAAGCATCTTTAGCCCGTGTCAGTGCCTATTGGGGAAGGATCTTTAGCTGCCAGCTGTACAACAGTCAAGTGAAACCACCTTCCTCTACACAGTTATGTGAACAGAAAACTTGGCAGGTATTGAATGTTACAAGCACTGAGATATTAGCACTTACCAGGCACCCATCCCGTTGGGGTCAAGGACAATCATCTTGGCACATTTGATATCATCTGTGATGTCATCATTTAAGAATGCTGGCAAAGATTTGTCAGAAAGCAAAGGAGGTTACTTGGGATTCCTAAAATGCAAACCCCATAATACACCCCCCCCCAAGGTTGCAGAGGCTGCCTCTGAACTGTGGAATGCCTTTTCCTAGAGGTCCATCCAATTCCAAGCCTGAATTAGAGGGTTAGAGGTCAAATGTCAGAGGTCAAGGACACAGCAGTTCCATTTTTTGGACGTGATTGGTCAGTTAGTTCAGTCTTTCTTTCTGCCTCCCTGCCCCCCATGGCTTTGCCCATGGCTGCCTCCTCTTCTGCCCTGCATCAACACCCTCCTTGTCCCTCGAACCCTGGGTAAGGAGCTGTGGTCTGGGGAACACGCTGATGGCCTGGTGGGATGCGAGCCACTCTGAACCAGAGTGGAGAGGCACAATATTGCACCCCACCCCCAGACCTGCATCCTTGGAGGGGGCCAGCTTGACCAATATTATATGGTTTACTTACACATATCTACAACCTGGGCCTGCCATGAAGGGGCACACAGCGTCAACACCCCAAAGGGGGTCTGCCTTCTCCCAGAGCCAGAGCCTTAGATTCAAGCAGGCATCAAACATCAAGGTCATGGCCTAGGGCCATGTTTCCCAGCCTGTGGGTCCCGACCTGCAAGTGGGCAGCCAAACCAGCTGAAGTGGGTCAAGTTCTTCAGTGCTCCCCCCCCCCCCGTTGGAATACTTTGGTAAGGAGTGCTAGGACCTTTCTTCACACAGCTGCCTGCCTCCAGATTACTTGAAATAAAATGAAAGGAAGGAAGGAGATGTACAGTGATCCCTGGCCAGCAAGCAGTGAGTGCCTTGTTTGTCCCATGATAAGTAAGACTAAATGGAAGGGGTGCGATGGGGAGGAGCAGCAGGGCTGCCCCGGCACAATCAGGATTCTGCTATCCACCAGCCACAAGCAGGTGCCTCCTTTGCCTTGTGCTGGGATGTTTTGTTTTTAAAAGGGTTGGAGAAGTAAAGGAGAGGCAGAGGTCTCCTCGGATGGTAAGGGGTGTTGCTGCCCACTAGGTGGCGCTGCTGGCAGGTGGTTCTTTAGCCCTATGAAGATGCTTTTTAGAATTGGGATATTAGCGCTCAAGTAATGTGTGTGTGACTGCGAGAGAGATGTGCAAGTTGTGTGAGGGAGGTGGGAGAGATGTATTTGTGATGTGTGTGTGATGGAAGAAGGGAGGGACAGATTTACATGTTGTTTTGTGCAAGTGAGAAAAAGGGGTTACATGTATGTGTGGTCTGAGGGGAAGAGGGCAGTGTGTGTGAGAGGGGCTGAGGTGTAGCGTGGAGGAGCCAGAGGGGTCATCGCCCCAGCACACATTTTTGAGGGTGTGCAATCAGGTATCCCCATGACAGGCACCGAGACCTGGCAGCTGAGGCACAGCAGCAGGCAACAATCGGGAAACACTGGCCTGTGAGCGCTCCAGCTGGAGACCAGCCTTGACCAAAGGTGTCCTGGGCTTTGAAGACACTCGAACTCAGGACACAAGGGAGAAACGTGCTAAGAGGAAGGCACGCTTGGCCAATCCTCACCGTGATCAACTCCTGCCCAGAAACCAATGTCCCCCCTGTGGAAGGATGTGTGGATCCAGAATTGGCCTCTACAATTCACTGTTAAAACCATGTTTATGGTAGACAATCTTACTCGGCTACGAGTGATTGCCACAGAAGAAGAAGAAGAAGAAGCGAAAGAAGAAGAAGAAGAAAAAGAAGATCCCCATGACAGGCACCGAGCCCTGGCAGCTGAGTCACAGCGGCAGGCAGGTTGGTCTGGTGGGCAGGTGGATGGAGGCAGCAGTCAAAGAGCCTGCTGGGGGTGGGCTCCGTCCACCCTCTGGGGGCTCTGCGTGCCACCCCCTGGCCCCCGCCCCAACCAGGGAGGGGGCGGCAACCCACACTACGCTGCTGGTGAGGGCAGGGGGATGCACGCTTGCACGTGTGGTGCATGAGAGAGAGGAAGACAAGCGCCTGAGCAGAGAGAGAGAGGCATATCTGAGTGATTGTATATCTGTGTAGTATAAGGTGGAGCAAGAGACACAAAACTTGTCTGTATGTCTGTGGTCTGTATGTGTCAGTACGTTTCCAAGCACAATTCAAAGTGTTGGTGCTGACCTTTAAAGCCCTAAACGGCCTCAGTCCAGTATACCTGAAGGAGCGTCTCCACCCCATTGTTCTGCCCGGACACTGAGGTCCAGCTCTGAGGACCTTCTGGCGGTTCCCTCACTGTGAGAAGCAAAGCTACAGGGAACGGGGCAGAGGGCCTTCTCGGTGGTGGCACTTGCCCTGTGGAACGCCTTCCCACCAGATGTCAAAGAGAACAACAACTACCAGGCTTTTAGAAGACATCTGAAGGCAGCCCTGTTTAGGGAAGCTTTTAATGTTTTAATGTATTTTAACTCTTTTGTTGGAAGCTGCCCAGAGTGGCTGAGGAAACCCAGCCAGATGGGCGGGGTATAAATAAATGATGATGATGATGATGATGATGATTAGGTGTGTGCTCTGTGTGTATGCAATAGTATTGTCTGGCTACCTTGTATAGATTTTCCTGGTACAAGGAGTACTCGCTGGTGTTATTCAACAACAGCAGTACCAGTGTGTATGTTTGCATGTAAAAACAATATTTAGTGGCACAGTCAGGACAAACAGCGCACAGCTGGCTTCCCATGGTAAACATGAAGTGGGGGGGGGGGGGAGGAAAGCAGCAATGACTGTACTCTCTACAATTTTTCCTGTGCTCACTCCAATGGCTTTAACTCAAATGAATAAATGGAACCTATACTATGTGAAACATTTTGAATTTCATTATGTAGTTTTAATTTTTATTATTAAGTCTGTCATTAAAAGTTCATCACAAATTCAACAAAGATGGGGGCACAGGAAGAGAGAAGTGTGGGAGACACATTTTAAAATTTATTAAGATAATGGTACCAGCATTTATGGAAGTCCTAAGGTCCAAAATTCATTTGACAATAAATCTGTAGTCACCATGTCTTGCAAATTTGGATTTGTCGGTCACCATACCAAAAACATTGGGGACCACTGACTAAGGACAGTCCTGAGAGCTGGACAGAGACACCTGGGGGTGGAGGGAGGGAGGTTGGGGATTTCTTTCTTTAAAAAGTCTTCATGTAATTTCAGCAGTTTTTTAGTGTGAAATTCTCCTGAATGACAGCTTTGTATGCAATTTTTTGTAATCTAATGTACTTTTGTATGTAATTTTTGTAAATATATCTATTTGTAGGCATACTGTGCCCAATGCAGTTGGCTTGAGAAGGGCATTGCAAGATTAGAAGTGTGAGTTTTGAAGAATGTGCAGTGTGTTTGTCCGTGTATTATTTCAGAAAGTGCAAATTAGGTAGATTCACCTTCAAATGTGAACTGAATTAAAGAAGTGGGAGCTAGCAATCCCTGCAGTATCAAGTTGCTTACCATTGCAGGAGGTTTTACACACGTTTTCTGTTGGGCGATGTCCATTGTCGCACCACCAGCGGCTGCTTATCTGAAAGATTCCATAGTCACGGTTGCCATGGGAGTCTGGTGGCCCAACGGCACTGGTGTCAAATCTGCTTTCATAAAAAGCAGTACAGACCCCTGGAACAAAGTGGACAAGAAAAGGGCTACAATTTGGGTATACGCTCTGTGTGCACTTTTTTTTTTTGTCAAAGTTGCAGCATTTTGAAACAAAGAATAATTCAAAAACTTTCTTTTAATGTTCACTACGGAAGCTGTCTGTAACGTCTACCCCCCCCCCCGCCTTAAATAGAAATTTGCACAAACAACAAATGAAAGTTGGGACATTTTGATGGGCAGCAGGGTGTGTGAACCTTTTCCCGAAAAGAAGTCCCCATTTCAGCTTTGCCCTTAAAACACCAGAAATTGCAAAGATGAAGCGAAAGGAAGAGCAAACTCACAGTCAGCCAGGCTGATGCCATGATAGCCATCCAACCCCTTCTGTTTCAAACTCTTAGCCAGTTCACATTTATCAAACCTTTTGGCTTCATTCTCTGCAAGGAGGAGGCAGAAGAGGGTGAGGACCAGAACCTTCATCTCTGCGATTCCCTGGAGAGTGATGCTTTGATTCTCTGGGATCCTCAGTGGCTTTTGTAGACCAATGTTTTGGGAGGAGTCCAGATGGAAAACAGGACGCCCATCCCTTGCGAGAATTGCCAATGCCTTCCGACAAGAGTTTGGGTGTAATCTTCAATGCCTCCCTTTCTGTGTAGGTGCAGGTTACAACTATAATAATAATTTAGTATTTTTACCCCACCCGTCTGGCTGGGTTTCCCCAGCCACTCTAGGCGGCTTCCAGCTGAATATTAAAAACAATACAGCATCAGACATTAAAAACTTCCCTAAACAGGGCCACCTTCAGTTGTCTTTTAAAAGTAAAGTAGTTGTTTATTGCCTTGACATCTGCTGGGAGGGCGTTCCACAGGGCAGGCGCTACTACCGAGAAGGCCCTCTGCCTGGTTCCCTGTAACCTCACTTTTCACAGGCCAGAAGACCCTCGCTGCTGGATCTCAGTGTCAGGGCAGAATGATGGGAGTGGAGATGCTCCTTCAGGTCTACTGGACCGAGGCCGTTTAGGGCTTTAAAGGTCAGCAGCAACACTTTGAATTGTGCTCGGAAACGTACTGGGAGCCAATGAAGATCTTTCAGGACCGGTGTTATATGGTCTCGGCGGCCGCTCCCAGTCACCAGTCTAGCTGCCGCATTCTGGATTACCATATTTTTCGCTCTATAAGACGCACCAGACGACAAGACGCACCTAGTTTTAGGAAAAGAGGAAAACAAGAAAAAAATTATTCTGAATCTCAGAAGCCAGAACAGCAAGAGGGATCGCTGCGCAGTGAAAGCAGCAATCCCTCTTGCTGTTCTGGCTTGTGGGATAGCTGCGCAGCCTGCATTCGCTCCATAAGATGCACACACATTTCCCCTTACTTTTTAGGAGGGAAAAAGTGAGTCTTATAGAGCAGAAAATACGGTGATTGCAATTTCTGAGCCACCTTCAAAGGTAGCCCCACGTAGAGTTCATTGCAGTAGTCCAAATGGGAGATAACCAGAGCATGCACCACTCTGGTGAGACAGTCTGCGGGCAGGTAGGATCTCAGCCTGCATACCAGATGGAGCTGGTATAACACTGCCCCCAGCTCCCAGCCCCTCAAGATGGTCCAGAAGGATGCTATGGTAGATGGTATCAAAAGCCACTGAGAGATCCAGCAGAACTAGGAAACAGCTCTCACTTTTGTCCCTAGCCTGCCGGAGATCATCAACCAGCGCGACCAAGGCAGTTTCAGTCCCGTGGTGAGGCCTGAATCCCGACTGGAAGGGATCCAAATGGTCCGCATCCTCCAGGCGTGCTTGGAGTTGTTCAGCAACCACCTGCTCAGTCACCTTGCCCAAGAATGGAAAATTTGAGACTGGGTGATAGTTGGCCATATTAGCCAGGTCTAAAGATGTTTTTTTTAAAAAAAGTGGTTTAATGACCGCCTCTTTCAGTGGGCCTGGGAAGGCTCCCTCACAGAGAGAAGCATTCACCACCCCACAGAGCCCATCGCCCAGCCCTTCCCGGCTTGCTTTTATCAGCCAGGATGGACAAGGATCAAGAAGACAACAAAGGCGGCATTTTTTTCATTTCCACCAAACTAAGCAGTTGGTCCCTTACGTCTCTTGCCCCGACCTCGCCACTGTGATCCACGCGATGCTCACCTCCAGACTGGATTATTGTAACTCACTCTACGTGGGGCTGCCCTTGAGACTGACCCAGAAACTCCAGCGAGTGCAGAATGCCGCGGCGAGACTCCTTACGGGGTCTTCGCTGCGAGATCACATTCACCCAGTGCTATACCAGCTGCACTGGCTCCTGGTGGAGTACAGGATCAGGTTTAAGGTGCTGGTTTTAATTAAAGCTCTTCACAGCCTAGGACCCTCGTACCTGCAAGACTGCCTCTCATGTTCTGCCCCACGGAGGACCTAAGGTCTGCAAATAATAACATCCTGAAGATTCTGGGCCCCAGGGAGATCAGACTGGCCTCGACCAGAGCCAGGGCCTTTTTGGTGGAACGCTCTTCCCCAAGAGACCAGGGCCCTGCGAGATTTGACATCTTTTCACAGGGCCTGCAAGACACAGCTGTTCCACCAGGCCTTTGGTCAGGGTTCAGCCTGACTCATTTTCTATTTGTATAAGAACAAGCGTGAAGGAGGTTCCCAGCCCACTCATAGGTCCTTATAATATCAGTGGAAACAGTTGGTCTTGGCGAATATTAACCGCTTCCAATTTTAACCTGCAGATTGCCACTTGTCCAGTTTTAGTTTTTTAATTGTTTGAATTAATTGTGGGATGTATCTTAATTTTGATTGATTGATTGATTGTATTATGCATATGGTCTTATTTATATGATGTTAGCAGCTCTGAGCTCGGCTTTGGCTGGGGAGGGTGGGATACGAATAAAATTTATTATTATAACGCTAGGGGAGGGGAATAAGCATTGACAGGAACCCCACCCCCTGCAAAAAAACAGACACATGGTGAAATTTTGGTTTGATATATGATAACAGTGTGCAACTTAGTAAATATCTCAACATTCACTTATCATTTTCAATTGAAGAGATCAAAACAGGCAGCATGTGTACACTTAAAGATATAGAATCTATGTAATTGTTGTTGTTGTTTAGCCGTTTAGTCGTGTCCGACTCTTCGTGACCCCATGGACCAGAGCACGCCAGGCACTCCTGTCTTCCACTGCCTCCTGCAGTTTGGTCAAACTCATGCTGGTAGCTTCCAGAACACTGTCCAACCATCTCGTCCTCTGTCGTCCCCTTCTCCTTGTGCCCTCCATCTTTCCCAACATCAGGGTCTTTTCCAGGAGTCTTCTCTTCTCATGAGGTGGCCAAAGTCTTGGAGCCTCAGCTTCAGGATCTGTCCTTCCAGGGAGCACTCAGGGCTGATTTCCTTCAGAATGGAGAGGTTTGATCTTCTTGCAGTCCATGGGACTCTCAAGAGTCTCCTCCAGCACCAGAATTCAAAAACATCAATTCTTCGGCGATCAGCCTTCTTTATGGTCCAGATCTCACTTCCATACATCACTACTGGGAAAACCATAACTTTAACTATACGGACCTTTGTTGGCAAGGTGATGTAATAATAATAATAATTTATTATTTATACCCCGCCCATCTGGCTGGGTTTCCCCAGCCACTCTGTATGGCTTCCAAAAGAATATTAAAATACTGTGATACACCAAACATTAAAAGTTTCCCTAAACAGGGCTGCCTTCAGATGTCTTCTAAAAGTCTGGTAGTTGTTGTTCTCTTTGACATCTGGTGGGAGGGCGTTCCACAGGGAGGGCGCCACCACCGAGAAGGCCCTCTGCCTGGTTCCCTGTAACTTGGCTTCTCGCAGTGAGGGATCCACCAGAAGGCCCTCGGAGCTGGACCTCAGCATCCAGGCAGAACGATGGGGGTGGAGATGCTCCTTCAGGTATACAAGACCGAGACCGTTTAGGGCTTTAAAGGTCAGCACCAACACTTTGAATTGTGCTCGGAAACATACTGGGAGCCAATGTAGGTCTTTCAAGACCGGTGTTATATGGTCTCGGCGGCCGCTCCCAGTCACCAGTCTGGCTGCTGTGTTCTGGATTAGTTGTAGTTTCCGGGTCACCTTCAAAGGTAGCCCCACGTAGAGCGCATTGCAGTAGTCCAAGCGGGAGATAACCAGAGCATGCACCACTCTGGCGAGGTAGTCCGCAGGCAGATAGGGTCTCAGCCTGCGTACCAGATAGAGATGGTACACAGCTGCCCTGGACACGGATTTAACCTGTGCCTCCATGGACAGCTGTGAGTCCAAAATGACTCCCAGGCTGCGCACCTGGTCCTTCAGGGGCACAGTTGCCCCATTCAGGACCAGGGAGTCCTCCACAGCCACCCGCCTCCTGTCCCCCAGAAACAGTACTTCTGTCTTGTCAGGATTCAATCTCAATCTGTTAGCCACCATCCATCCTCCAACCGCCTCCAGACACTCACACAGGACCGTCACCGCCTTCACTGGTTCTGATTTGAAAGAGAGGTAGAGCTGGGTATCATCCGCATATTGATGAACACCCAGCCCAAACTCCCTGATGATCTCTCCCAGTGGCTTCATGTAGATGTTGAAAAGCATGGGGGAGAGGACAGAACCCTGAGGCACCCCACAAGTGAGAGCCCAGGGGTCTGAACACTCATCCCCCACCACCACTTTCTGAACATGGCCCAGGAGGAAGGAACCACTGGGAGCTGGGGACAGTTTATTAACCGCTTCTTAAAAAACCATCTTTAGATGCGGCCACGATGGCCAACTATCGCCCAGTCTCACATCTTCGGGCTTCGTGGGGTGGTGAATGCTTCCCTCTGTGAGGGAGCCTTCCCAGACCTGCTGAAAGAGGGAAGCATTCACCACCCCACGAAGCCCATCGCCCAGCCCTTCCCGTCTAGCTTTTATAAGCCAGGATGGGCAAGGATCAAGGAGACAGGTGGTTGGTTTCACGCGTCCAAGCAGCCTGTCCACATCCTCGGAGGTAACAGATTGGAATTGATCCCACGCAATTTGACTAGACAGGACTGTAGCACTCTCCTGCCCCGGCCCTGCTCCCACGGTGGCGTCTACCTCTTCCCGAATCTGAGCGACTTTATCTGCAAAAAAACTTTGCAAAATCATTGCAGGAGATCATGTGGCCCGTACTGGGCCCCGATGTCACAGGTGGTTCCGCTAAATTGTGGACCACCTGAAAAAGTCTCCTGCTGCTGTTTTCTGCAGATGCAATAGAGGCGGTGAAGTCTTCTTTGCCGTCGCTACCGCCACTTGGTAGGTTCGACATTGAGCTCTAACCTGTGTCCGGTCAGCTTCATAATGGGTCATCCGCCACCGGCGTCCTAGCCGTCTCAACGATTGTTTCATTGCCCTCAGATCCGTGGAAAACCACAGGGCTGTCCGGGCTCCATGCAATCGTAGAGGGCGCTTCGGAGCCAAACAGTCAACAGCCCTGGTTAACTCCACATTCCAGCGGGCCACCAGGGAATCGGCTGAAAGGCC